TTTTATTTCTCCGCGTGTATACCTGATGAAGTCTCGATTATTTTACAAAGACGGAGTAAGGATTAAAAAAAATAAAGGAAGTAAAAAATATATCATTTATAAGCTAGCACACCAGTGGCGGATCCAGAAATTTTCATATGCACTGACTGCCTAAGAGGGGGTCGCTTCAGTCATGCTTCAGTGATTCCCAATACATGTATAATCAACCACATTTTTTTTCAAGAAAAGGGGTACCTGGCCCCCTCTAAATCCGCTTCTGTCACACTATTCCATTAGTACTTTAAAACTTCTTGCACGGTGAACTACTATTAAAATTAATTCGTAACCAGTCACTTATGCCCACCCCCCTTTCACTTATTTTTCATGCTCATCTTTTCCGTTTGTAGGAAGGGTCTAAAATGCCTTTAATTTTATGTTTTATTATTTATGAATTAAAGAACAGTTTCATTTAGAGTTAAAACTATGTCCGACACTCCCTTTATCTGAAAAAGCTTTCATTATTTAATAAAAAAAAAGTTTTATCTTATCTTATCCCGTTAGTATAGAAAGTCCCTTTAGTCTAGATTTTTAGTTTATTGAAGGACCTTATTGTCTGATTTTAAAAATATACCTTAAATTGTAAAAATATTGGAATAAGCTCTCGCCGCGATATAGCATTTTTGTGCTAATGCAGCGTAAAGCAAACAACAATCAATAGAAAGTCCCTGGATTAACTTAAAATGGTCATTCATTCTCTCTCATTGATTATCCAAGTTTATCTAATCACTTGACTATGCACCAATACCCTAAAATTTCATTACACAAGGACACCTGTGGTACAGCAAGGATTCGTATATATAAAATTTAGTTCGTTGTACGTTCATGGATATTCATGACATGTGACCATTTGTGTGCACTTAGAACTTGACGGTCATCTTTCTGACCATCGATCAGATCGTGCAAGGGCTGTGTAGCCAGTCAAGGTCCTTTCAAAATTCCATATATATATCTGACCATCTACTCGCGCTTTAGCCTAAAGAAAAGACACGTGTATTCTCGGATGACGTAAGGAGAATTAGTATTTGTAATTATGATATTGTTATTATATATAAAAAAAGAAGATGTGGTATGATTGGCAATGAGACAACTCTCCACAAGAGACCAAAAATGACACAGAAATTAACAACTATAGGTCGCCGTACGGCCTTCAACAATGAGCAAAGCCCATACCGCATTGTCAGCTCTAAAAGACCCCGACATGTTCATATTAATGATCCACTCTTTGAAACCTAACCTTAGTATGACGAAAGTGCTATATATAACGAAAACAGCGGAGAAATGGATTAAATAGACTTGCTTTATTGTATAAACTAAAAAAAGGTCGGAGTGGAACTAACCCCGAAAAATTCAGTCTCTCTCCGTAATCGATCTCTTCTATATACTTGTTAATGAAATAATCGTAGATCAGCGGAATATAACGACTGAATTATTCGGGTAAGTGAAACAAGTAAATAAAAGTCAAAATTAACCATATGTAGTTCCATAAGGAGGGATCTGGACAGCCTGCCCCTAAATCAGCCTCCGAGTTGAGTCATACGTATTGACCTTTCTTGGCGCACACACGGTTTTCATTGCCTATGTGTTTTTTGTACAAATAAATAATTTGATAATTAATATGCCTTCAATCCATTTTCTTGAGACATATTACACGTACATGAATCATGAATTTTCTACGTTTTTATAATTTTGAACACATAGTATGCCCTGGGATCTGACCTGAAATATACATGAAACATTGAAAATTCACGATAGTAAGGTATATAGGAGCAACATTTAAATTCAAAGGGTTAGGGGTTTGTTCTGAGTCGGAAATAATTCGGAACACAACGTTATTCCCCACTGCCATGCACCAAACATTTTTTTCTTGAAATAAACGGTATGGGGAATTCTGGAATTCCGATTTTTTTTGTCAACTGCCAGACCACAATATTTTTTTCTCTCATCAAATTGGGGATCAGAATATGATCAGAATAGGCCTCCAGATTTCTTTTGGAAAATTTGGTGTTCACCCCAAGAACCGGGTTGGCCACAACATAACAATTTCAATTTTATTTACAATTTACACGGTGTGCATATGTTTAAGTATGTTTAAATGAAGATATTTGCATATAGTTTAGGACTTTATTCATTAAAGGTTGAAAAATACAGGCAAAGTTCAGATGTTTATGAAGTGTTATATATTTTGACTTTTGTGAAACCTTAACAGAATAGACAATTGGGGCAAATCTGCTGAAAAAAAAAAACGAAAATTCCTAGTAACAAAAAATTAACCCACATAACAGCAATTGAAATCTCCTCCCCCAAGAAATTGTACCTCAGGACCTGTATAATGCTGGAAGTATTTTAATATGCCTTTGGAACACCCTTTTAAAAAATTGGGTATGGTTCTCCAGGCCACGGCTTAGGTAGCACTTCACAGTTAGAAAATAAAATTAAAATTGAGCCACAGAATGTCTGATAATCTTCCAATCCTGGCCTTCAAATACATTAGGCCAACTGTACTAGCACCCCTTTTTTCTGAGAAACCCTGGCTAGCACACCCTTCCTTTTTTCACAGTGTCTGGATCCGCCCCTGACCGATACGTAGTACTCAACTATGATCAACTGTAGGTCATAATAAAGGACGAAATACGTAACGTAAATTAATTCAAGCGTGAGGGGCCCCCATATATCACGGCTAAAATTGTACTTAGTTTGTCCTTTTATACAACCTTTTGGCAAGTACCACCATCCGAGAAATCAGTTACCACGATCTTTCAAAATTAACATGAACAGTAACCATCATCAACGTCCTTTTTTTTCACTCTCTATTTTCTAAGTAATGTACAACTGTTTACGCTTGTCAGCAGTGTTTATCATTGTTTTCATTAGTTTACAAGTTGTGACCTTCGAACTTGTTTTATTCAATGTTCCTATAGATTTTTATGGTAACTCCCTGTGCCCCTAAAAAACAAAGAAAATAAAGTTTCCCTCCCACAAAATTTTACACTTAAACGTTGATTTGAAAAAAAAACTTGATTTTATAATTTTGGTTATCAATTGAAATGAACCTTCTAGAGCCTCAACCTAACGCGCACAATAATGTCAATCATTACACATCAAATTTAACCCTAAATTGACATTCCACAATCGGTCAGTAACATCACCTGTGTTTATAGCTACATGATGTTTCCCGCCGTTGGAAGATCTCGTGCAGTGACACAATTGATAAAATCTATTTTTAACATCTCTATTGTGAGCGAAATTTTTGACGTGCATTATTTCATTATTAAAAATGTTCGATCTACATTTGTTGCAGTCTAAAATTTAATTAAAAGAAACGTAATATCATTTCTTTTTCTTTGGCAATTATAGTAAATTAATCTCATCCCGGAATGTATATTCACTTTACCATTAGACCTGAAAGTGATTTGTAATAAATGAAGAAACTGTGTTTCACATTAAAAAATTTAAGAATATTATCGCTCAGGCATATTTATTTTATTTTAAGATGATTGATTGTTGGTTGCTTAACTTCCAGTGGCAAATATTCCATGCAAGTCCGGACAAACTTAGTTTTAAGATCGCACTTTCAAAAATCATTGTAAAACAAAAATGATCAGAAGAACTTTTATTCATGTGAAATAACCGTCAAATCTTTTAAAAAGAACTTATTTACATTTCAAAGTGTAACAGATTAGTTTACAAGACAGGCATTGACGTTAAATATACAATTCCTTGTATCATAGATATAATGGCTATTATATCTATGCTTGTATACATGTACGTAACTTTCATATCTTTTAAATTGAACTTTTTTGTCTAAAAAGACAACCCACGAGTTTGCGAAATCGAGTTTGAATGCACTGCATTGTGTGTAAATACATATACATATTATGCAACGACGGTCTGACTCTATGTATTACCAGGGTTGCGTTCAATATCGTAGCGGCTACGTAGTGCTATGTAGATTTTTACTATTGAACGTGTAGCTATAGATAAGCTGCTACATAGATATTGATAGCAACTACATAGCCGCTACGTAGCTGCTACTATATTGAACTCAACCCAGTTGACCCCTGATACCAACTAAGGTTACTAAAGACTTTCCCCTGGCCGTTCATTTAATTTTTGTTTCAATAAACGGTTCTAGAAGCAATTAAATGATCTGCGGCCTCTGACATATAATTAAAAAAAGTAACCATCTAATCCCCAGATATATATAATCTGTTTCTCTCTAAATTTACAGAAACATTATATGATATATTTTTGAAAATTCCTTATATCTCAAATGATTATAGTTACTTTGTTTTTAATTCTGTAAACATCTATATATCATAATTTGTACCACACTACAAGGATCTATTAATAACCGTCGCTCACGCATAACGGATTATACAACGACCTATTAATAACCGTCGCTCACGCATCAGTGATTCTATCAATGACTCAATACACACCAGTTTTATCGGACAAACGGCTAATTCCCGCCGACACGGAAAATCTCCGGATAACATGCAAAATATCCTGTAATACAGCAAATTTACGATGAACCTCTAATTTTTATCCGTTTCGCGGAGATTAGCCAAAAAACACCGGAGTTTTTACAAAAATCGCGGTGATTTTCCAAATAGGTCTGCCAGTGAACCTTGTCTATATTTGACCAGTTCATTCAAATTCAAACCAAGAGCTCTTTACAAAACTGATCAATATAATAAGTTAAACATGCAAATCAGTAAATTACAGGTTAATTGATCAAATTTTGATTTCATCAAGTAACCAATTCACAAATTTAATTACAGTCCTTGTAAATTACACTCCACAGTCTCAATTAACCCTTTAGTTATGGGCAGAAAAATCTGAACAAGGTTGAGACATTTTGCCAATGAGCATATCTGTTTAACCATTATTATCAAGAGGAAACACTTTAACCCAGTAGCTACTGTCTAGATCAAACAATCAATGTATGACAATATACTCACCCCAGAAGACATTGACTAAAATATTACATAATAAGTTCATATCCAGGTTTGTTTTTAAATCTCTTCATTGCTTTTCAACTGACCACCAAAACAATTAAATCTTGTAAAATTACATGCAAAACTAAATTCATTAAAGCTGGGTTTTTCATAATTCATGCTGTGTACAAAATGGTGATATGCAATTTCATACCATAAAACTTTATAAAACATTCAAAGGAATTTGATAAAAAAAAAAGGGTCACACCGTCTTTCAAATATAAGCTGGGAATTAAAATTTCAAAAAATACATACAAGAGGTGCACAAAATTACTATACTTACATCCATAGTGGACTGAAAATGAAAAAGAAAACATAAATATTACATTTTTTTTATTTTTACTATGAAAAATTGCATAATATTAATACTTTATTCCAAAAGCAATACAGCTTATAGGATACATACACATAATGAAAATAATTTTATATGCAACAATAAGAATTTTTACAAAATATTCTTGAGTTACACAATATATAAATATAAAGGTGAACATGAAACAAAATAGAATACATAATACAAAATACGAAATACTGACGGAGAGTGCAGACATAGAGTATATGTCAATAAAACAAACCAAGGACACATTCAATTCATGGAAACAGATGAAAATCAATTATGGTGTAAAATTAATTGTTCTCCATAATTTTGTTTACAAAGTATTCATGTGAAGTTTTAACTACAAGCACCTGATCACTGTAAAGATTTAAGGTATTAACATTTAGAATAATTCAATATTTACTTGGTTCTTTGCACTGATAATACTATACATGTAGGTATTCACTCATTGAACACTACAGATACCAAAACAAAGCTTAAGAAATATGGACCTATATTCTAGGCATTTGAATGAATGGTATTATTATACATACCTTTCCACCACCACCTGAACTGTCCATTGAAAATCTGAAAAACAATACAAATTATTAGTTATGAAACATTGGTTTCTGGAAAAAAATTATGGACTAATGAATAATACTTACCATAACATAAGCTTAAAAGAGAGGCGAAAGATACCAAAGGGACATTCAAACTCATTAGTCGATAAATGTAATCCAACACATTGTTATTGATGGAAAGCCAAAGCAAACAGGTGCTTCCCTGCATTAGTTTTAATACACTGAACTTGTTCACCAATCTGGCACAACAGGTCAAGTAACTATGTCAATGATCAAAATAAATATTGGAAAACAAGCCCAAATTTGGAGAGCAAGAGGATGTTCTATAAACATGTGATGTATTCCTTGGAATTTTATAATTATCCACTACTTTAAACAGAATGTAAAAGTTATTACTACTAATATCTGTTTACTGTTTTCTAAACTTCTCCCCTAGAAATTCAGTAACTTATAAAAGGGTTTATAAATCATTCAATTTCTGAGTTACCTCCCCTTAATACATTAAGAAAGAAAAAAAAAAACCAGTTGAAATCAAGCAAAAATATTCTACCTTTGTAAAAATATCAGTAACTATAAGATAAAATCATATAAATTTGTACCTTTAAATGAAAATTCTAAATAGTAAATTGTTTTCCTGCATCAAAATTTTCTAACTTGATTGAAATTATAGACTTATTGTGTTCTGCTATTTTACAATCCAATAATGCTACATCAAAAATTTGTGTGTGGTAATAACTTACTGGTAATCTCTATTATAAGTAAATCCTATAAAAGGTAGGTGATTTCCAGCGAAAGCTTTTGGTATTTCAAACGAACCCTCAGGTCCATCATCTTTATCTATGTCTTCAAAATTACTAGTATCTATATCACTACTAAGTTCTGGTACTACTGGTGGTACAGCTGTAATTAAAGAAAAGTCTTTATGTATTATCTATAATCATTTTGATACTTCAGGCTGTTAATCTGTAATGCATAGTTAAAAAATACTACCTGTGAACTCATTATTATTCGTGGGATACCAATTTTTGTGGATTTTGTGGGTTAAGGTGAACATCAAACTTAACTGTTCAACAAAGCATTCACTTTCAATAGACTTGTATGCAGACTTTGACAAATATCCACAATTTTTTTTCTCAATCCACGAAAATTGGTATCCACAAAAACAAATAAATCCACATTAAACATTCAACTAAATCATAAAACGCTTCATGGCATAATTCAATTAATTACATAAATATCTCATTCTTATAAGTGAGGAGATCATGTAATTTTTTTAAACAGCTGGTGACCCATGATAATGAGGTCAAGGGACTTATGTCAGACATAAACTTCAGAACATAAAGCATCTGTATACAGGAAATGATGTATCCAGTCTTCTTCCCTCTGAAAAATGAAGCATTATACCATTGCTTTAAATTGTTGACAGATTTGCTTCTCTATGTTTCACATTTTGTGATATTCATCTCTAAATAATACTGTAAATTCAGAAATTATTGCGTGCATTTATTATTGCGATTTTGTCATTTTAGAATAAAATGCGATTTTAATTTTTGCGTTATTGAGAAAAATACTGTTAAATTCATATAAAAAATTTCAAAATGCGAGTTTAAATTATTGCGATTATAACCCTGTCGCATTTTTCGCAATAATAAAAACATCGCAATAATTTCTGAATTTACAGTAGTAAATATTAATCTGTATTACAGGTATGTGAATAAATCAAGAGCACAATGCTTTTTTTTTTTTAGATGAAAGAGACGTCATGAACCTCTTACATAGTGATGTTAAGCTGAAGTGATCTAAACAAATACGTATTTACAACGAACTAGATCTGGCCTCTTAACCAACAGACAAGTTATGAATCAACATCAATATACTTACAAAAGCTTTTCTTTAGATACTTTTATCTTACCATCTTGTATATTACTTACAAAGGTTTTTCTTTATATATTTTATCTTACCATCTCGTATACTTTGCCAGTTCCACTGATCATTTTTGAAAAATCTATGGGCTTTTATTTCTTCTACTCCATTTCTACCCAGTCTTTCAGTTCTACAATACAGTTCCATAATGATTTTACAATGCTGTTTATTGTAATATTTACATAATTGCAGTACACATGGGTTTTCTAGCTAGGCACTTGTAGTCCATTTCCATCATATTTAAGGGTAGAAGATATGCTTAAACTTTGAGCTTAAACCAGATGCAAATATATATTTTTACATTAAGTATAATTTCCTTTAATATTCAATGGCCAAAGTTAAACAATTAACTTCACACAAATACAAACATATATATCAATTAAAAATCATACCTATCCATTAAAAAAGCACAGATTAAATCTTTTGCATCATGACTCATTTCAATTTCTGAAGGAAAGGTCAGTGAGTTTTTATGGTCCATAATTTTACTGTATGTTCCCACTAACGATTCTGCATAAAATGGAGTATCACCTGAAAAAGAGAAAGATCTATTTATCTATCTGTTGACAACATGTAATAAATAAAGAATGTACTTCAATTCAACATGTTCAACATTTGATGCAATATATTACTCAAATTATCAAAGTTCATAACCATCTCAGTCTTACATTTCTAAAGATTTACATGTGATTTAGATAATTGCAAATGTATTGAACTTCAATATGTATTGTAAAATCAATATCCATGTACACAGGCTAGTTTTCTTTCGGAGCAGGCATACCCATAACAGTGTTCTACCACAAAGCATTCAATGACTATTTTTTATCTGCAAGTATATTTTTTTATTAAACAAATTATTTCAAAACAAGAATGTGTCCATAGTACGCGGATGCCACACTCGCACTATCATTTTCTATGTTCAGTAGACCGTGAAATTGGGGTAAAAACTCTAATTTGACATTAAAAATTAGAAAGATCATATCATAGGGAACATGTGTACTAAGTTTCAAGTTGATTGGAGTTCAACTTCATCAAAAACTACCTTGACCAAAAACTTTAACCTGAAGCAGGACAGACGGACGAACGGACGCACAGACCGAAAAACATAATGCCCCTCTACCATCGTAGGAAGGGCATAAAAAATATGCAGTTATCAGAGAGAAATTAAAATACATTTGGCTACTTACCAACCAACATTTCATACAGAAAGACTCCAACAGACCACCAATCACATTCCCTGCCATAGTGGCCTGGTCTTCCTTGTGATTGGAGAACTTCAGGAGATATATAATCTGGGGTTCCTACAGCAGTATCAGCCCTAACCATTCCATCCTGTTTTAATGAAATAAATTATCATTAAGATTTATTTGATTCTACAGTTAAGACATGTTATGCTGTAAACCGTGCTTAACTGACAACGGTTTGGGAATTCAAAATCTATGAGTTCTAAAGATACTAAAAAATTATTAGTAAATAAAGACAACTTAAATTCTCTTAAGCAAGCATTTTGTGTCTTACTGAAATCTTCAAAAAATAGATGTTATCTTTCTTTGTACATTAAGTTTATATAATTATATTGATGAAAACCTACCTTATCCATTCTCATACAAGTACCAAAATCAGCTAACTTTAAATGTCCAGCTTGATCAATTAACATGTTGTCTGGTTTAACATCCCTGAAACAGTCAAAAATATTTCATTTGTTTGGAAATTTGAAACCTATGTTTATCTAGCTAATTTGCAGAAAGTCATACATTGTAAACCATTCCAATAGGCATATTGAATGTTGAATATTTTTCGATATTTGAATTCTTGGATTATTTACACTTTTTAGTACATTAACCTTTAATGTAAATATAGTATGAAATGCAAGGAACTGTATCTATTTCTTTGTGTTCTCACTATGTTTGATTGACTCTTGACACCTATCGACTAGTAAAATCACAGGATTTCCTTCACATGTAAAATTATCCTATTTTATTTGACTGGGAATTCCCTGTATTTCATTGCAACCATTTTAATAAATTAAATGATGTATACACATAGTGAAAGATGCTTGCGAGAGTGATATAAGTAAAGAATTATTGAGAGTGATATAAGTAAAGAATTATCCATATTTTCTTGTTTTGTTCCTAATTACTAATACATTTTTTATTCAAATTTCAAAGAATTTTAACCTATGCAATTCTAGTCCCTAACAAAAGGCCAAGTGTTTTGTATAGTGCTCCATTAGAATGAAGATTACTGCTTCGCATTTCAAGCTTTGCAAACTTTAGTCTTTATTGTACTGTTGCAAACATCTTATTTTTGTCTGTAAATTTGATTTACCTATGTACAAATCCCATAGAATGAATAGCATCTAAAGCAAGTACCACCTCAGCACAGTAAAATTTGGCCCATTTCTCAGGGACATCATAATTACTCATCAGATTGACCAAGTCTCCACCAGGCATATAGTCCATCACCATATATAAATACTTGGAATCTTGGAAAGCATAATGTAGCTAGAAATAAATAAATTGACATAAGTCTAGTTCCCTTGTAAAAAATTAAGTCATGAAGATAAAAAAAAAACAGTTTTTTTGGAAGATATATTCTTTATAAGACCAAAATTTAATCTTCACGAAACAACAAATGATTCCAGACGGTGGAATAAACATTAATCTGTAACACGGATACATCAGTAATTTACCTTTGTTTCTCCGGTGGACTTAAATCGTGGAATCAATTTCCATCTAAACACAGATATTCCACTAAAAAAATTTACATAAAAGCACAAAATTAAGCTCCAACAGCAAACAAACAAATATGACTGATAATAACAATACATTTGCAAAATAAGTCAACACAGTTTTCACTTCATTATTTCTATATCAAATGGTTTGAGCCAAACTTTCAGAATAATTTACCTGTACTATCCATTTACTGTTAGCATTGGCCATTATTTCTCTTTCCTCCCAGAAAAAGGCAGAATCAGACCTTTTAATCTGCAATGACAAATATAATTACAGGACAAAGTTATTGGTTTGATGGAAAGGGTGGCATGTACTTTCTGTATAATTAGTTTTGTTGGTGGAAATAAATTCCTTGTTTTAGCAGATGATTTGAGCAAGACTTGAATTAATTCTGATCAGTACAAGTTACTGACAACCAGCTGCTATGTCCATTAAAAAAAATATGGTTCTATTAATTATTTACAAAAATGCACATGATGAAAATTTATGCTTGCTTTACTTATCATGATTGAATTTATGTTGAAAGTCTTTAAAATAAAGGTTTTAAATCAAGTATAAATTAACTTAAAATGATCAATGATCAATGTAAATGAGGTCACAGTCAAATGAATCCTGCAAGATGGACATGTACACCTTACAATCATTCCATACATTAAACATATCTTAACTGATTTACTGCTTATAGTATCTGAGATATGAACCTGACTGTACAGGATTTCTTTCACGGACTGTAACTAATGTTACCTGTGTAACATCAACTTGTTTATTACGTTATTGTAGACATATGAGCAAGAAGGGTAATCAAATACAATTAGAACTGTTCACACATTTTTTCAATACAAAGCGAAGTATTAACCATACCCATTCAAAATACTGACTACTAAAGTAATTTTGATCAATGAAATGATGTCAAGATCAGGTGAACCCTGTCTGACAAACATGTACATATTGCAATGATACCATAAACCAAACAAAATTCATGAGATAAAAAAACTTCAGTTTTTTTTAGCAAAGCAGTCACTGAACCATGATACTCAGGTAAAGGACATATGACAGCACATGTGCCTGAACAAGTTCACAGTCAAATTATTTCATCAAAAGAATACTTTTTTATCTTACCATTTCATATTTACTCAGTAACTTTAAGGCATATACTTTTCTTGTAGATCTATGTCGTACCTATGAAAAAGAAAGACTTATCAAAATTGATAAACAACAAATATTTCTCAACTAATCCAAATGTTTAAAAGTAAAACAAATTAAACTACATTTTAAATACCATAAAATTATTACCCATTGAGCATATACAATCTGTACACTGAGCTAAAATAGACAATGTTCCAGATTACTTTTACTGAACATTTGCATGTGCATGAAATGCTTTTTGTGACAAATTATGGTCTGTCAATTTTAAATTGTGTAGTCCCCTACAGGGTAAAAATTCATTTTACTGGAACAAAATGCTAACTTGTTCTTTAACTTGTCATGGTGTAAACAAAAAGTAAATATCATGTCAATATCTTCAAGCATGACTAAAAACAGTGTGGAAAACTGATTATATGAGTGAAAAAAACATTAGATATGTTTAATAGTTCTCTAAAATTAGATATGATGTAATACAGTGTATATCTATTTTCAAATTATAATCAAATATAATTAATAGTTCCAAATATTTTTCTTTCATTTGTCACAAACTAATATAGATTTGTAACTTATCTATAAAATGTCAACAACATTTATCTACACAATGTAATGTATTGAAATATATACATTAATTAAAATAGATTATTATCTAATTAAAGGATTTCTCTTCATAAATTTTTCTTTATATATATATAGCATTCAGAAAATTAGTTTATACTAAATAACAAACAAACCGGCTAAAAAATTCTTCAAATAATTTAACAATGAATGTCTTTTAAAAAATGAGTTATCTCTCTTTGTACAGAAATATGGTTTAACATAGAACTCTAACATTAGATATGGTCCAGAGGTATGGTCCATAACTCTGGACTAAATTATCAGACCGGAACAAAACTCGAACTTGATCTGTAACTTGTCATGATAAAACAATATACAAAATATCAAATCAATATCTTCAAGCATGAAGGAAAAAAGTGTGGAAAGCTGATTTGCCGGACTGACAGAAGGACAGACAGATGGACGGAGTGCAAACCTAAAGTCCCCTTCGACTTTGTCGGTAGGGGACTAATAAAAGACTTATCCAGCAGAAAGTCATTTTTACCATGTTTTACATTTCCCAGGGGGGACGACACGTTTACCAGTCTAACGGTGGAGGCAAATATATTTGTGGAAACATATAACTCACGAAGAAATCATAATAGATTATCCCTTTGTAGAGTGTTTATAACTGGGCAATAATTTCCAGGCTTCATTATCTTTATTGCTTTAATTTTAATTATATTATAATTGATTTAAATTTAACCATTCAGTTGAAGATTTCAACTTTCGTGACGCGAATGTTCTACTGAACTATAGTTTTCTTTTCATAATAAGAATCATTCATCTATACATAAGATTAAACATTTTGAAGATGGGACCTGCTTCTTAAATTTTCATGACATTAACTGTCGATTAACCTGCGAACTGGCTTACACTTTACCAATTTCATCACTAAGGCCAGAGTTTTTTTAATTTGTTGGTTTACTGATTTTTCACATGAAAGAGTCCAGTCAGTCAGAAAAATAAGAAAAAAATATCTTACAAGACATAAACATGTAAAAAATATATATATATTTGAGCTTACTAAAATATTTTAATAATGCTACTTTGTCATAATTTCTTAAATCTAAGTCCCAAACATTATTGCTCATCTGATATGTGCCATCATCATATAATTTCAAAAAGGGGGAACATAAAACTAAATCGTCATTTCACGAACAAGAAAAAAACAGCTCCACGTTGCTTTAATATTTATCAACTTTCAGGAAACATGGTGAATAATGATCTTCAAGCTCGAAAACATGTGAAAAAACCTAAAGTCCCCTTCGACTTCGTCTTTAGGGGACTAATAAAATTGCAAACACGTCGACTTTACCAGATCCGTGTCAAAAACGAAGTAGACTCATCCACTGGAAAGACGAGGATATCGGTTTCATCATTTGTGATGCATTCCCGTTTTTGATATCCAAATGGACAAACTTTTTTTTCAATCTATGAAACAAGAAAATTCCAAATTGTTTGTGAATATCTCTTACTCTTAACTTGGCATCCTTCACGTTTGGACGGATCCATTTCATCTATAAGATGATCGATAAATCTTACGAAATTATGACAAAAAATGAAAACGAACTCATTGTTATGTGTTTTTAACACAGGTTTCGTTCCGCAAAATTATTTGGGCAAACAAAATTACAAGGTCAGTTATGTTCGCCTATTTTTAGATTACAGGTAATCATTAGGATTATTATGATATTTGACACTGTCATTATATCATTTGATTACAGAGTGGAGTCTATCAGTATCAACAGCAATTAAAATAATAGGGCCCGTTATTTCATGGAAGTATTAAAAAACATTGTAAGAGTAATTAGAACGTGTAAACTGTGCTACTTTTAATTAAAAACAAATAATGCGAGATACAAAAATGTAAGATTACATTACTATAATGTGCATAGTGATTCTACGATAATTTTATGAATGAATGATAATTTCATGAATGAACAAGAGCAACTTGACCTCTTTAAAAAAGAAACACGAATTAAACAACATAAAACCGTATAAGAGATAATTCAGTCAAATTTTCAATATTAAATCAACAACTGAAATGATTCAATATTTTGTTGAAACATCTCAAGAACGCAGGTATAAAAATGCACTTTTTTCACTCGGACTTCTGTGTTCTTTGATAGTCAAACGGTTGTCCCCTTACATACAAAAATATATCTACAAGAACATATATTGAAATTTCTCAAATCCACTTATGTTTTTCAACAGTTGCAATCAATGTATTGCATTCAAAAACATACATAGATGTTTAAGAATGACAGACCAGGAATCTGCTAAAAAAATTTGGCTTGATCTGGGCAGAGTCTCTGATCTGGGTCACAAAGATGGCCATACGCTATAGCATGAAAGCAATTGCTTTAAAAATCAATGAATTACACAATACATACCAGTTGGACTTCTCCAAAAGCTCCTCGACCAATTACTTTCACAACTTCAAAGTCTTTATGTTGCATACGACAACTGTTCACAAATTCTACGGGCTTGTTATCTACAAAGATCAGGAAAAAGTATTTAAATTATGCATTATCATGTTTAAATAAGGCACTGGTTCTCTCCTTTGTAACATTAAAGTAGCTTTGACACTCTGACACCCTTTCCTGATAATGTTCATTTAATACCATGATTTTGTTCATATACATGTATATTCTGAGCACCGATTCCTAAGAAATTCAATTGTAACTTGACATCATGAAACTTTCAAATACAAAAGAATTGTGACATCAGTTTAAACCAGTTCCTACAAGCTTATCAAAAGAAGGTATGCTTACATAGTAAAAGGAAGTAATGGAGGGAAAAGATGAACAATTCAAACAGATAAAGTAGAACAATCAATCGACCGTTTACAAGTTTTCAAAAAGAAGGGGGATGGGGGTGACCCCGTGGACTTCCCCTATATTTCATTTGATTTGTTTTATTGTTCAATACAAGAAGATATATGGTTTAGGGGTGGGGATCTCGACCGTTTACAAGTTCTCAAATAGGAAGGGGTGGGGGTGACCCCGGGGACTCCCCTAACCTATTATGGTCCATTATCCAAAATCTAAGTACATTACTACATTTCTGTTCAAAGGGAAATACTCAAACTTTTATTTCCATGAACCAATAATGTAAATCTACAATTTGATGTGATTTAACCATAGCTCTCTAAAATTAGATATGATGTAATTAGATATGATGTTTTATTTATTTTCAAACTATAATAAAATATAATTAATAGTTTTCAAATAAATCTGTCATTCCAATTATAACAGGGTGATTGACAATCTTGATAAAAGGAGTGTAATCAAACTTTATATATATATGCAATCATGATTGTAGTTAATAGTTCCCAATATTTTTTCTTTGATTTGTAACAAACTAATATAGATCTGCAACTTATCAATAAATGTCTACAACTTTATCTACACAATGAGATGTAATGAAATATATCCTTTAATAAAAAAAAGATTATTATCTAATGAATTTGCAAATCTGGAACCCCAAACAGGATCAAGTAAAAAATATAATTTTTAGTAATGTAATTAACTTCAAAATGTCTATCTCTTAAAAACCTATAAAACTTATCTGTAATTATCTTCAAAATGTCTAATAATGAACAGTAAATTTCAAACTTCATTTATACAGTCCTACTAGTAAATTACAAACTTTATATATACAGTCCTACAGATCTTATCAGGAAACAGAAAAATTTCACATAAATCTGACACTCCAATGATTATCATATGCTAAGATATTTCCCAGATCTAATTAATTACGAAAATCATACTTGCAAATCTGAAGGGTTATTTCCCTTTGAACAGAACCATGGTTTAACATAGTACTCTAACATTACATATATAATAATTAATAATGTAATGAACTTCAAAATGTCTAATAATAAAGCTTATAATCATCACCACTTAGGAAATAGAAAATTTTCAAATAAATCTGTCACTCCAATTTTTATTGTGAGATAAGACATTTACCATATGCTTAGTCATAATATGATAACAAGAGAAAAATATTTAAAAATACCACTTTTGGATATTAAAAATGGTGATAACTCAAAGAGGAGACATACTAAAATCGTGAAAATTGAACTTGACCTTCATTTAGTCACAAGAAACAGCATATCTAAATTTGAAAAAAAATCATCACAGCGTTTTCATGTTATTGAAGAGACACTATTTGGCAGCCGCCCGTCCGTCCGCCGTACATCCCCAAATCAATAACCGATATTTCCTTCGAAAATCTGGTTAAAAATGGTATATGAAAACAGTAGTTTGGTGGAATACTTTTTTTATTCAAAACTTTTTATGTTAATATTGAAAAGAAATTTTTCTTTAGTTTCTTTCTAGAATCAATTCACAAAAAGGCCTAACAGTGTTTTGTTATTGCTTACAAGAAGTTCTGATTTTTATGTCACCAGTTGTATCAGCCAAACATGTCCTTTTCTTAAATTCAAATTAAGAAAGGTCAGAAATGAGGCCATTGATTTTATATTTTTAGGGTTGACAAAAAAAAAAAGATAGTGGTGAAATTAGAGGGTTGGTCAGATAACAAGAAACTTTACATTCTATTTTTTCGACTTATGTGTTAAATATCTGCTCTGACAATATAAGTATGATCACATATGTTCTTAGGGTCTGTACAATAGCCAACCCTGTCTAGTGGACCAATTTACTTTCACAAGTTCATATATATTAGTTTTTGCCTGTTTGAAACTGATACTTTTTTTTTAATATCTCTTAACAAAGTGAATTGATACCTCCTTGTACAGCCTAAGCAAGAACTTACATTCTTGTTTCTGATTCACTTTCAATTCATTGTTCAAAATAATATTATTCTTTAACTTCCTGATAAAGTTTTAGAAATGGAATTTGTTTTATGCATAAAATACATTAACTTGTTTAAAATATCTCTACATAAAATCATAATTAGTTATTGACAATTCTATCATGTTTGGTCAAAGTTTCCCCAAAAATATTGACTTGTCCTACAAAAAAATGCTTGTATATAATAACTGTAAAACTATCCACATCCTTACTAAGCTAAATGAAAAGATTACATAATGTACATTTACAAAAAAACTATACAAAGATGCATTGAGGACATTTTTATATCATATAACTTTTCAATTGGTAGATTTATATTACAAATTTAAATACCTGGAGTAATGAAAAATAAAAATTCTTTTGTCAACATGTGAAAATCAAGTAATGTGTAAATGTATATTTTTTTATCCACCTACATCTATTTAAGAACTGATCTGCACATTTGTTTCTTCTAATTGCCGGATAGTCCAGATCTGCCACCAGTGCTGCCAAGCCATCCTGAAATTCATCAAATATATTCAATAAAACATCATAAGTGCCCGTAAGATTCTTATTCATCAAATACATTGAGTAAAACATCATTAGTGTTGTTCATATTTACAGAGTAATTTTCTAAATTTCTCTGTTTCTTTACTTTAAAAAGAAATAATTTGAATTTTTTTCTTGAACACAAAAAGACTCTACTAAGTCCCTTGAAAAGTATGTATTAGGGACTCAAGAGCTCATTGGTATTGAGGTAATTATACGATCATGCAAACCCAAAAATATTAAATTGTAAAATATCAAATACAGTATTTTAACTTTCCTATAGTATATTTTCCACAGCATAATAACTTTTTTTTAAATTGATGAAATTTTAATAAATACATAGTCTGTGCTTAACTTCTATAGGTTTCTCTCAGAGTCGAACAGATTTCTGTCTGATCAATAAAATTTGAATATTTATGCCTAAATTGTTTTTTTCATTTCAGAGATACTGTATTGAATTAATATGATATATACATGTATATGTGCAATGCTAGGCAGTATTGTTGTAGAAGTATGAAGTGAAAAATACAGGTCCCAGCGGGGAGGAATTAAAGAATCAGTTTTACTCTAACATTGTTAGGTTGATTTTCTAGGCACTTTATATAATATATATGTAGGACTAGGAGGTGCGATGGGGACGCTGAAGTGCGATGGTCACGATGAAGTGCGAATGTCTATTAATGTCATTAGTTACAGTTTAATACTAAATGAGAGATCGTTCTCTTTAAATTTGCTGCATGGGGACATTATTCTGCTTTAACAGTTTATCTTAATGTAATCTCAGCTCTCATGAGTTCCACGTTTACCGTAGTATCACATAAAGTCTCTCTGCGGACCCATATGTAGTTATAGAATTCGAAGCTCCATAGTACGTAAAAAAACGAAACTTCTGTAGATTTCAAAAAAGGATCTAAATTATCTAAATTTCCCCTGTCTACTAATTATTTCCCTTTTCTGTAGTAGTAAAACCTGTTTACAAGTTGTATTCATGTCGAATACTAGTATGCAAAAACATTCCATGTTTTCTCCAATTGCAGTAAAAACTACTGACGGTGATAAGTTAATAAGGCCCTTATTATATTGCATTTTAAACAGCTATCGCATTTTCAGTCATTGAAATTAGCATTGGTTTTTATAGAAAATAACCTTTGTATGTAGCGTCTAGAATAATTGTATGAACGTTGGCTTATTTTTGTCAAAAGTAAACTATATTTAACTTCAACGTTACAATTAGGACTGGAAATATTTATCATGACTGTGTTTAATTAAACGGCTTAATATTCTTGATGATTTACTTAATAAACATGAAAAGCTGCTTTTAACTAACAAATTGACTTTTTCATCGACATCAAAATTATAGTTTATGAAATCCATCGCACTTCAGCGTTACCGCCATCCCACTTCAGCGTAGTTACAAACAAGATAGCATCACAATGCCACCATCACACTTCAGCGTGATCAAAAAGCACTTCAGCGTCAAATCATCGCATTTCAGCACGACCATCACGGTTCCGAGTCCTACATATATATGTATATATTCACCAGGAGAAATTGGTGTTGCTGGCAGATCTTTGACTATTTTGATTTTGTTAACTGGTATTGACAATTATCACCTAAACTTTGAACAATTTAGAATATGATATTGTATAGATGCCTATTTGTTTTTAAAGATTGTAAAAGTATGATGTCCTCTAGATATGTGTTGGTTATTTTTGTTATAAGGTTGCTGTCTAAATTCATAAATACAAGTACAAATGTACCATTGATGGACACATATACTGGTATTGAGTATACAAAAAATTAAGAATAAAAGTGTTGATGAATGTTGTCTGTAATTCCCAGACTCAAACTGATAAGCCACTGGCTTCCATAACTTTCATACTACACAGAAAAAAATGCCAGCCGAACTACACAGAATTTTTGATGTGAAGGACATACAACTGAAACTATCTATTCTGTTATCTAATTATTTCATTTAAACAATTAAATTTAGTAATTTGCATGAATGATTCCTCTGAAAATTTTCAATTACATGTACCATTCTCCTAATTTTTTATTTTAGCAGAGGTGTTGTCAGTTGTCTTAAACTTGTTAGTTTGAATATCCTTTTGCCCTTTTTGTATCTTCCGTCTCGCTTTTACCAAAGGATCAAATATCATAACCAATCAGACATTACTTCAGTTTACCAAAAGTTGTTGGCTTTTATAAAAGCAATATGAGGAAACCAAGAGGGTATAAGCAGAATGTCAGATATATCACTATGGCTTGGATAGATAGAAAAATATAAAAAACAAACAACTGGTCACACAATGTTATCATAGTTATGAAGTAAACTAAAAACAGTCAAACAAGAACCCATCGAAAATCAGGGGTAAACTCAAATTTCTGTTCCACTTGAAGTAACCATTATGTTGTTCATGACAAACAAAAAAAAGTTTACAATTTAAGTCAAAACAGAGGAAAGACAAATGGAAAATATATGCACGGCCACCCTTAACAAATTCTTTGTTTGATGTTGCCTACCCATGACTTGTAGGATAGGTACATATTTTTTTGGGGGGGGAACAACATAAGTTACATGTTTTAGACAAGAAAACGACATTAGAGCATGAAAAAAAAACTTTAAAAAAAATTGAAACGATTTGTTATAAAAATTTTCGGGTAGACTGGTCTTTAGGTGGGTAGGAAGGCAACATCAAACAATTTAATTTTAATTTTGGTCCAATCATTTGTGATCTGCTATACCCTCACAAAAAGCCAAAATACTTTATATCTACACAACAGTATATATCAAATTTGATATTAGCAGTACTGATTAAAAATTGATCAGTGGTAAAAGTTTCACCAAGTAGAAGAATTCTACATGTAAGAGTTGATATTCTTACTCCTGGAATTTGTATGATCAGCACCGAAAGTGGCATATAATTGAAATGTTTGGAAATGTTCAGGACTCTACTTTTACTTGAATGAGAATTTTGAAGACTCTCTGAAAAATTTACATTTCCCCACAATAGAAAGGTTTTGTGATGACAAAATTTGAGTTTGAGTTATTTCCCTTGGTCATCATTTTGGAAGAGTAAATGGTTGAACTTGATTTTCTAATTGACTAACCAAATTGAAACAAGTGTTACAACCAAGTCTGATAAGAGATCCTTCCTAGATCATAGTGATGAATTAATCAAGGCTGGGACTATTATACTAACGGGACTGGAAACTGATCGATCTGTTGAGATTTCATTGCCCCGATAGCGGATTATTGATTTTTTGTTTTGATTGACAGCTTATCGTGTCACGTAGTAAATTAGCATTCGGTACATGAATGTAAACAATAGATTTCGGCAAATAAGTCAGCATATATATAATACTGTTAAAATTGGTGGATTTGAAATAAAAAAATAATTATTAAATTAATTAGTTTAAATGCAAAAAATATATATTGTTTACGAAAAATTATTAATAAGTAGTCAATATATTAGTGTTGAAAATAAACCAGATATAGTCGAAATGCCGGTGCTTTACTTGACCGCTAAGAAAACAACGTGTCAAAGGTTAACAGATCATAATTAATCCTGATAAAAACAATAAGTGTGCAATAAAAACAATGTTTACAATTTCAGTTCATAAATAATTCATATAACAAAAGTTACCCGGGTCTCATAAAGATATAGCCACATTAATGTTTTGAACTTTTGTGAACTTCATGTTTACACCAAAATTTCAATATGGCTGTGAACAGGCCTACTTTTGTAGTTCTAATTATGGAACCCAGTGTACATATTTTCACGAAGTCATATGCTAATGCCACCAGAAGACCATTACTTAGCAAAATTAACCCTGATTTAAATAAAAATATTGTACACATAAAAAGGAGTAGGTAATTTTATAGGAATAGTATAATTTATTTGAGCCGTGCATGTGGGTTCCGGTTGTAATGAGAAAGAGATTTATATTCCACTTTTTATTTTAAAAAGTGACAATAAAATAGGCAAATCCAAACTATAACCTATAGATATGATTTTACAACAACCCGAACTTGCGTATCTCTTTTCAATCAACAGTTATAAGAAATTTTATGAATCATATGCTTTTTTCCACATCGTCCCCACGCTATTTTCATCCTGTAAATTTCAATCTTTATGTATCATTTTTTACACTTAAGACGGGATTTGGTGATTAATAACAACTGTCAAAGATCGAGATATCTTTTATCATTATAGTAATCATGTTTATATTAAGGATTATCATTTCGAATAACTATAAAATAAAAAAACAAATTACCGAAATTATAAGATCAAGGCACGCTGTCACTGTCAAAACATAAATCGATATATAGCGCAGGTAAAGTCTCGTTCTAACGACCGTGATGTTGATATTATTACACTGATTGGTGTAACGGTTTTCAGTCCCGTTAGTATAATAGTCCCAGATCAAGGCTTAAAGAAATTAAAACTGTTTAGAAAACCTTTTTCTAAAGTCTAGCGGTCAGTATAAAAAGTTGAATTTTGCTGATTTATAAATACATTTGTGCACATAGATCTTCAACATGGTGACAAATGGAAACTCTTGCTCAAATTGTGTCAATCCAAACCTATCTAATACGAAATACAGATGCATCTTACATGTACAAAAAGAAAATCAATTGCAAAATAGCTAGGTAACTGCAACATCATGTCTCATGTTGGTTATCTAATACATACCAATAAGCTGTTAATATTCAACTCTGAGTTTGGATTTCGCAGCCTCTCCTCCACTTTACTTAATCTTATCTTATATTCTGGGTCAAGTGTAGCCATTCTTCTGCGGTAACTGATGTCAATTTAAAAATGACCGGAAGTAAATGTTTACACTACTTTACGAGGATATTTGCTGATAAACAAGCATTTCGTTTACGCACAATGTCAATGTTCAACACTGATCTGGGATTCGTTATATATTTTCATACATCGTTTGCTTTAAGTATGTAATAGATGTCCAATGATTAATGGAAACTTGTCCGACAAGCTCCCGTCGAGCGAAAAAATGTCAACAATTTCGGAATGACTTCCGTCCTTTTAGTGAGATTGACAGTGGGAAGTCTTGGATTTTAATAATGCAAAATATCACAATTATTTTGTCTTCCTTGTATGCGTTATTACAGTCTGTCTGAAATGCATTCAATGTAAGAGGCTGTCACTTTATCACCTGTCAAAGGGGACACAAGCCTCCATGATTACAGCCTCCTTTTGATACCACATTCTTAACGGATTATTTTTTTAACAACATATTTTAAATGATTTTTATTCGTTATCTAAACACAAAAGTAATCAGTTTTTTTTCACTTTGAAAACACACATAGTGGAGTTTTAATAATATAACAGAGTATGCTGAAAATAAACATAAAATAACATGAATAAGGTAAAAGTTTTTTTAGCGGGAACTTATAAAATAGTTAGACGCGGAATGTGTTAACTGTTAAACAGTTGAATATTTAAAAATAAGTATCTAGGGCCATAGTTTTTTGTTACTTGACATACTATGTTTATACCTAGTACCAATACATGATCTTCCAACTGGTACCTTTCCCAGAAAATTTTTACGTTATAACAAGCAAATATCAAATGTCACAATGTCTAATGAAGCGTTTTCCCTCAAATGATCCCAGGTCAACCAATAAGTTCATTCATCAAATTGAAATTGGAAACTTGTCTATTCATTTACAGTGGATCTTTATATCACTATTTATGAATCTTGCTCAGTGCTGTGTATACACCTTATCGCTAATCCCGCTTGACCCGAGAATCAGTCCCGCTCGAACTTTTGACGTCATACAACAATCATTTTTCCATTGTGGCGTCAGATATTTTCTATTATGACGTCAAAATTTTACGGGAACTTGTGTGATGTCCAGTAATGGCGGACAAATAGCGATAAGGTGTATTCCCGCTTGACCCGAGAATCTGTCCCGCTTGAACTTTTGACGTCATACAACAATCACTTTTCCATTGTGGCGTCAGATATTTTCTATTATGACGTCAAAATTTTACGGTAGCTTTTGTGATGTCCAGTAATGGCGGACAAATAGCGATAAGGTGTATTCTGTAGGTGTTGCTGTTGACACTGGATTGTCTCTCTTGTAAATATTAAAGTCTTGCATGTACAATTTCAGGGGCGGATTCAGGCGGGGGCGTGGCGGGCGGGTCCCCCTCTAAAATTGCAAAGCATGGGTTGTCCTCAGCTTAATAAAGAATATTTCGATAGTTTTACCTAAAAAAAATGTAAGTTTGCGCCCCCTGGTTAAACCTAAAATCCTGGATCTGCCTCTGAATTTTATCTCTGGTAAACAACTCACTTGTACTTTAATTATGATTATAGGTGGCAACTGTATTAAAAAATTTAGAGATAAAAAATGAAAAAATATGATTTAAAATTTATAGTAAAAAAAAGAGAAGTGTGACTCGCTTGATAAAATCACACAACAATCGCATAGAGACGGAAGAGTTGCACTGGGTATTCTGTATTCTGTAGGTGTTGCTATTGACACTGGATTGTCTCTCTTGTAAATATTAAAGTCTTGCGTCTACAATTTCAGGGGCGGATTCAGGCGGGGGTGTGGCGGGCGGACGCATAATAGATGGAAGAGTTGTCGTTTTTTTCTATTGACAATAAAAGTTCTTAATCAATATGTACTGATCCCATGTTAAAAAATATCTCATGTATGTATATAAGTGTTTGTCTAGCCTCTTCATAATTTTCACAAAATAGTAAATAATGTTCCACGGTTTCTAATTGACCACATTCACACTTTGGATCTACATTTGAATTGATTTTGTTCTGGTAATTTTTTAGGTAGTTATCCTGATCTTAAATTTCTAATAATTTTTGAAGTTTTATGATCTGGAAAATCAAGTGTTAATTTTTCATTGACATTATGGTGGAAATTATAATAGAATCTTCCTGTATCAGAATTGTCCCAGCGATGTTGCCATTTTTTATTCACTAAAATCCTTTCTGCTGTTTTTATATCTTGTTTTGTTACTGTAATATGGGCTTTTTTTTTTCGATTTCATTAACCTCTTTAGCTGCATCTTTAGCTTAGTTTATCAGCTATTTCATTTCCTCTGACATCTGCATGTCCTGGGGTCCATTACAAGTTAATTTTTATTCCATGGTGTTTTTGGATAGATTTAATATGAGAGATTATTTCATGAGAAGTGGATCTGTGATTTTCAATTTTCCAGTTTAATGACAAAATTACAATAACTGATTGACTGTCTGAAAATATTTTTACTTCTTCTATTATGGTTTTATTTTCAATTCTGCTAATATAATCTAAAACTAATTTTATTTCTACCAGCTCTGCTAAAAGAATGGAACCTCTTTTTAATACTGGTTGTTTTAATTCTGTTTCTGTATTGTTGAATATTACAATATATTACATGGTTGGACTGGCAAGAACCGTCTGTAAATGCAACAACTGTTGAAGGAGATACTGTGTTAAGTTTGTTTAATATTAATGTTTTTATGTAATTTCTTGTTCTTTTGTTCTGTTTTTTGAGGAACCCAAAGTGTGCCAATATTCTGGTGGAGATTTTGATGCTTGTAGACCATTAAATTGATATTCTGGCTCTATGTCATCAATACTGATATCAGTTTCTTCTTTCATGTTTTTTGCTTGGTGTAACATTAAGCCTAAAGGTGATATGAATTTGTCAACTGTTTGTTTCTCCATTCATCTATTTTGTTTCTGATAGGGATTTTTGTTGAATATGAGTTTAATTTGGCAATATCTCTAATTGCCATTTCTTCTCTTCTAAGATCTAATGGAAGTACTCCTGCCATAACTTGAAGTACCTCCAATCTGGCTGTTGAAGACACTGAGACACAAATAGACAAACCCTTTCTTGGGATGATATTCAATTTTTTAAGGTGTTTCTTTCCTGTTTGCCAAATGCAGCTTGTGTAGAGAAAAATGGAACCTATAATACTATTATAAACTTGAATTAGAAATTTTGACTTTACATTACCAATCCCTTTTATTTCTCTTAAAATACAGAGAGATCTTCCAGCTTTCTTTTCTATGATGTTGTTGATATGTTTGCTGAAGGTACTAAGTTTTTCATCAAGTGTAACTCCTAATAATCTGGGATTAGGATTGTATTTAACTTTTTGGTTGCCTAATAAAAGATTTACTTTTCCTGGGTGTTTTTTATTTCTTGAAAAGATGCAGTATTCTGTTTTATTTGAATTAATATTAATTCTTCATTTTTTACTCCAATTCATAATTGTATTTAATTCATCTTGGGTCTTTAATCTTATTTCCTCTAAATCATTACCAGTATTCCAAAAGGTACTGTCATCAGCAAATTTGCATTTTCCAGCCTTTGCTTTTTCAAAAAGGTCAATAACAAAAATATTAAAAAGAATTGGTGAAATTACAGACCCTTGAGTCTGTGGCGGAGTGGTCTAAGTAGTCAAATTACTATATCACTAGCCTGTCAACACTGAGGTTGTGAGTCTTCACAACCTTGATTTACTAAGATTTGTCAGTTTTCGTACCTTCGATAGGTTGTTCTCTCAGGGTTCCTCCACCAATTAAAAATTGACCGCCACAATATAGCTCAGTAGTGCTGAAAGTGGTGTTTAACATCAATAAATCAATCAATCGTTTAGTGCAGAAACATATTGTTTTAGTGTTTTATGATATAAGATCTTTACTTGGATATCTTTAAAATGTTTGAAATGACATTTATCTATGGACATATGTTTTGTTCTTAAAATGTATATGTTTTATCTCTATTGTGCATTGTCTTGTGTGTGTAATGTGTATTCATGGGTAGTATCTATGTCAGTTTAAAAGCTCTAATGAGCTTATGTTTGTATGTTATATATATGTACCGACTCTACATAAAGCTATAAATTAAATTGAATTGCGACATTTGACCTACACGACAGGTGCCACATGTGTAGCAGGATCTGCTTACCCTTCAGGAGCACCTGAGATCACCCCCAGTTTTTGGTGGAGTCAGAGTCATTAGTTTTCCATGTTGTGTTTTGTGTACTATTGTATGTCTTAGTCTTTTTCTTTTTTAGCCATGGCGTTGTCAATTTATTTTTGATTTATGAGTTTGAATGTCCCTTTGGTATCTTTCGCCTCTCTTTTTGGCCATAGATTTTGTTACTCTTGAACTTTTGAAGTCCTAACACAATTACTATTGCAATGCAGCTTCAGGTATCATCTCTAGTGACATCAAAATTTTACAGGAACTTCTGTTATATCCAGTAATGGAGGACAAATAGTGTTAAGGTGTATAGCATGTATTAGTCCCAGGTTTATACCTGATGCCAGAATATTTCTGATTGTGACTGATAGTGGATTTGATGGAGGATGATGCAGTCTATATTTTGTGTATCTCAAAAGTAGTGATAAAGTTTGGGAAATTGATAACCATCAAGCCAGCCACATAAGGGTTTGGATTGCATGAATACAATCTTTAACCCCCAAATATCACATATGTAATCCCTCAATATATAATTAAAAGCTTGATGACTGTTCAAGGCACATAACCCATCTAACTTTAAATAAAGGATACCACAGATACAGTAACATCAGTTAAGTCTGTCATATATCTTTTAACTGTCATCTAAAAATTGATGATGATGGTTAGTTCAGCTCATAACTTTACAACAAATGAGATGATTTCAGCTTTCCATTTATATGTAGCATCATTCCAGCAGCACCTGCATAAGGAGTATATATCCCCCAGATTATACAATATTACAGATCTTCTGTTTCCCATCATTATTTCCTTGATAGAGGATTGTTGTTTACTAGGAAGTTATTGAACAAAGGGTTCATAATATTAAAACTGAAGTCATCATGATTTGGTTGACTGTAAATGGAATATCACAGATATATTCCAATCGTTGTACAGCTACAATCCTGTCCTCTATTCCTAAATTGTGATATAACCAAAATTAACTATGAGAAACATGACTGGTGAATCTAGTGATCATATGTAGTGTTTTACTGTGACCTTTGAACCAATTCTTTCAGATTTATAAATAAAGATTTTCTAATACTTTATTAAAGCATGGCAAGTTCATTCTACAAGCAGTATAAAACAGATCTATCTACAATGTTTATTGCACTTTTCTAAAATCACAGTAAATAACAAAATACCAACAAATATAACAAATAATTAATTTTGATCACTAGGTAAAAATTAAAACATCAGCACAACATAATATGACTGACATGTAATTCTTCATAACAAATGTTCATGGCTGATGAAGTCAGAATTATCTTGTACTATAAATGGATGAATATATGGAAATAAAATGAAAAATATTATACTTCTCAGATGCAGATCCAGGGTTTTGAAAAAAAAAGGTGCTGTCAACAAGACAACGTACAGGACTTGTTAAAAGATTATGCATTAACTACTAGTATATATGTACCTTCATTAAATCCTCCTTTGGTTCTGTTTACTTTAAATACATTTTAATTAACACAGAATTATAAGACTGAACATGTAGAGCTGAGTTTCATCAGTAAACTTTTTTTTTATTTTAGTAGCTAACAGTATAAAAAGTATAACCTTGTATTTACTGTTGTTAAAAGATTGAAACTTTCATTTTTCTGTACATTGTGAATCACAATACTGGTAGTAAAATCAAATTTACACCATGATTTTGTGTATATATCTATCAAATGTCACTTACATATGATATAAAACTATAAAACAAAATTAGAAAAATTAACATTCTGCAAAAGAAAATACGCAGTTTTTACAGATGACAGTAATAACCCAAGTAAATAAAAAGATTCAATCTAAAAAAATTATTTTGATTTTTCTTCTTCATTTAAATGCCAATCATAAAGGGAAATTGTTTATCAAAAGGATGTTAAATTGTTCAAGCCTCAAGTTTTTATTAGTTAAAAGTTTGATCAATTTAAACAACTTGACAATAAATTTGAATAAAATCATTTAATACTAGCATTTGTTCTTGTATGATTATTCTTTTTTTGCATTAAAAAAAAGTATAAACAAAACTGCCGATTTTTTCAAAACTGATGGAAGAATGCTTTATATTAATACAAAGAGATAGTGAAATGCTCTATAATAAATATACCAATTATTATTTACCTCTAACAGTCAATGGGATTGTTATGACATATAAAGTGTGTATACTATGATAGGAAATGACATATTTTCAATAATTATTTGTACATCGCAAATAAGAAAAACATTTGTTTATAGCCAGTTCCGAGATTTACCAGCAGGATAAATGCTTTAACAAAAGCTTTACCGGTATACAACAAATGAAGATATATTTCTATATGTTAATAACTTATTTCATTTTAATAATGTAACATTACATACATTTTCAAATTATATAAAATGTGTCAGATCTGTAACTTCAAAGATACAATTCAAATGACTGACTAAGATCAATTTACTATTTAAATGAATGAACTAACTACAACTGTTCTGACTAGTCCATATATAAAGTCAATATGATTTTGCACTGGCCCATCTTATTGATACTGTTTACACTATTGACTTCTGTTTGGTTGGAGATTCTTTGTTTGTTCTGGAAAAGAAACAAATATTGAGATTTACATAGCTTAACAATTTTTACATACACAGGAAATAACACTATTAGGTTCAAGTTACTTTAAAATAAAAATAAAAAACATTCTTTGAGAGTATTGTTTATTTTGGTTTTTTTTCACTTGTGTATTTGTTATTTATTATATTGTTATTTAAGTGCTTTTCCTGTACTGAATATGTTGTATGTTCTTAACTTTTGTTATTCCACTGATTAAGATTAAAAGGAGGAAGATTGAGACAAAAAAAGAACTAGTTTAACCCTGTAAAAGGTTCAAAGTGCCTGTCAAAAGCTAGCAACTTCAGTGGTTGTCTTTTGTCATATCTTAATATCTTCTTGTAATTTATGTTGGTATTTAGTGTTGATTGGAGATCTTTTATGATCTCTGTTTTTCACAACTTTTATGGACAAGTCTTGTTTATTGTTGAAGATTGTATATTGACCTCGAAATGTCTTTGTTTTTTGTGTTCTAATTATAACATATCCCACATCTTCCTATAACATTGTTTAAAATAGAGGTGAAAGATACCAAAGGGTTATTCAAACCTACAAGTCGAAAACAAACTGACAACGTCATGACAAAAAATGAAAAACAACAAAAAGACAAACAACAGTACATTAAGACGACACAGAAAACTAAAGACTGAGCAACAGGAACCCCACCAAAAACTGTGGGAGATCTGTGCTCTGGAAGGGTAAGCAGATCCTGCTCCACATATGGCATCCATCGTGTTGCTCATGTTAGTACAAAATCGGTGATAAGTAGTCATAGTGTTATAATATAAACTTTAATAACAGTCAAAAGTTATTTTCATAAATATACATTTCAACCGAAACAGAAAAATTAACTTATAGAATGAATCAAATCAACAAGACAATACCTGTTATATTAACCAATAAAAGTTAAGCAACAACCACTAAATTAATGATACAAATCTTAAAACTCTCAGTCAATAAACAGGAAATTGTACATAGATAAATTACAACAATAAGTCAATAGTTACCTTCTATGGTGCTTTGATCGTTTTATTGTAGTAGTCTTAGATGAAATTAGTGGATTGAGTTTTTCTTTAATTTCATGATAGTTCCTCTCCAGTTCTCTCTGATATTCTTTCTGGTCATGCTTGATTAAGTTTTTATTCTTATGAAGAGCATCATATCCTCTGTGAAGAAATTGACATTTATCAAGTCAGTAAATGCTTCATTACTCATCAAGGATATTTGTCTGACCTGTTATTTCTTCCACACTTATTTTTCAGTGTATGAATAAATTTCTAATATAATAATCTTTAGACACTGTTTTCCCAAAACTATTTTCTAAAAATGTAGTCAGAGAAAAGAGTTGGTTTTAAGAATCAGATGGGACCATTCATTAAATGTACAAAATTTTAAAACAATATTCTTAAATACCAACACAAAATCCATTATCTCAATAAATTTCCTATAAAAAAATATTGAGACACTGTTTTCCCACTAAAAATTATTTTCTGCACAAAATACTTGATCTGAGTTTTGTGGTAATAAGTATTGTGTATAAGTTTCATAACATTTGGTTAAGGCAAACAAAAGTTAGAGAACGGAAACCAACTTTGGGATGTACTGACGTACGGACGTACGGACGTACAGACGGACAAGTGTAAAACTTAATTCCCCCTCCGCTACAGCGGGGGCATAAAAATGTAGTATGAGAAGAATTGGTTTTTTTTGAGAATCGAACCATTCATTTAATGTATAAATGTTTAAAACAATATTCTTACTTTTTAAGAAAATCTTTGAAACATAGTCTGAGTTTATTATGATGTTTAGTGACTTGATCAGGTTTCTGTATCACCTCTTTCAGGAAGACAATGGCCACTTCCACTGGACCCTGTAAAGTCAAAGTTCTAAATTTTTAACATTTAGTTACCGGTAGTCCACTTTCTAAAGATTGCATACATTCATCTAGCTATACTAGTTTGAGTAACATACAAACAACATCTATTTTTCATCATGTTTTATATTTATTATTTTTTTTTATAAGCAGTTACATAAGAATAGACTGAAAAGTATGGCTTTTGTAGTTTTTCTTTTTAATGGTGGGTTCTTGTATGTGTGTGTCCAAATATAAGGTTTTAATTCTTTTTTTTATCATTTTAGGTAAGTTTTTTGAAATCCTGATGATAACAATTTTAAAGAGAAATACTTGTCCAAAGGATAAATATTTTACCTGATTAACAGTGGTCCCAATACAGCCTTGTAACACCATTTGAAGTATTTTTGTATCTTGTCCCTTTGTAGCTATATCCAGTTCTTTGGTCTTTTTCTGTATGTCTTCAATAGCAGCCTCAATTGGCAATAGTATAACCTGTAATATGAATAGGTGTACATATTTTATCAATTTAACTGGTATCAGAGGATTGTAGATTTTATCTTGGTGGGTTTTTGTATGTGCGTGTCATCTGATGAAGAGTTGTCTCATTGGCAATCATATCACATCTTATTTTTAAATTTATGTAATTCAACTATTTCTTATAAAACAAAATTTCTAATTTGCAAACAGCTATTCATGGAATTTCTTATGCTACCAAAAGTGCTACATTTTACTTTTACTACAGATATAGTGTCAAAATTGTTGGATTGCTGTCTCTTTAGTCATATTCCCCACATACGGTATATACATAATTATAATTTGAAGTTTAATAGTGCACCTGTTCCCTGCTGATGACAGACAGTCTTGTTTTAATGTATGGGAAGGTCTGAAGTGTTGTTAGTATGGTTTTTCTTTTGTACTGTTCTACCAGTTCTCCATGAGCTCGGCCATCCAGTGTAAAAGGTGTGGCATACATAAATCTCTCTGTAACAAAACAATGTAACTTGAGAAGAAAGTACACAAAATAGAGGGTTAAAAATGTGCATGTTTATTTTAAAAAATAAATTGTTTTTATTCACTTTACAACTGTTATCCTAATGCTAGCAAGTTAAAGGCTTGCTTTGTTTGTATTAATGTTTGCTCAAGCATTGTAATTAAGATTGACATATGAAAACAATAAAAAAAAGGCGGAGTTAAACTTGTTTACATTATATCTAAATTTGATTGGACATTATCAAATAATCAAATTTACCTATAAACAGGTTCAACTTCACCTACTTATATTGTTTGCAGATGTCAATCTTAATTACAATGTTTGAGCAAACTTTAATACAAACAAAGCAAGCAAGCCAACCAAACCTTTAAATTGCTAGCATTAGGATAATAGCTGTAATATGGTATTCATACTAAATTAAAGGATATGGTAATATTAAGAGTACTGTCAATTCATTTTATTTGTCTGTCGTCACTTTTTTGGATATAGGAAAAAAATACATTTCATGGATACATAATTTTTTTTGGATCACTGTTTAAAAAATGATAAAAATCTTTTAAGATACCCAAGTTTGTGGATTGCAGTTTAATCAATAAAAAAAGAAGTTTAAAATTGTTTTGAATTGTCAAAATCCCAGCTTAGTATTTGTAGATAAAAGTGTTCATTCCAAACTTTGATTACATAAATTGACATAGGTTACTGTTTATTAGTTTGTAATGTCCTGTACTAGGTATACAGATTTATTTAAAATCAAAATTTTGATTGATTGATTTTTCCTATGATTTACATCCAGTGGCAAGAAAGTTTTGAAGAATTGACAGTTTTTACTTCTCTTTTTATCATTAAAATAAAACTTGTAGTAAATTCCTAACGTTTGATTGTCCATTGTCTGTTTATAATAATCTGCCATAACAAAGTAGTTTGTTGAGGAAATTACTGTTGCATATTATGTATTGACATCATAGTCTTTAGTTTATCATATGTTCAATTATGATACTGATTTCTTTACCTACAATTAATATTTACAACTTACTGATGTTGTAGTTCTGTTCAAAGTACGTAGTTTTATTTCTCTTCTCATACAAGTCAAAGTATGGTTCCACATAGGTGATCTGTATGTAAGCCTGAACACAAAAACACAAATTTTGTTAAAATAAAACTCAAATATTACAGGATGGTAAAATTCAAGAATCTTTGTGAGCATGCTCACATACCCCATGGCCCCACATTAATACTGGGCAAACAATTTCTCAACAGATTCCTACGTTCAAAGACTTATTACTCCCACAAAAGTCAAATGATCAAAATTTCTTGTGGATATGCACATCTACATATCATGTTCTTATTATTTATAAAGTTTCATGAAATTCTCTTGTTTGGTTTCAGAGGAGTTGCATTGACAAACTGTTGCAGTAGTATATTTAGGCCAAAAAAGTTCAATGGGACATAACTCCTAGAAAAAAATTGGATCATAATTTTATGTCGATATGCACATCTACATAGTATGAACTTATAACCTACAAAGTTTCATGAAATTCTGTTGTGTGGTTTCAGAGGAGTTGCGATGACAAGAACAGGACTGACGGACAGACTGACAGACAGACGTACAGGTCAAAAACATTATACCCTACAGAACTTTGTTCTTTGTTCTGTGGGGTATACTAAGACATTTATGATAATTAAATTTTTTTGAAGTATGTAAAGATGGTGAGAAATGTGAGGGAAAAATTATAAAAATCTGCATTCTTTTATTGGGAAACAATTAACTACTAAATATTAGTGAAAATGTAGGCCCTGATGATTTTGTAAAATGAATATTAATAGTTTTGAATATAGATCAATTGATTAAAAGAGTGATCTGTGCATATCATAGATGTTATATACACTTCTCAAACAATGAGGTAATGATGCTGGTTATACAAGGATAAGATAGAAAGCATTATGTATTTGTTACATATATTTAAGTACTATTTCAATGTTTTGTTTCAAGATTATTTTGGGAGTTCCACTCCCACATACATCTGAATTAACAGTACCTTGTTTTGATCTAATTTATCTCTCTCTACTGTGTTGGAGTCTTTTACTATATGTATAAATTCCTCCCCAAATCTGTCACCATAGAAACTCTAGAAAATAAATAATAATATTCTAATTAGCTTCGGCTGAGAAAAGTATGGTTTAATCTTAAACATTGCATTAACATTATTAAAACTGGTGTATGGACATTCTGAAAAAGTGACAAAACATGTCAAGTAAGATTTTTTTGTTCAATATGTAAAAAGTACTTTTTCTGTTGGTTTTTTTTTTTTGTGTGAACATAACTTTTTTTTGTAATAAATGATGTTGAAACAATAACAAACATGTACATATTGAGCCATATAAATAGAAGTTACTGGCGTCACACATAAAGTGATATACTCTCGCTGGTTTCTGATACTTCAATACCATACCTCAAGTCTGTGAGATATCTCTGGTAATTTGGTAATAGCTGGTTCTTTGTAAATAAATTCTTCACCATCAAGATCTCCAAACTTATGACCATAAAATCCAACTCTAAAGTAGGTACCAAATATTCTCTTCCCTTCCTGAAAACAGATTAAACATCAAATTTTTCATTTCTTGGTTATTTTGACTCTATGATGAACCATGCGTAAAGAGTTGTTAAAAAATTGTATTAACATGTTAAATATACAGTAACAGGTGAAAGTAAAAGAATTCTTCATGTAAAAGAGCCATCTTGATCTTTCTTACTTTTAGGACAAAGAGAACAAATTAAAAATACTCAGTTCTTCCTTGAACAATTGCCATCAAATGATTTAGTGTATATATAAATATATGTGAGTTTCTCATTGTGTGCAGATGATGATCAGATAGTAACATGTGTTCTATAAATTAAGTATAAATGAACAATTATAACATTGATTATAACAGCCTTCTTTGGGTATAAAATAATCCATTTGAAAAATTGGTGATACACGAAACTCTTAATGTTTATTTTGAGTCTAGAAATGTGGCCATACACATATAAATCTTCCTTTCTTTCAGAATTAGGGTAATGATATCTTTTGAACTATTGGATTGTTTGCAAATATGCCATTTTCTATTCTTTAATTATATTTTAAAATTGTTTAAAAAGTTTTTGACTGTAGTTTTACCTGTAGAGTAACATTCTGGAAAGCATCATGTAACTTTTGGTGGATCTGTGCCAGTTTCTTACATTCATTATGAGCTTCATGAATAGGAATCAGTATTTTATATACCAAGTTAACTGCTTCATACATACCAGCCTACAAATTATAACACTTATCTTTTCATATGCCTACAAACTAATTAAAATTCATACATCTGTGCTCGCAATTCAATAATCTGAATATAACATGAAATATCTAGTATTTATTGATAATAAAATTGACTCTACACAAGCATTTTTGTGAACAATATAAGTGTTTATCCATGTTTTATTTATTTTAAATTTCTAAGTGTGCTTACCTACTGTTAATTCAGGACCACAATGTTTAATGTTTTTTTATAAAATGTACATGGTAAAAGAATTTTGGCAAATTTTTATGAACTTCTGCCCTGAAAAAAGAAAATTCTATTAAATGTGATATAATTATGCTTCTTTATACAAAATTCAGACAAAAACTGAGTGGGTTTGACTTTACCATTGTGAATGAACTAGCAGCCTGTTCCATGAGACCAACAAGTCCACTCTCTGTGAAGTATTTTCCCGTACAGATCCCTTCCTCGTCAGGGGAGACAACATCATCTGAGACAGCACTTTCCTCTAATACATTTAATGTTATTTTCTGAAACATAACATATAACATCACATAAATAAACTCCCCCACTCATGGGTATATATATGTTTATATAGTTTCTCTGGGTTATTTTGATCTATTTTGTGAAACAGCATAAAAACAGACTGACCAGTCTTAATCCTATTTACATTATTGTATTTTTTCATAGATATACAATGTAGAATAAAATGCTTCGCTGGGGCGCAGCTTGATACGACCGCAGAGGTCGAACCCTGAACAGTTGGGGCAAGTATGGACACAACATTCAAGCTTGATACAGCTCTGAATTTGGATTGTTATTAAATATTTGACACAGCATAGGTTTCTGACACAGAAAGAATGTGGTCTAAGAACTTGAATTTTTTTAATTTACCTATTATGGTCCAATGTCCAAAATCAAAATACATGGTTAGATTCAGCATATCAAAGAACCCCATATATTCAATTTTTGTTAAAATCAAACAAAGTTTAATTTTGGACCCCAACTTGGACAAACTTGAAATCTGGGCCCATAATCAAAAATCTAAACACATGTTTAGATTCAGCATATCAAAGAACCCCAAGAATTCAATTTTTGCTAAAATCAAACTAAGTTTAATTTTGGACCCTTTGGACCTTAATGTAGACCAATTTAAAAAACGGGACTTAAAATTAAAAATCTAAATACACGGTTAGATTTGGAATATCAAAGAACCCCAATAATTCAATTTTTGATGAAATCAAACAAAGTTTAATTTTGGACCCCAACTTGGACCAACTTGAAAACTGGGCCCATAATCAAAAATCTAAACACATGTTTAGATTCAGCATATCAAAGAACCCCAAGAATTCAATTTTTGTTAAAATCAAACTAAGTTTAATTTTGGACCCTTTGGACCTCAATGAAGACCAATTTAAAAAACGGGACCCAAATTAAAAATCTAAAAACACGGTTAGATTTGGCATATCAAAGAACCCCAATAATTCAATTTTCGATGAAATCAAACAAAGTTTAATTTTGGACCCTTTTGACCTCAATATGAACCAATTTGATAGCGGGGCCTACAAATAAAAAATCTAAATACATGGTTAGATTCAGCATATCAAAGAACCTCATATATTCAATTTTGTTGAAATCAAACAAAGTTTAATTTTGGACCCCAATTTGGACCAACTTGAAAACTGGGCCCATAATCAAAAATCTAAATACATGTTTAGATTCAGCATATCAAAGAACCCCATATATTCAATTTTTGTTGAAATCAAACAAAGTTTAAATACTGGACCCTATCTTGGACCAACTTGAAAACTGGGCCCATAATCAAAAATCTAAACACATGTTTAGATTCAGCAAATCAAAGAACCCCAAGAATTCAATTTTTGTTAAAATCAAACTAAGTTTAATTTTGGACCCTTTGGACCTCAATGTAGACCAATTTAAAAAACAGGACCCAAAATTAAAAACCTAAATACACGGTTAGATTTGGAATATCAAAGAACCCCAATAATTCAATTTTAGATGAAATCAAACAAAGTTTAATTTTGGACCCTTTTGACCTCAATATGAACCAATTAGATAACGGGGTCCACAAATAAAAAATTCGTAAGGGTTCCGCGGAACCCAGTGTCTCGCCTACTTTTGCTGTTAATCACAGGCTCAACAAAAATGAGGAAAAAAATTAATAAAAATATTCCTCTCTATACTATCTTTTGATTGTAAGTAGCTTCTGTCCAAGTTTTGTAAAAATCCAGGATAGTTTATGAATCTAATAAATGTTTTAAAAACTTAAACTGCAGACTGTATGTAATGTTAACTGGAAGAAAAACTAAGTCCATTTATAAGTAAAATACGGAAAAAATGGAACAAAATTTTAACAAAATTTCCTTCTAGATACTAGCTTTTAATCATAAACAAGCTTCTGTCCAAGTTTGGTACAAATCCAGGATAGTTTAAGAAAGTTGTTAAAATTTTAAAAACTTTTAACCACAGAGTGAATGTAATGTTAACTTGCAGAAAAACTAAGTCCATTTATAAGTAAAATACGGAAAAAATGGAATTTTTTTTTTACAAAATTTACTTCTGGATACTATCTTATGATCATAAACAAGCTTCTTTCCAAGTTTGGTAGAAATCCAGGATAGTTTAAGAAAGTTATTAAAATTTCAAAAACTTTAACCACAGAGTGAATGTAATGTTTCTTGGCAGAAAAACTAAGTCCATTTATAAGTAAAATACGGAAAAAATGGATTTATTTTTTTACAAAATTTACTTTTGAATATTATCTTATGATCATAGACAAGCTTCTGTCCAAGTTTGGTAGAAATCCAGGATAGTTTAAGAAAGTTATTAAAATTTCAAAAACTTTAACCACAGAGTGAATATTTGTGGACGCCGCCGCCGACGACGACGACACCGACGCTGACGGAATGTAGGATCGCTATGTCTCGCTTTTTCGACAAAAGTCGAAGGCTCGACAAAAATCTAAATACATGGTTAGATTCAGCATATCAAAGAACCCCATATATTCAATTTTTGTTGAAATCAAACAAAGTTTAATTTTGGACCCCAATTTGGACCAACTTGAAAACTGGGCCAAAAATCTAAATTCTAAATACATGTTTAGATTCAGCATATCAAAGAACCTCATATATTCAATTTTTGCTAAAATCAAACAAAGTTTAATTTTGGACCCTTTGGACATTAATGTAGACCAATTTGAAAACTGGACCCAAAATTAAAAATCTAAATACACTGTTAGATTCGGCATAACAAATAAATAAATGTGATCAAAGATTTTACAAATCTAATGCGCCATACTGTGCAATTAAAGATTACTTCTTGAAATTTTTCAATATTTGAAATTTAAAAAAAAAATAATATTTGAAGAATAATTCTTTTTAATTTCTGAAATCTGAAATGAGAAAAAATTGGCCCCCCCACAATTTCTTTTTATCCCCCCCCCCCTTTTTCCCCCAAAAAAATTCTTTCCCTCAAGATATGGTCATAATCTCAATTCAAATTTCCAATGGAGTTGGCAACCATAATTACCCATTTAAATTTACCATAGTGCTAACTTAATCTATTTTATAATAGAATTAATAAAAATATAGTGTCAAATCTTTCATATGGATTTTTTTGTAAAAAAAAAAGATGAAAACATTTGCAGATATTTTTACTGGTCTTCCTTTATAAATATGCATTTCTTAAAACATAATTTAAAAGCAGTGTAAGGGAAGTAACCAAAACGTTGTATTTGGATTACCTCCCTTACACTGTTTTAGATTATCTTTATTGTTCATTAACCATTACTTTATCATAATTTAAAAGCAGTGTAAGGGAGATAATTTCAATGATGTATTTGATTTATCTCCCTTACACTGCTTTAAATTATGTTTTGTACTAAAGTATTTGTCCATTAACCAGGACAACCTTGTTTTTCCCCCTTTTTTGCCCCTAATTCCTAAACGGTTTGAGCCATAACCCCCCAAAGCAAATCCTAACCATCCCTTTGTGGTATGGAAACTTGTAGTATAATTTCAGAGAGATCCATACACCGTTCCACAGTTATTGTCTGGAAACTAGAAAATGCTCATTTTTGGCCCCTTTTTGGCCCCTAATTCCTTAACTGTTGGTACCATAACCCCCAAAATCAATCCCAACCTTCCTTTTGTGGTATTTAACCTTATGGTCAAATTTCAAAAAGATCCATTCACTTAAACTAAAGTTAGAGTGCGAAAACCAATATGTATTCGGACGACGACGCCGGACGACGACGACGACGACGACGACGCCAACGTCATACCAATATACGACCACAAAATTTTTTTGCGGTCGTATAAAAAAGTCAGATATGATATGACCTTGGAGCATGGGAGAAAGTATGAAGTATTAGTTTCTTCCAATGACAATCATGCGATATTTACTCTTTTCCCATATCAGAAATTGGAAACTTTATTTAATCAGTACAAAGAATAAAAAATCCTGAGCCAAGATTATGAAAGAACCTTCAACATTAAAGTTTTGAAGGGGTTTCATAGGTCCTAGATAGCTGTCTTCCAATATTTTCCCTGTAAAACCACTGCCCATTATGATGTGCTATCATTTCCTAGTAATAGGTCTGATGATTATTTCCCCTTTACCTGATAATCTACACAGCCAACAGGTAAGTAAGGTTTATCCTCTATCATATCTAGTGATAATTATCTCCCCTTTACCTGATAATCTACACAGCCAACAGGTAAGTAAGGTTTATCCTCTATCATATCTAGTGATAATTATCTCCCCTTTACCTGATAATCTACACAGCCGACAGGTAAGTAAGGTTTATCCTCTATCATATCTAGTGATAATTATCTCCCCTTTACCTGATAATCTACACAGCCGACAGGTAAGTAAGGTTTATCCTCTATCATATCTAGTGATAATTATCTCCCCTTTACCTGATAATCTACACAGCCGACAGGTAAGTAAGGTTTATCCTCTATCATATCTAGTGATAATTATCTCCCCTTTACCTGATAATCTACACAGCCGACAGGTAAGTAAGGTTTATCCTCTATCATATCTAGTGATAATTATCTCCCCTTTACCTGATAATCTACACAGCCAACAGGTAAGTAAGGTTTATCCTCTATCATATCTAGTGATAATTATCTCCCCTTTACCTGATAATCCACACAGCCGACAGGTAAGTAAGGTTTATCCTCTATCATATTGAGGTATTCTGCTATTAAAGCTGCAGCATGACAACAACAATGAGCTGCTTCAGCATGATTACTTCTCTAAAATAAAAAAAGAAAAATAATTTTTAAATTTACAGCCAATGGCCAAAAGTGGTTGTCTCCTTTATTTTTTTTGCTACACATTTCACATAAAAACAATTTTTTTCAAAAAATTATTTTGAAGGCATTCATTGTTGGATTTTTTCAAACTAGGTGTTAAAAGACACATATTTCTCTAACATGGATTTGTTTATTTGGTCATAGTTTTTGTCGTCAATTGTTTTTGTTTTCTCTTGATATGAAAATGTATAATAGTTTTTCCCAAGTCAATTGGTTGAAATAAATAGCAAACTGATGACCAAGAAATAATACTTGTGTTTATAACAACAGAGAATAAAAATGCTCAGCAACAAAAATTTAACCAAATTAACAAATAAACCAGTGACAATTCTGCTTTCATTGGTACCAAATTTATTAAAATTCGACCAGATATGACCCCTCAATATTTAAAAAAAAAACAAAGAAGTTTTATATGAAATATATAGAGAAAAATCACAAGTGACGAACACTTTTGGTCATGCACTGTAGGTCAAATAAATGATTTATCGACAGACAAGGCGAAGTCTATATACTTAAATCTTTGCAGTGGAACATTAAAATGAGACAACAGAAACTGGTTTTAACTTTCTTGCTTTATTTATACACCTACAATCTTGTGATCAAATTTGCAAAAAAAATTTAAAGAAGAATGTGTCTGAGAACACGAATGCCCCCACTCAAGCTTGCAATGAAAATGGGACTGACGGAAAGACAGAAAGACGGAAGGACAGACAGTCAAGGGTAACACTTAATGCCCCCTTGCCTACGACAGGGGCATAAAAACTTCACTAATCAAAGTGCTGCATAGCACCTGTGGAAAGTTTGCAATGGTAGATGTGTAATATTTCAAATAGGTTGTAAATGTGTAGATTGGGTGTTTAACTTTTTTTCCGACTTTAAAAAAAAATTACTTAATACAAGAAATAATTGTAACTTGATGCTGTTACAAAGTCTCCCAAACAAAGCTCCCATAATTAGTCATTCCCAGGAAGGGGGTGGGAGTGACCCCAGGGGATTCGCCTTTTATTTCATTTGATTTGTTTTATTGTCCCATACTAGAATATATGTGGTTTTGGGGTGGGGATCTTGACCGTTTAAAAGTTCTCAAAACAGGATGGGGTGGGGGTGACACCCAGGGACTCCCCTATATTTCATTTGATTTGTTTTATTGTCCCATACTAGAATATATATGGTTTCGGGGTGGGGATCTCAACCGTTTACAAGTTTTCAAAAAGAAGGAAGTCCCTGTGGACTTCCTCTATATTTCATTTGATTTGTTTTATTGTCCCATACAAGAATATATATGGTTTATGGATGGGGATCTCGACTGTTTACAAGTTTTTAAACAGGAAGGGGGTGGGAGTGACCCCAGGGGACTCACCTTTTATTTCATTTGATTTGTTTTATTGTCCCGTACAAGAATATATATGGTTTAGGGGTGGGGATCTTGACCTTTTACAAGTTCTCAAAACAGGATGGGGGTGACACCCAGGGACTCCCCCTATATACCATTTGACTTGTCTTATTGTCCCATACAATAATATATATGGTTTAGGGGTGGGGATCTCAACCGTTTACAAGTTCTCAAACAGGAGGGGGTGGGGCTGATCCAGAGGGACTCACGCTATATTTCATTTGATTTGTTTTATGATCCTGTGATCATTACTGAAAACCGCGTGTGTCTATCACTTACTGTTTTCACGTTATAGTCATTTGAAAATTTAAAAACAATAAATCCCATAGGGTTCTATAGTAAATCCCTCCCTTCTGTTGGCCCCTCAAAATACCCCTAAATAGACCTCAAGAAGAAAAATATTAAGAACTGAGCAAAACAATAAGTCTCCAAACTTTGTTTGGGAGACTTGATAGCAAGTAGTATAATTACGAATTTTGTTATAGTCCGATTTTCTGATGCCGATTATGTAATAGGCCGAGTTTATTATAGTCCGAGTTTGTTGTGGGCCGAGATGAGATACCGGGATACTTTCGATACACTCGGGCTTTTACGTCTTTAATAAACATTGTAAAAATTGTAGTAAGCATCGAAAAATGTTCATTCATGAAATATTTTAAACACGGTATTTATTTTCTCTTCAACCGGAGGACGGGAGGAAACCCCTGAAATGGGATTATAGTACTCCCGTTGATATGGATCTCACGCATGTCTTGGGAATGCCGATAAAAGCATAACGTAGAAACTGCTGTCTGGTGTAGATGTGTATTAATTTTACTTTCAGCGCAGTGCAGATCCGCGAAGTAGTGTTTGTGATAGCCATTTTCAAAATGAAGTTGAATTATTTGAATTATCGATGAACATTCAGTATATTTTAATTCAAACTGTAAGCTAATCAAAATAGAAGTAACTCAATATTTCAAAAGCATCTTTCTAGAATTAGTTGTCAAACACCAGAACTACATTATCTAGGAGTAGAACACACATCCTAAAGTAAGATAGTCTGTCACTTCCGGTTTGAGGCCAATGCCTTAGGAAAGTTTTTGCTATAGCAAGCTCTAGCAAACTTTCCAAAAACAGGTCAATAATGCATACCTCACTATGTTTGCTAGCCATATTCTGCAGCCATGTAAGTCTGAGATCAGGAGAGTTCTGGTATCCTTTAGCTATACGATACATAAGATCCAGTAACATTTCTGGATCTTCCTGGAACTCCTTCATCTTTACTGTGTCAGATAAAATCATATGGAGATTAAACACCAAGTCTTTAACCTACAAGAAAAGAAAACGATACAACACCATATTCTATAAGCTTGTATACCTTATTAGAAAGTTATGTGACATCAATCTAATGAATTTTTAAGCATAGTACACATATGACTTGATTCATCTACACAAACAGAATGTATTGTATTATACAGCTAGGTGTGTTCATTTGTTTTATTTATTATACAATAAGACACACTGTTTTTGCTCTATTACTGGAAAGAATTCCTTAGATTTTTTTCAGAAAGTTTTGTAATGTATTCATGTCTTCATCCTGAAATTAAGTTGTGTGATCCATTTGTCTTTTTTGAAAAATAAAATATGTTTAAAGTGACTACTTAATTAATACAGATGTATAATGTAGAAGGCTTTCTTAATCAAAGTCCTAAACCTAAAAGTTTCAGAGATAATGTTAATTATGTTAAATCCACTAGGATTATAAAAATAAATAAATGTGGTGGTATGATTGTTCTTTAATAAACAAATCGTTCAGACATGAATATTAACTAACCTGTTTAAGGAAAGTTGTAATTCCTTACCATCAGGGAAGGTTGTGTCAAACACTTACCTGTTCAGGGAAGATTGTGTCAAGCACTTACCTGTTCAGGGAAAATTGTGTCAAGCACTTACCAGTTCAGGGAAAATTGTGTCAAGCACTTACCTGTTCAGGAAAAATTGTGTCAAAGACCAATTGTTCAGGGAAGGTTGTGTCAAAGACCAATCTGTTCAGGGAAGGTTGTGTCAAAGACCAATTATTCAGGGAAGGTTGTGTCAAAGACCAATCTGTTCAGGGAAGGTTGTGTCAAAGACCAATCTGCTCAGGGAAGGTTGTGTCAAGACCAATTGTTCAGGGAAGGTTGTGTCAAAGACCAATTGTTCAGGGAAGGTTGTGTCAAAGACCAATTGTTCAGGGAAGGTTGTGTCAAAGACCAATTGTTCAGGGAAGGTTGTGCCAAAGACCAATCTGTTCAGGGAAAGTTGTGTCAAAGACCAATTGTTCAGGGAAGGTTGTATCAAACACTAACCTGTTCAGGGAAGGTTGTATCCTGTAGATCATAATCTGATTCAGCATAAGTAAGAATAGTTTTCAATGATTTGCGTAGATATTCTTCATCAAAGTTTTGGTTCTGTCCTACCAATGAACTCAGAGACATCGTCACCTGCATCTTTACTCTGGCAAAATTCTGAATTTAAACACAAACAAAATTTATACCAAATTTATAACAACTAAGGCAATTTTCTTTTAACTATTTATCTGTCTACTAACAAGTAAATTTGTTTTACATTACATTATTGATTGGATTGAGTATAATACATGCATACATACACATTCCAAAGAGTACATGTCCAAAAAAGTTTGATGCTGAGTTCTATAAAAGAAGTAACTATTCTTCTATGAGGAAATCTTCCATGTCTTTTACCTTATGAAGTTTGTGGAATAAAGCACAAGGCAAACAATAAACAATTAACAAGTGAAATCACCCAAACAAGGAATATTTGAATCTGGAATAATTTTGAATTCTGGAAAATTGATGAGAGATGTATAATGAAAACTTAACCAATAAAGAAGGGTTATACTGAAAAATCAGTGAAAGTAACCTGAACATTAGCCATGCACACTTTGCTAACCCTCCATAGTTGGGTTGGTTTTCATCATACATTTCTTATCAATTTTCCAGAATTTAAAATTACTCCAGATTCAAATAATTCCTTGTTCCTAGTTTTTCATATAATTTCTCTCATAATTGTGTAATAAATTCTTCTTTTGAATTAAATCGTTACAATACAAAAAATCCTATTGAGGTTTAGCACCACAAAACAATTAAAAACAAATTCTTACATTTCCGAGTTCAAAATTCTGTCTCATCAACATATACAGTGAGGCACTAGCTTGAGATCTGATACTGCCAATACAGGAGCTACAATGTTTCAACAGACGAAGACATAAATCAGCACATTGTTCTGTTTCCTCTTCAAATAATGGATCCAAGTACTGGAAATAAAAAATAATACAAAACTCAAAAATCTACTTAAATCTATAGTTCTTACAATGATTAAACTGAACTTTATAATTTTGTTAATATAAATCAACAAGTAAAATCAAAACAGAAGTTTACAATATAAAATTAAGGAGGTGTAGCCTGATTGCCAATGAGACAACAATCCATAAAGACATATGGACAAATATGTGAAAAATTACATGTCACTATACCGCCTTTAACAATAAGCAAAATATATAGCAATTAAAGGCCAGGGTATAAGAAAATGTGAAATAATTCAGAAGTGAAAACCAACAGCCTGATTAATACTACAAAGGTGAACCAAAAACAATTATGGTACACAGCATCCGACGACAATTTATATAACACATTATGCTCCATGGATTAAGACGAGCACATAAAAAATATCTATGAAAGAGGAATTACTAGATTCACTGCAAATATCTGCAAAATGACTTTATTTACTTAAAATTTTGTTGTTCGCCAAACTATGCAAAGTATGAGCATATGAGTTATACTTTTTGCTGACACATTCTGATAATAAAAAAGTCAACATAAGTGACTAATGGGACAGAATGGATGGGCTAGGATGCATAGGATCAATACCTGAAGGATCGAAATTTCAGGTAAACAAGAATGTGTCCATAGTACACGGATGCCCCACTCGCACTATCATTTTCTATGTTCAGTGGACCGTGAAATTGGAGTCAAAACTCTAATTTGGCATTAAAATTAGAAAGATCATATCATAGGGACCATGTGTACTAAGTTTCAAGTTAATTGGACTTCAACTTCATCAATAAACTGCTTCGCCAAGCGCAGCTGGATAAGACCGCAAAGGTCCAACTCTGGTTATAGGTTCCCGACACAGAATAAATGTAGTCAAAGAAATTAAAATTGGTTATATGATTTGAATTTATATTCAATTGAAGATTTCTTGCTTTTGTGCAATATACTGTGCTGTTGCGCAATACTTAGTAAATCTGTTTTCAGACTATATACAAAGAATAAGCAATTGTGACTCCCAATTTTTCTTTGGAAATTTCATGAAGAAAAAAAATTGACCCCCCAAAAATTTTTTTTTTACCCCCCACCCCCCTTTTCCAAAAAAAAATAACACTTGGAAGAAAATTTTCTTTTTGTAAAATGTGGTACAATTTAAGAGACATCAATACACTTAAACACAAGTTATTGTCTGAAAACTAGAAAAATGCTTGTCTAAGACCGTTTTTGGCCCTTAATTCCAGAACGGTTAGGTCAATAACCCCCAAAATGAATCCCAACCTTCAACTTGTGGTATTGAACTTTGTGGTACAATTTCAGAGCAATCAAAATACTTATACACAAGTAATTGTCCTGAAACTAGAAAAATGCTTTTTTGGGGCTCCTTTTTGGACCCTTTTTCCTAAACGGTTGGGACCATCACCCCCAAAAACAATCCCAACCTTCCTTTTGTGATATTGAACCTTTTGATACAATTTCATAGAGATCCATACACTTAAATTAAGTTATTGTCCGGAAACCAAATGTCTTTGGACGACGACGACGCAGACGACGACAACGACATGATAGCAAAATACGACCCCAAAATTTTTTTGCTATCTTGACCAAAAACTTTAACCTGAAGCCGGACAGACAAACGAACGGATGCACAGAACCGAAAAACATAATGCCCCTCTACTATCGTAGGTGGGGCATAAAAATTAAATGTGGATTGTGTCCACACGTGGACACAGATGATGCCCCCGCTTGCATATTATATAGTTATAAAGGGACATAACTGAAGAACAGTAAAAGTGACGCTACCTTAATTATAACTTGATCTGAGTTTTATGGTTATAAGCATTGTGTGTAAGTCTCATAATATTTGGTTGAGGCAAACTTAAGTTAGAGAACGGAAACTAAAAATTTTGCAATTTTTCCATTTATAAAGGGCATTACTCTAGAACGGTTTGAGTTACGCCACCAAAATTCAAACTTGTCCTGTATATTGTGGTAATACGCATTGTGTATAAGTTTCACAACATTTGGTTGAGGCAAACTTAAGTTAGAGAACGGAAACTAAAAATTTAGCAATTTTTCCATTATAAAGGAGCATAACTCTAGAACCATTTAAGTGACTCCACCAAAATTCAAACTTGATCTGTGTTTAATGGTAATAAGCATTGTGTATAAGTTTCATAACATTTGGTTGAGGCAAACTTAAGTTAGAGAATGGAGACTAAATATTTTGCAATTTTTCCATTTATAAAGGAGCATAACTCTAGAATTGTTAAAGTGATGCTACCAAAATTCAAACGTGATCTGTATTTAGTGGTAATAAGCATTGTGTATAAGTTTCATAACATTTGGTTGAGGCAAACTTAAGTTAGAGAACAGAAACTAAAAATTTTGCAATTTTTCCATTTATAAAGGGGCATAACTCTAGAACGGTTAAAGTGACACCACCAAAATTCAAACTTGATCTGTGTTTTGTGGTAATAAGCATTGCGTATAAGTGTCATAACATTTGGTTGAGGCAAACTCAAGTTAGAGAACGGAAACCAATTTTGGGACGTACAGACGGACAAGGGTAAAACTTAATACCCCCTCCACTACGGCCGGGGCATAGAAATTAACACATTTGTCCTTATTATGGACCTCTTTGACCCATTGAAGCTCAAGTTTCATGCAGCCTGCAAAATGAGACTAGAACTATATACAGGCAATAAAGAGTCAATGTATTAAGTAAATCTATTGTTTTATATTTATACTCACCCTTGTGACGAGTGCCCTCTGAGAAGCAAACATATTCTGTAAGACTAAAGTACTCTGATTCAGACCAAAACTATGTAACAATACTCTCAAGGCACTGCTCAATATCTGATTGTGACCATTTGCTCTGGCAATCTGAAAAAAATATGTATCGGAGATAGAAAGATGCCAAGTAAAATACAAAATCTTAAGCAGATACCCTCTTACATGTTCTTTTAAAAATGAATCACTATTTCAAAGTTAACGTGTTTAATCAGATTCCTTAAAATTGTTTTAAATCTTTTATAAAGATTTCACCATTGTGCCATATGGAACTAATTTCTGGCTCTTAGATATTGCTGCTGACAGGAAAAGAGAATTTTGATTATATTGTTTAAATTTTGAAGCCTTAAAACATTTCAGGCATTTGGAAACTCAGGTTTTTACTTATAGACATTTTAACATGGTTACAAATACAAAAACAAAAACAAAATGCCCTTACGCCCTCATTACTTTTTTTAAATTCAGTATCAGAGAATAAGAAATTGCCTGAATTAATTTAAGCATGCATTTGAACATTTTCAGAGGATATCTTCTACAGGAACATACCTGTGTAATGAGTTCTATTGTATCTAGGCAGGTCATACTGATTTCTGCAGCTAGATTCCCCCCAATACGAGTATATCCTTTACATGAACTTACCTGTGTAATGAGTTCTATTGTATCTATAGACAGATCATACTGATTTCTGCAGCTAGATTCCCCTCAATATGAGTATATCCTCTACTTGAACTTACCTGTGTAATGAGTTCTATCGTATCTAGACAGGTCATACTGATTTCTGCAGCTAGATTCCCCTCAATATGAGCATCAGCTTCAACATCTCTTGGCTTTGACCTGAAGTACAATGTAATCAAATATAACCTGTTAACTCAAGGATATGTCTTGCCTTTATGTAATTTTGAAAGTATAATGCAAAAGTTAAAATCAAAATGGCAATACTTTATCAATTAAACTATGCAAAACATTCAAAGTCATTTAATAATGACTGAAGGTGCAGGACCAAATAACTTCCATGTCAATTAACAATGACTGAAGGTGCAGGGCCAAATAACCTCCATGTCAATTAACTATGACTGAAGGTGTAGGGACAAATAACCTCCATGTCCATTAACTATGACTGAAGGTGTAGGGACAAATAACCTCCATGTCCATTAACAATGACTGAAGGTGTAGGGACAAATAACCTCCATGTCCATTAACAATGACTGAAGGTGTAGGGACAAATAACCTCCATGTCAATTAACAATGACTGAAGGTGCAGGGCCAAATAACATCCATGTCAATTAACAATGACTGAAGGTGCAGGGCCAAATAACCTTCATGTCAATTAACAATGACTGAAGGTGTAGGGACAAATAACCTCCATGTCAATTAACAATGACTGAAGGTGCAGGACCAAATAACATCCATGTCAATTAACAATGGCTGAAGGTGCAAGGCCAAATAATCTCCATGTCAATTAAAAATGCTAATGCTAATACAACTGCTTACTAAAACCGTTGACATATCATAAGTGGTTCTCTTTAAACTGACAAAACACAAATTTTAATATGTAAACTATGCAAAAGTTTCAAAGTCAATGAACCATGGTGAAGGGGGCAGTCCCATACAATTTCCATGGAAATGAGATGTGCAAATGCTAATATAACTGCTTACAAAATATCCTTGGCTTACCATTAGTAGTTCATCTTAAACTGACATTACATTGTATCACCAACCTTACTATGTAAACTATGCAAAAGTTTCAGTCAATAGGCCATGACTGAGGGAGTGGGGCAAAATAACCTCTGTGGAAATAAGAAATACCAAATACTATTGATTTATCATAAGTTGTTCCCTTTAAACTGACCTAAACACAAACTTAAACATGTAAATCATGCAAAAGATTCAAAGTCAATGAACCATGATGAAGAGGGAGGGCCATGTAATCTCCATGGAAATGAGATGTGCCAGTGCCAACAACAGCATAGCGAATATCATTGACCTACCAATAGTGGTTCCCCTTAAACCGACCTAATTACAAATTACTACATTGTTGATGCTGGAAACACCACGCCTAAGTCTTACTTTTTTCTACTTAGGCGAGGCACTACAAAAACCTGCTGACTTTTATCTTACAAAAACATTATTGAAAAGTGTTGGTATGAAGCTGCTTTTTTTGAAAAAATATGAAGCAAGTGTTTTCATATTTAATAACCAAGCCAAATACAGGATACATACATATCTGGTTGTTCTACAGTTGGCTTATATAGAAGTTGGTCCTTTCTCCATCTGAGTCTACCTCCTGACTCTGTTATACCTAAAACATTTGCTAGAGGTGGTGTTCTATCCCCTGGACCACCTGAAATATAAATCAAGATAGTTCACCTTTCTCCAAATCATCTCCAAAATAATTCCTAGTTTACAGTTTTCCCTTCTCTCTAATATATTATATACTTGTGAGGTAGTAGTTGTTAAGCAAGTGAAGAGCACTGATAACTCTCTTTTGTTTCTTTTATACAAGTTAGTTAAATGACGCATATGTCTGGAATAAAACATGTCAGTAATATCAAAGGTTTCAGTAATTCCATGGATACTTGATAAAGATAAAAAATATATTAACAGAAATTAAATCACCTCCAAAATAATGCATTAAAACTCCTAATTTAAAGTTAGCTCCCCTAGTTTACCTGCTATTCCTGCCAATGATGCTGAAGAATTTTGACGTCTTCTCATCATTTCCATACGAGCATTAGAACTACCAAGTATGGCTTCCTCTAACCTTGACTTCATATCCACACTTTTCTTTAATGTCTGCTGAGAATACTGAGCTAAGCTTTTCTTTCCCTGAGCAAAATTATATTGTAACTGATGAAATTATCTTCTGATCTTACAGGATAAACAATATATCCAATAATTTTCTCTCTAAATGGAAGAACTTATCTGATTGGAGGAAATCAACAACAACAAAAATAAACTGTTGACACAGAGATATATCTCCCCTGTCGGCATAAAATTAGGAAAAAGACAATCTGATGGACAGCAACATTCCTAATTAATTCAAAGTTGCTGGACTCTGAACTAGTGGGCAGGGCCTTGAAATGTTTGACAAACTCAGATGTAGACAGTAATGTAACTTTATAGAAAATATAATTGTCTATTGTCAGTAGTTCCTATCTAACGAACTTAAGTAAAAAAACTTAACATTGAAAATTGGTAATTAATTGAAAGTCCCTAGACCATGACCAACAGGGGCAGGGCCTCAAAATAGTCATCAAATTGATATGTACTGATAGTAATGTAACGTTATAGAAAATATCATTGATCTATCACAGGAAGTTCCTATCAAACTGACTTATGCAGAAAACATTGAAGATTGCTAATTAATTCAAAGTCACTTAACCATGACCTAGGGGGCATGGCCTTAAATTGTCGTCAAACTGATATGTACCGATAGTAATGCAACTTCATACAATATATCATTGTTCTTTCACAAGTAGTTCTTATCAAACTAACTTAAGCAGAAAACTTAATAACTGATGACGTAAACGACAATGATGATGTCGTCGCTGGAAACATAATACCTATGTCTGGCCTTCTGCGACTTTCGTTGAAGGCGGGACAAAACTTATCCTCAGTCCTTTTCCATTAATTTTTTTAACAGAGAAATAAAAAGTTATGTCATGAGGACAAGAAACACTCTTAAATTTTACAGACTATTTACACATATATGTCATGCCTAGTAACTGTGCAAAGAGAGTGTTGCCAAAAAGTATTCAGACATTCAAATCATATTGCAATTATATAGAAAAGTCTGCAGAATATTTAATAAGTGCCAGGTCTGAAAATTTATATGGAAGGTTTGTTTATATACTTGGTAATTTCTCAATATAAGAGGACACACATCTCCTACTTCTAATTCCATTTGTGTTCTTCTTGAAAGCTAAATAGTGTGAATGTGAAAATTGTCAGAAATGCACAGTCAATTGCTTGCCAGGTCATTCATTTGTCCATAAATACCTAGTTCCTAGAACAAATTTCATGACTTTGCATCACCAAAAGTGAATATTGTCAAAACATCAAGTTTAGAGTGGGATTCATTCAGCCTGTCAGACAGACTGTTAAACAGGCAGGCCATGGTTTCTCATTATGCATTCTATTTTTGATGGACAGACACAAATTTATATATTGAAATCCTGTATTTGTGAGGTCTAAATAAAAAAAAAAAATTCCATGGAAACACATTATCAATTTGTGATACAGGATAGAATTTTAATACAAATAGTTTTCTCGAATGGGATGGTACAAAGGGTCTTAAAGTATTAAGATGAGAACACAAGTTTAAATAAACTCATGTTTTACCCTGTAATTAACATTAGTATACAAAAAGACACAATGAAACAACTGTTTCAATAAGGTCACAACATTAAATGAGAGATACCATAGACAACAATTCCATTTAATACACACTCAAATCCATCAAAGATCACTGGATGAAGTTATATAGTATCTATTCGTCAATGGATATTAAAATGAAACTACAGAGTAAAGATGACTGATTGATACAACAATATCAGGTGTACAAGATGCAAAAAATGTGAACAAGGAATGTTCTAATGTGCAATTCTATTAATTTTATCATGATGCACATAGGGATGAAAATTATCATTATTCAGTGCTTCTAATACCATCATCAATTTACTGTGTTCTTCATTAGAACTAATGGCAGGCCTTTATAAACAAGACATTTACTTCAAAATGCAATAATTCTCTGTATTTTTCCCTTTTAACTTATTTTTTTTAGTGTTCACTTTCCCTTTTAAGGAAATAATCAAAGGTGATAAAGTAATGGTATTTTTTTTTTGTATTTCATTTCTTTAACTCTACTTAACAAATATTTCACAAGCCAAGAAGAAAAGTACTCCACCGTTAAAAAGAAAGGTTATTCAATATTTTTGGATTAATATAACATTAGATACAGCAAAGATAAGAAAAAACATAATCTGAGTTATAACTGTTGAAAGAAAAATATTAATATCATGATAATTCCATAATTAGCAACCCTTCTTTATAAGAATTTTTTGTGATTAAAACAAAAAAGAAACAACTTAAATTGTATTATTAGAAATAATTAGTGAAAAATTTAAAGGGTTGTATACCTGTGTAATTGAATCATCTTTACTTAAACTCCTGTTAAGCAAAGATCCAGAGCCTCGAAGAAAATCCACAGATTTGCGCTGAATCCCTTCCCATAACTGCTCGTAGGATTTTGGTAAACTTGCACTTTTTGGACGAGAACTCTCTGTGCCATCATTCCATTCTTCCAAGGTATCAGTAGAACCAGTTATATTTAAGCACAGATTTTGAAGTCGAGCCCATCGAGCCTGAGAATCCAATAGTACAATATGTATGGGTCAACAGAGGTCAATCCTAAATACTTAGAGACAACTAAAAAGTCACGTTATCGTTATAGCTTAACATGAAAGTATTAGGAGGTGTTTATATATAAGCTGATTATTTACTACTCTTAGGATATGTAAAATTATTATCTAGTTCTTAGATGCTATCAATATTAGATTTAGTTCCATAATGGAATATGATTTATTGTCTATATCTGGAAGGTAAAAATCTTTTTAGATTGTGTCTTTATTTTCAAATTTTTAATGAAATTCTATTAGAATAATAATATAGAGATTTAATGTTTCAACAGATTCAATATCTAACTATTTTCTATCTAAATATACAATCTAATGTTTAACGAGGCCGGGATAAGGTACCGGTACTTTCTGTATCCAACTAAAAAATGTGAAAGTTTTCAATAAAGTATGTAAAATTTAAAAAAAAAAAAAAAAAAAAAAAAATTCAATATCTGCGGTTGATAACACTAGTGGTAAGTTTCATCAGTGAAAAAGGACCATGACCATATGATGAGATGATCTGTAAAAAAATACCAAGACCATATGATAAGTTGCTCTGTGAATAGATGTTATTTCTGTTATTACTTAATAATACGGGGGGAAAATTCCAACTTGGCCAGATAATTTTATATAATTATATCTTATAATGTTTATGAGACTACTAATGAATGTGCAAATTTTATAATACTCTCTTTCAGAAGAGAGTGCAGTCAAAAAACAACGATCTTTCAATAAATGACTTACAAAGTTTTTTTTTAAATTCTACAGAAGGCCATTCTATCATTCAAAGTATTGTGAAATTTATATCTATAAAAGTCTAATTTAGATACTTATCATTTAATTCGAAATGCTGTCTGATATTTTGACTAAAATTGGCCTAGGAAATTTAATACAATTTTTTGCAATGCTTAATGAAGGATTGTACTTGGATAAAAAATATTGAATTGATATATATCTGTACCTCCTAAATGACTTTCAAACTAATGCTACTATGACATAAGTCTTAGAATATGTTTGGGTAAATATAAAAAGGTGAATTTTAAATGATTACATGGATTAATATTTGTTATACTGCATCTAGTCTACAATGAATTCACTGAAATGGACTATGCCATCTTATAAAAAAACCCTTTAATTTCATGGTAAACCTTTTAACAGTTATTTATCAGGTATTTTTATAAAGCAAATTGTATCTTTACCTGTAACTGATGTTTTTCTATTTTTATTATTCTTTTAAGTCTCTGAGTATTTACAACAGTTTTCTAACTATGTCATTTATCAATCATGCCATGTTTCCCCTAAAATATTCCTCTGGTTAAAACATGCATCCATGTTGGGTGTTGCTTCTGAAGCACTCGACAACATGCAAAGGTGAGGACACACAACAAATCATGCCAAACTAGTGTCAAACTAAAATGTGATGAAGATGTATGACCCGAATTTGATTTATAAGGTTAAAGGTTAAGTGGAAATCTGGATTCTACAAGGTCAAAGTTAACATTGGAGAGACATGCTAAGATGGTTGGTTGATGGTACATGGTGTTCCACTGGTGTCCAAAATAATGCAAGTTTCCACAATCCTGTTAATGTATAAAAACCACAACCACAGATTAATTAAAACACTTTGAAATGATAATTAGAATGTCCCAATTACGTAAACAATATCTATGAAGTGATTGTTATTGTTTTGATGTAATGAACAATGAATTGTTGTTAAGATTTCTTATATAGCAATGGGTAGAGAGATAAACGGATGTATAAATTTGATGAATGAAACATTGAATCAATACTACAATGAATAATATTCTGTGCACAGAATTTGTAGAGTCTATCTTCATGTTATTTAAAAACTTATTTCAAAATACAATCTAACGTATAAAGTTTTTGTTGTACATATAAAGGTAAAAAGCAAATACTTTTACAGAATATATATTTTTTAATTGACTCAAATAGAACCATTATATTAAACTCAAATTTATATTCAGAAACTAAAAAATAAAATATGGCATTAAAGCATAGATTAAATGCTCAATTGTAAATGTTTTCCCTTATAATTACATTAGATGTATGTTTCATTATTATACGTTATTTTGATTGGCTAACAGCAATCTCGCGTCGTTCTTCATTTTCTAAATGAATTTCATGAATTGTAACATACATGATGACACACGTTTCCACAATAAAGTGCACAGGTAAATAAAAGAAAAAATGATAGTAATTGTGTTTGCATGATCATAGCGAAAAAATGTAATTATAAGTATTGAATGCTTCTTTTAGTAATTTCATAGGGTTGTAAAAGCGTTGACCGTGCACACATTTTTAGAATGGAGCGCTTCATACAAAATGTACTTCGGTCAACGCTTTTACACCCCAATGAATTGTAGCATTAAGTTTACTCTGCTATGAATAAGAAATCTACTTAAACCATTGTGGTGACGTCAGCCTATTCATTTACAGTGGATTCTTTTTCTAGAATCAACGCTTCCTAAATCTGCCGCTGAAATTGACTCACCAAATTATATTCAATTGTTTCCTTTGTGTGCCTAATTTCATTAAGTTTGAATTGGCTAATTTACTGATTTCTGTTCACTAATGGAATTAATTTAAAAACTTACCTTTAATTTTTGTAATTTTTATATGCCTTCACTGGGAATCGAACCCTTCCTTGAAATCTGTTATGTGTGATTTACATCAACTCATCTACGAAACCTTTCGGCTACCAATGGGTTACACTATATATGTCTATTTTATATATTTAAATGAACATCTGATATACATCGGTTCATCGGACACACAGGGCTTGTACCTTTATATAGACACAATAGGCAGTCGTATAGTATGAGTTGGTAGCTGCGAGGTTAGCATGGTTAAAATCAATGAGTCAAAGATAGGGATTTGTCGGATTAGGTTCGAATCCCTGTATTCTCTCTGTTGTTCCAATTCTTAAGTTATCCTGTTTTTTTTTCAAATTTTGCATGTTATAGTGGATATTTTTGTAATAATAGCGAGTTTTTACCGTTTTTTTTCTCATTATTATTGGCTATTTCACATGTTTGAAACAAAAATGATTACATTCTATTTGTCAATATTTGTTTTATAAATATAGTATGATTTCATCTGTTTTACTACATAATTTTACAAAGGTTTGTTCGCAAATTCTTATGCGAGAAAATCGTGATGTGCCTAGAGTGCTAGAAAAATGTCGATAACATACTTATTATATATACTTTATATATGCTTTTTGGTCGGGTTGTTGTTTCTTTGACACGTTCCCCATTTCCATTTTCAATTTTATTAGAAATAATTTCGAATATGTCTTATTTTGTATAAACAGATAATATTCATATGACTGGTAATATAAAGATCTTTAAAGGTAGAAGTGTTATATTTGTGTTTTGTTAACCAATTAATTGTGATCTGGGATTTATCAATGCATCGTTGGACACGATAACATGGTTATTTAAACTCACTTACAATACCTTATAATTAAGAAAAGGCTTTAATTTTGAAAAGAAATTAACACAATAGTTTAAGTTATAGATACAATGGATAAGCGTAGATTCATGAAAAACAAACCATTCGCCCTCCGGGCTCATGGTTTCTTTTTCAAGAATCCACGCTTATCCATTGTATCTATATAACAGATTATTCTCACTATTTTCACACATTAGTATATGAATGATTTGTATGAATATTCTACAGTACAGCCATTCAGCTTTACTATAGCCTTTTTAGTGACAAAAAATACATAAAAAGTTAAAACACAGTCTATTCTATTGTAGCAGGGTTCTAATTATATTATTTAACTATTCTAAATTCAATAACAAAAGGAACTACTACTACCTGAGGTCACACCATCCTTTGGATTTTCATACAACAAAAATAAGTTAAAAAAAAAACCCAAACATACAACACAAGAAGTTTAAAATATAACACAGAATTGATGTTTCTATACAATTACTACTTGAGTACAAATGATTAATTATTTCATCTAAATTTTTGAAATGTAAGAAAATTGGTGTAATTTTTCATTTGGCCGGCAAAATATGGACCAATCTGTATAATTTCAGAACTGATGTGTGAAAATCCAAAGAACAAAAAGTCACTATGGTATGGCATCATGTCTACTGTAGTATGTCCACATACATAAAACTTCTTCCAAACAACAATGAAAATTCACAATCACAAAATTATTTAACACTAATTCAAATTAACTTTGTTAATGTTAATTCAAATTAACTTTGAAGTAAAAGACAATCTATAAATACATACATAATGGTGTTATCAAATACCTATTCATTTGATTACTTTAGACTACTAAAATTGAGGGTAATATTTATCCTGCTTATACCGATAACTTGCAAAGAAGTGTGTATGATAATTAAGATTAAGCAGTAAATCTGAATATTTTTTCTATCCAAAACAAAATTCTAACATTTTTAACTTTGTGACTGAAAACTAACAGAATTTGAACCTGTAGATTCTGAAATTTTTTATTATTTTTGTTTTATTTTATTTATGAGAAAAGAGCACCATTGCAAAAATTGTGTCAATAAAAATAAGCATTTTATTTCATTATTATTCTTCTTTATTATCATAACAAATTCAGTACAAATTTTACTGCTCCGATGCGGATCTCAACAATAAATGTGATGTGCGAGGCCAAAATATTTGAAAAACCACGATGTGAAGAGCTATATAATTCTTTTCCAATACAAATTATTTTATCAAAATAAGTAATGATGTCACATCCATTAAATTTGAAATACTGTTATTCATAAAAGTATTGAAGTAATAAATAATAATTTCTGGATTTACAACTAATCATGCTGTTATTTCTATTCTATATTAATGTAAACAAGCAAGCACTTTCCAAAAATAATTCCTGAAATGAGCATTTAATGAAAGCTTTATCACTTTGCAACCCTCACTTTTCTATTAGTTTGAAATGAATTTCTAAAGTAGATCACAATTCCTCATATTTTTATATAAAACATGCTTTCTACATTTTCACGTTGTGTACTTGTATGTTGGTGAACACCTAAACTTTACAATCAGATGTCGATTTAAAGTTCAAACTTTAACCATAAAATATAACTAATACTCATGCAACAAATAGATTAATTTATCTGATACTTTACATGATGTTAGCCATTTAAATGTGCAACATCCACACACTCTGATGCAGATCACTTACCCTATACTCAAAGTTTGATACAACATAATAAATAACGTCCAGTATTTGTTGTAGTACACCCACGTCCATATCTGACCACCACTGACGTAGTACTGACTGGTCAACGTTCTTAATCACCCACATAAAACAGATCAGAAGATTTCTTGTAGATTCTGCATTCAGATTACACTTTCTTGGCTGTAAAAACAAATAATAAACTGTTGACCCTGCAGTAATATCATGCATAAAGTCTGTCTCAGGCAAGACAAAAATGAAGAAGCTGTATGTATTCATAGGCATTAGTCTTTCAAGCACATTATCGTTCCTCGACTCAACATTTTGCCTTATGATATGTAATCCAACAAAGATAATGTGGATTTAAAGCATATTAAGTGTCATCCTTTAGAACTAAGAAAAAAACTGCAATTCTCATTATTAATTTCAACATATATCATATATATATATATATAGGACTATAGTCATGTTTTGTACATAAATCCAAGACTGGAAACTTAATTAAATTTCATTTCCCTGCAATTATAATGTTCCCCTTTTTCTTGTACATGACAGAAGGAACTAACCTTTGACCCATCATAGGAAGGACTTTCCTGCACTCGTCCTGCAAATACACTAGAACCAGCTATCTCCATAGCAATATGCTGATTAATCTTATCTGCATCAGATTCAAAGTTAAAGCTTTTGAGGCGACCTTCAACATTTGGGTCCCATAGCTGTGGTAATGAATCGATAACAATTCCTATAACTGGCATGTACAGAGCAGCAAGTCTGGCCTTCATCTCTGGGTCTGTATACCTCACATCTAAGTCGTGGTTCAACAACAGATTTCTCAACACATTGATGGACTTTGGATGAATGGCAGGATTACTATTTAAAAGAAAATGGATAAGAAAGTTTTATTTGCAAGAGGATTAATCAATAATATAAAATGACATGTAAGGGTATGCTACATACAGCATGAACATCATTTGACCTTAGAATATACTTTTATTTACTGGTTCCAATCTTCATCAGTTGTTTAAATATCAAGTATTTGGTCTCCTTTTTAAATTTGTGCAGTCAGTCTATGACCATCACACACAAACTGAGGTAATGAATATAATGAAAAATGTGCTTCATATAAAAACACAATCAAAGATAGTTTTGTACACTTACTCACTTAATAATATAAAGCGATTATCTGATTTATCTACAAATATTATAATCATATACATTTAAAATACTAGCACTTCTTATAGCTTATTCTTCCATTATATTTTTTTTTCATATCGACTTACTAAGCCTTAGACAACAATTGCCTTAATACTGAATTTATCTGAATATTGAAATGAAATATGATGTATATCTTCATTCTCATTTCTAAATAACATTAAAAAGGTATATTTATTTTAATTATATAGTCAAATGAAAAATACTCACTGTATATCTAGATTAACTGACAAGTCTGATAACACAATCCCAAGCAGGAAATGTTGCTGTCTGAATTCTATAGTTAATTCATAGAACCTTCCCTTGTCTGTCAATGTACTGGTGGAGGCATATGATGACGACGATGTTATACTGGAAATACTGGGAGTAGGACTTGATGAATTGGCTGATGGAGTCAGAGGGGTTCCAAATGGTAAATTTAAAGGAAAGTAATGTTCATGACTACATACAACTCTCATGAAATCTAACTTGAGTAGAATCAGTGATGTAGATTCAGCTAGGTTCCTCATTTTGTCACCAAGCTATAAAATAAAATGACATAATGAAAGAGATCCTTGTAATCTTTAATTTTTATTATTACATTACATTCAATTTATTGTTTTATACATTCTGTTTTACAATAGAAGCATATATGTGTATCATATGAAATTCTTTTGTAATACTGAAGAATCTGTTAAATATAATACATTTCTGTTAACAATAAATGTGTGTGTAATATATGACATTCTGTTATAACATGGAAGTGTACCTGTTTTATATATAGTACATTCTAATGTACTATTTAAGTATCTGTTTTACATATTAAATCTGTTTTACAGTAAAAGCGTATCTTTGTGATATATTATATATTTATAGGTTATCCATGGTTTTTCAAATGATAGGGTGTTCTAAGCTACAATCTTATTGAAGGGCGATAACCCTGAGATGAGATGAAACCAAGAAACATTCTCGAGTTTGAAAGACCATTGATAATCTGTTTATTGCTATTTTGCCTATGACGTCGTTATTGCAACTGTTTTACATATTAAATGTGTTTTACAGTAGAAGCGTATCTTTGTGATATATTATATATTTATAGGTTATCCATGGTTTTTCAAATAAGAGGGTGTTTCTAAGCTACAATCTTATTGAAGGGCGATAACCCTGAGATGAGATGTGGCCAAGAAACATTCTCGAGTTTGAAAGACCATTGATAATCTGTTTATCGCTACTTTGCCTATGACGTTGTTATTGCAACTGTTTTACATATTAAATGTGTTTTACAGTAGAAGCGTATCTTTGTGATATATTATATATTTATAGGTTATCCATTGTTTTTCAAATGAGAGGGTGTTTCTAAGCTACAATCTTATTGACGGGCGATAACCGAGATGAGATGCGGCCAAGAAACCTTCTCGAGTTTGAAAGACCATTGATAATCTGTTTATCGCTTTTTTGCCTATGACGTCGTTATTGCAACTGCATGTGCACCCTTAGTTTCTAGTGATCATTTTCTATCTCAAGCAAGTAGCATAAAAACTTATCACAAAAGAAGATCAAAAGAACATTACATAAAACAGTGATAAGTATTATATAGAAATGTATCTATTTGATATATAACGTACAGTTCTGCAATAGAAATGTATCTGCTGGAAGACAAAAAATCTGTCCATATAGGTCAACAGGTCATGCAGGAAGAATGCCAGACTTGTATTTAAACTCTTCACTAATGATGGATCCTGAAAAACAGATAAATATACAATTGCAATAAAATCAAATTTTAAAACCTTTTTATTTGGATAACAAGTTCATTGAAAATTGAAAAAAAAAAAAATTCTGACATGACAAACCAACTGACAGATAGGGATGAGCTTAATTGTCAATTTGCTGCACTGAAATGTAAACAAAAGATACAAAGATCATATATTCCATATATATGGGACACTAAAATAAATCTTGGGGTTGACATATTATGAAGCATCCCCATCTGCAAATTTTGAATTATTTTCAATGGCTATCAACACTGAAACTGAGGTCATGTATCAAAGTATCCTGTAAAATATGCATATTCATATGAATATAAGGAGAAATGGTCCTAAAAACTTCACCTGACCATTGAAACACGTTACAGAAAAGCATTTATAAGTTCTCACATACAAAAAAAGATGCAGTTTCACTGAGAAAACCCATTCAAATAAATAAATGAGGGGTGGGAGGACCTTTTCTGAGACGTCAGGATTTATACTTATCATGACTCAGATAATTAATGATAAATTATTCAGAAGCCAGGAAAGAATGCTTTATTTTTTCTGGAATTTAGAGATAACACACCCTGAATAAAATATAAAATAACAAAGGTCAATTATAATGTGTAAACCTATTTACAATATCTGTTTATCTATATATGATTCTTCATCTTACCTTATCATATTTATCAACTATATCCCTAACAAACATTCTGACGAGATTCTTCAAATCATCCTCAAAATACTCTGGAAATCTCATTTGCCTGGGTGCTGATAGTTTGTCACACTTTGCTAGATGTTCAGCCATACTCTTTATCTGTGAAGCATTATAATATTAAAATATATTAAAAGTAAAGTGATTGTTTTAAACTAGGTAGAGGTTGGTTTGAATTAATGTACAAAATTTGGATGAGCAAATAAATCAATAAACAAGGAAAATCTCAGATTTTGAAGGATAAAATTTGTGTAAATCTCAAAATATCGCAAAATTTGTAAGATTTATGTAAACTTGAACTTATCTCACAATACTTGCAAAAAAAAAGAGTCAGTATCTCTGAGAAATTGAATTCATAATAAAATGATAAAATACACTTTGTAAAAAGTTGCACAACCAATTTTCTTCCCACTGGTCAGTTCAGTTCAAATTGTACCTAGAGCTATATACTGTGAAGTATCGAAATTAATACATCTCAGGTGAATCATCTTGCTACTTTTTACCTTAGATATATTGAAGATCAACCTGAGCATTGGTTCTAACACATAAAATCAAAATAGAAGTTACCACATGCAAGAAAATTGGTTTATAAATCTATAGTTTTGGTTGTAAAACACAGATAAATACCTGTGATAAACATAACAAAAGAAAATAAAATGCATTGAAAATCAATTGACTGTCTTTCCTCCTCATAAACTGACAATTTTGCTGGACTAAACTTACAAAGTCAAACATATCTATATATTTTGATTCCTTTTTATGTGTTAAGTAAACAATAAAAACTTTGGGCAATATGGATGTATAAACAGCTGTTTAATCACATCTTCTTTTCTTTAATTAACAAAGAACTCATACCATCAGCTCAAAAAAGAACCAGGAATATGTCATAGCAGTCTCCCTGATGGGTCCACTCAAAACTGACCACTGTAGTGCCAATTCTTCATGTACAAACTGAAATATATACATAATGTTGCTAAATAAAAGTAGTCATTCAAAAAACATCACGATTAGATAAAAAATAAACACGTTTTTTTTTATGTATTGGAAATCTGGTTTTGGAAAGCCAAGAATGGCCAAATCTTTAAAATCTATTACTACTACAAATAAAAACTTCAGAGTTTGGGGTGATATAAGAATTTATCATTCTAATATTGATAAAAAATATGTACTTTCATACATTCAGAACAAAAAGTACTTATAAGACATGTCTGTATTCTGATGAAGCTGAAGATAGTAGTTTCTGACAGCCTCATAGTCAAAAAAAGAACTTACTGTATATTGTATAGACAAGGTATGAAGTAAAATTTGATGAATGTTTCAGATTTATTGTTGTATTGTGGAAGGATTTAAAACCTACTGCAAAATCAATTCAGCTAAATGACAACAAAATTTTATCTTGTATTTTTCTACCTTTTTGGCAGCAGTTCTGGATCCAAACATTTGCTGAGCTAACTCTTCTCCTCTCATGCTTCCTCCTCTATCCATATAACGACCTAAAATAAAATTTTAGTAATGGCAATTGTGTATTCAACAGATTTATTATCATGAGAAATTTCAATCTCACAGATAAACAATGTTTTTATATAAATTTCTAAAGGCAATTTTCAATACTGAAACTTTTCCACTTCAGCTTCAGGTGATATAGGAGTGCTGCCTGTCAGGGTTACTAATAGATCTCTGGTTGTTTAAACTTACCCAATGAAATTGCCCACTTCAGCACCAAGTGATGTAGCAGTACTGCCTGTCAGGGTTACTAATAGATCTCTGGTTGTTTAAACTTACCCAATGAAATTGCCCACTTCAGCATCAAGTGATGTAGCAGTACTGCCTGTCAGGGTTACTAATAGATCTCTGGTTGTTTAAACTTACCCAATGAAATTGTCCACTTCTGCATCAAGTGATGTAAGAGAATTGTCTCTAAAGTCAGGGTTATTGGGTTAAACTTACCCAAGAAATTATCCACTTCAGTATCAGGTGATGTATGAGTATTGTCTCTAAAGTCAGGGGTTTTGGGTCAAACTTACTCAAGAAATTATCCACTTCAGCATCAAATGATGCAGGAGTACTTATTATCAGGTCAGGATTACTGGTAGATCCCTGGTCATTCAAACTTACCCAATGAAATTGCCCACTTCAGCATCAAGTGATGTATCAGTTCTGCCTGTCAGGTTTACTAATAGATCTCTGGTTGTTTAAACTTACCCAAGAAATTGTCCACTTTAGCATCAAGTGATGTAGCAGTACTGCCTGTCAGGGTTACTAATAGATCTCTGGTTGTTTAAACTTACCCAGGAAATTGTCCACTTCAGCATCAAGTGATGTAAGAGAATTGTCTCTAAAGTCAGGGTTATTGTGTTAAACTTACCCAAGAAATTATCCACTTCAGTATCAGGTGATGTATGAGTATTGTCTCTCAAGTCAGGGTTTTTGGGTCAAACTTACCAAAGAAATTATCCACTTCAGCATCAGGTGATGTATGAGTATTGTCTCTCAAGTCAGGGTTTTTGGGTCAAACTTACCAAAGAAATTATCCACTTCAGCATCAAATGATGCAGGAGTACTTATTGTCAGGTCAGGATTACTGGTAGATCTCTGGTCATTCAAACTTACCCAATGGAATTGCCCACTTCAGCATCAAGTGATGTAGCAGTACTGCCTGTCAGGGTTACTAATAGATCTCTGGTTGTTTAAACTTACCCAATGAAATTGCCCACTTCAGCATCAAGTGATGTAGCAGTACTGCCTGTCAGGGTTACTAATAGATCTCTGGTTGTTTAAACTTACCCAATGAAATTGCCCACTTCAGCATCAAGTATTGTCTCTCAAGTCAGGGTTATTGTGTCAAACTTATCCAAGAAATTGTCCACTTCAGCATCAGGTGATGTAAGAGAATTGTCTCTAAAGTCAGGGTTATTGGGTCAAACTTACTCAAGAAATTATCCACTTCAGCATCAGGTGATGTATGAGTATTGTCTCTCAAGTCAGGGTTTTTGGGTCAAACTTACCAAAGAAATTATCCACTTCAGTATCAGGTGATGTATGAGTATTGTCTCTCAAGTCAGGGTTTTTGGGTCAAACTTACCAAAGAAATTATCCACTTCAGCATCAGGTGATGTATGAGTATTGTCTCTCAAGTCAGGGTTTTTGGGTCAAACTTACCAAAGAAATTATCCACTTCAGCATCAAATGATGCAGGAGTACTTATTGTCAGGTCAGGATTACTGGTAGATCTCTGGTCATTCAAACTTACCCAATGGAATTGCCCACTTCAGCATCAAGTGATGTAGCAGTACTGCCTGTCAGGGTTACTAATAGATCTCTGGTTGTTTAAACTTACCCAATGAAATTGCCCACTTCAGCATCAAGTGATGTAGCAGTACTGCCTGTCAGGGTTACTAATAGATCTCTGGTTGTTTAAACTTACCCAATGAAATTGCCCACTTCAGCATCAAGTATTGTCTCTCAAGTCAGGGTTATTGTGTCAAACTTATCCAAGAAATTGTCCACTTCAGCATCAGGTGATGTAAGAGAATTGTCTCTAAAGTCAGGGTTATTGGGTCAAACTTACTCAAGAAATTATCCACTTCAGCATCAGGTGATGTATGAGTATTGTCTCTCAAGTCAGGGTTTTTGGGTCAAACTTACCAAAGAAATTATCCACTTCAGCATCAAATGATGCAGGAGTACGTATTGTCAGGTCAGGATTACTGGTAGATCTCTGGTCATTCAAACTTACCCAATGGAATTGCCCACTTCAGCATCAAGTGATGTAGCAGTACTGCCTGTCAGGGTTACTAATAGATCTCTGGTTGTTTAAACTTACCCAATGAAATTGCCCACTTCAGCATCAAGTGATGTAGCAGTACTGCCTGTCAGGGTTACTAATAGATCTCTGGTTGTTTAAACTTACCCAATGAAATTGCCCACTTCAGCATCAAGTATTGTCTCTCAAGTCAGGGTTATTGTGTCAAACTTATCCAAGAAATTGTCCACTTCAGCATCAGGTGATGTAAGAGAATTGTCTCTAAAGTCAGGGTTATTGGGTCAAACTTACTCAAGAAATTATCCACTTCAGCATCAGGTGATGTATGAGTATTGTCTCTCAAGTCAGGGTTTTTGGGTCAAACTTACCAAAGAAATTATCCACTTCAGCATCAAATGATGCAGGAGTACGTATTGTCAGGTCAGGATTACTGGTAGATCTCTGGTCATTCAAACTTACCCAATGGAATTGCCCACTTCAGCATCAAGTGATGTAGCAGTACTGCCTGTCAGGGTTACTAATAGATCTCTGGTTGTTTAAATTTACCCAATGAAATTGCCCGCTTCAGCCTCAAGTGATGTAGCAGTACTGCCTGTCAGGGTTACTAATAGATCTCTGGTTGTTTAAACTTACCCAATGAAATTGCCCACTTCAGCATCAAGTGATGTAGCAGTACTGCCTGTCAGGGTTACTAATAGATCTCTGGTTGTTTAAACTTACCCAATGAAATTGCCCACTTCAGCATCAAGTGATGTCTCTCAAGTCAGGGTTATTGTGTCAAACTTATCCAAGAAATTGTCCACTTCAGCATCAGGTGATGTAAGAGAATTGTCTCTAAAGTCAGGGTTATTGGGTCAAACTTACTCAAGAAATTATCCACTTCAGAATCAGGTGATGTAAGAGAATTGTCTCTAAAGTCAGGGTTATTGGGTCAAACTTACTCAAGAAATTATCCACTTCAGCATCAGGTGATGTATGAGTATTGTCTCTAAAGTCAGGGTTATTGTGTCAAACTTACCCAAGAAATTATCCACTTCAGCATCAGGTGATGTATGAGTATTGTCTCTAAAGTCAGGGTTTTTGGGTCAAACTTACCCAAGAAATTATCCACTTCAGCATCAAATGATGCAGGAGTACTTATCGTCAGGTCAGGATTACTAGTAGATCCCTGGTCATTCAAACTTACCCAAGAAATTGCCCACTTCAGCATCAGGTGACGTTGGAGTACTGCCTGCCAGGTCAGGGTTACTGGTAGATCTTTGGTAGTTCTGTCGACTAAGAGGTAAAGATGAAGGTCTTCCAAGGGTATTATAACCAGAAGCATTGGCTAGACTGGCAAAATTTATGGATGAAGCTGAAAAATATATATATTTCTGTAAAGTTTACACTTGAAATAAATGCCATCAGTCTTATATATATCAAACAATGAAAACAGCTTGTTGTATCATATTAGAGACCTGATACTGAACCACACATAACAAACATGTACATACTAACAAAAAAGTATTAAGATCAATCTTCCATTTATAGAGAAAAAACAAAAAGTATTAAGATCAAGCTTCCACTTATAGAGAAAAAACAAAAAGTATTAAGATCAAGCTTCCATTTATAGAGAAGAAACAAATGTATAAAGACCAAGCTTCATTTATAGATTAATATGATTATGATAAAGTGTGTTTTGTTAAACATGCACAAATGAGAAAAATAAAGAAACCTCATTGAAAACAAAAGAGTATGTCAAATCAAGTTGTTAATATCAACCATTAGAACAATCACAAGTATGTAGTTTCAAAGAAAATCTTTAGGAAAGGTGTAATAAAATGACAGCTTGACAGATTTAAATGCAGAGGATTAAAAGATACTGGTACAGGGTTATTTTTGTGGAAGGTGTCTGTCAATTTATTCCATTTTGTCATTCAGAAAATATGTTCACCATGTTTAAAATGGATAAATATTGACAATGCTTGTAAAAAAGTTATAACAATGGTTTTATTTAGTATACTATGCATTTATCCCTTCTATGAAATTTCCTTTAATTAAAATTAGGTATAAGCCTAACACTAGAAATAAATAAGTTTTAAGCTATCTCCAATTAATATTTTTCCTTGCACAGAATTGATTATTTGCATTTCAGTGCACCAACATAATCTATCATGATCAATAAATAGCATATTCTCCAAACAACATTCAAGATCAAGGTAGTGTATGGTAGAAATGGAGATGGAAATTCATATTATACATTTCATACATAAATGTGTTAGCCTGTAATTAAGTGGTTGTCGTTTGTTGCTGCATATCATATTTGTTTTTCGTTCATTGTTTTGTACATAAATCAGGCTGTTATCTTTTTGTTTGAATTGTTTTACGTTTGTCATTTCAGGACCTTTTATAGCTGACTATGCGGTGTGGTTTTGCTCATTGTTGAAGGCCCTATGGTGACTTTTAGGTGTTCACTTCTATGTCATTTGGTCTCTGGTGGAGAGTTGTCTCATTGGCAATCATACCACATCTCCTTATTTTTATATTAAAATTAAAGTTTTCCCATGAGGCAAGAGGCCAAGTGTTTTTTTGACAATGAAAGAATCTAGGGAAATAAAATTGAGTCAACCTTTATGCTTCTATCCATTTTATAACATAATAAGTAATTGTACTGATTAAATGCTGTTTTTGATAGATTTTTTTCTTGTAAGTTTTAAACTATATTATTATTTCTTTCCATTCATAAAGATGATAGGGGAGGAGTAAGTATTGACAAACTAATTCAAACATATTTAATAGCCTGTCCCACTCCAGACATAGTTCACTATGTTTGTTTTGGTTTTTTTGTTAATGAGGTCAGATCTTTAATTATCTCACAATCTTTCTAGACTAGGGTGATATTAAGCTTGTCATATGACCTTTGTATTATTGATCATTGCAAGTTATAAGATGATTTTCTGATGTTTATTAGCAGTACACTACATAGTATTTTGTTGGGTTGCTTTTTCATTTAAGCTAAGCACACATCTTATTCCTATAATACTTATAGTAGACTTATTTAAGCTGTGCTACATATTACTCCCTGCATACATCTAATGACTGGTACTACATAAAGCTAACATTTAAAAAGCCAATACCTTGCCAGTTCAGGATTTAAATATTTCATGCATATACATTTTTTTATTTGATTTTGTATTGGGGACATCTACCCAGCTAATTTAACTATGTCATTTCATTTTGCTTCTTAGATAGCATGCTATGGCGGTCTTTATTTTTTTCTCAGAAAAAAAAATCAAGTATGAAATGTGTATGAATTTGGGTATTAAAAGACAAAAAGAAATTGATTCCTTCGAGGTCAATACACATAACTTAAAATAGATTTATCATATGTACTATTGAATACAAGTAAAATTACACTTCTGGTAATTTTGCCAGGTTTTTAAATTGGAATTAAAAAGAAACTGATGTTACTGAATCTAATATGTTGATGTATTTTTTCTTTGTTCAATGGAGGAACAATTCTTTCAAAAGTAAAGTTGTAAGATGAGTTACATTTTCAGTAAGAAATCAAACCTGTCTTTCATGCACAAGTGTGTGTGTGTGTGTATACATATAGGCTTGAGCTAGGGTCAACTTACTTTGCATTGCTGTCAACAAATAAAGCAGTCTTCATAAAAATCTTTTATTCAAGCATATATTAGTAACAAGAGTTCATGTTCTCTCTTTTTGTGTTTTTTATGGTTAAAAAGGCATTAAAGCTTTCACACATAAACTAAATGTTGTAAAGATGGACAACAATTTTATGAAGATCAATTGCAAATAAGTTACTTTTAAATTACAAATGCATAATAAAACTCTGAAATGGAATACTCAAATATAAAATATTAAACTTCTGTTGAAAATTGTATACATATTTTTTTTTTACAAAAATGGAGAAAGCAATATGTCAAGATATGTTTTTCTACAATAATAAAATACAAAAAGCTTTTCTTTTGGTTAGATGTTCCCCTGATTTGTCTTTGGATAACATCTACTCAATGTTAACACATGGTCAAACTTTCTCCCCAAATAATAAAACATATTAATGTATTTTCACCTTCTTTTTCAACTTCCTTTCCATACCCTTTGTTTTAATACAGATTATTTATTTAACCAATTAATACTTACATTGATGAACAAGACCAGGATGAGGCAGAGAACAAGTATAATGGATGTATGAAGCCAACAGAGCATTCCTTCCATTATGATCATTCTTATCCTCAAGAATCTCATGTACTTTCTTTACAACATTGGCCATGGATTCAAAGGCTGGCTGACCTATATTTACTGTAAAATACAATCATTTTTAAAGATTAACAACTTTATTCAAAACATTGTCCATTACAGTTTCAAAATTTTTGCTTAAAAAAAAACAAATACACATTTCAATAATGTATTTTTAAAAACGTGTACTACTTATGCTCATTCTTCACAACACTGACAGAGATGTCCTAATGTAACTAATAAATTATGACAACAGCTTCTACAACATGGTTAAAAGTATCAAATTCAATTTCGTCTCCTATTTACTGTACAGAATATATAATGTGCATGGATTTTTAACGTTTTTTTATCCTTGTATCATCAATTAAATAGATATTTCGTGTTTTGAATGTGAAATCTTTTAAACATTTTAAAATTCTTGCACTAAATCTTTTTATGACTCACTATGACTAATTTTGTATGACATATGTGTTGTTTCTTGGCCTTGTATTCCTTGTGTAACTCTTGTAATGTCTGTTTATGTCATGTCATGCTGCTCATCAAGGGCTCTTAATTAGAATAATAAATATTCTGTATTCTGTATTATCCACTGGAGTTTTGATTTCCAGTGATTTTAGTATCTTTTGACTGTTACCATGGCCACTCAGCAGAATCATTTTTTCATAAATCTATACCAGTATTGTTAAATTATCTGCACGACTCACTACAGTAACTCATATCACACCAAAGACTAGTTAATGGATTCTCAGCAATATGAATGTACGCTAGATCCATCAAGTTATCTCCCTTGTCTCTGTTGCCACTTGACAAGTAGACAATAATCAAAAGTATTACAACAACAATGGTATCAACTTATTCTATAGGAAACTGACAAACAAAGACAGGTAAACAGAGAGTAACCAGAATCAAGTTTATCAATAGTTGTATGTTTCTGTAGTTACCTGACTGGCCACCCAAGACAGGTGGTCGAACATTCAATAGAATCAATTTATCAACAATCAATGGTTATAAATTTCTGTAGTTACCTGACTGGCCACCCAAGACAGGTGGACGAACATTCAATAGAATCAATTTATCCATAACCAGTGGTAGAAATTGTATAAGATTTTCTCCTCTGACTTTTTGCAGCTCTATAAGGCTCATTTTCAGATCAGTTTCAAATTGCAGTTCAGTTTTCATCATGGGTAGTTTCTGTTCTTGTGCATGCCTGGTTAAATTGAGGAATTTCTCCAAATAATCATCCTACAATATTCATTTACATTATATGATTCAAATATTAATAGTACATAAATAATAAAAGGTACTTTGTGAGATTATATATCACCCAGATTACCATTCTACAATGTTAGTTTAATATACAAATCATTAAAATTCATAGTGGATAAAAAAAATGAATTTTGTGACTAAGCTCATATCTATCACCCCAGCTGTCCCATCCCCAAAACATGTAAAAATACCCAGTCAGAAAAGTAGACACTATGAATATGTGATATATGTACACAATATTGTCCCCCAGAAAACATATATTCTGAACGTTAATTTTCAAAACAACTGAATTCATGTATGGTTTTGACATAACCAACATAAAATAAAGATCCTATCTGGACACTGGAAGATGACTAGACAAAACCAATGGACAGATTAGAAACATATTGACAGTAACTTTGAGACAAAAGGTACGATAAGAAAGCTCTTCACTTTTCTATCCCAAATATAAACATACAACTTGATCTATAAATATAACTCCAGAGAAAAGGAAATACTTGGAATAATTATCAAATTTATCAAAACATTTGCATATGAAAATATTAAGGTTTCCTTAAAATATTACATTGCAAAATGAACTGATAAATTTAACAAGAATGCTATATTCTGATGATGATAATTATCTATATATAAGTACCTGTGTATGAATTGATGATACAGCCTGGATAGCAATGTTAAATACTCCTTTGTGATTATCAACCCACTTCATTGAGGGCAAATGAGGCTGTAAAAACAATGGATAAATTATAAATATGATCATTCAATTATGTTCATATGATAAATGTTTTTGTTACTAACCTTTAAAAGCCAAAAACATTAAATACTATGAAAACCAAACAATGTTTATTCTGTATGTGCCTGTCCCAAGTCAGGAGCCTGTAATTGAGTGGTTATTGTTTGTTCCTGTTTGTTCTGTATGTGTCTGTCCCAAGTCAGGAGCCTGTAATTGAGTGGTTATTGTTTGTTCCTGTTTGTTCTGTATGTGCCTGTCCCAAGTCAGGAGCCTGTAATTGAGTGGTTATTGTTTGTTCCTGTTTGTTCTGTATGTGCCTGTCCCAAGTCAGGAGCCTGTAATTGAGTGGTTATTGTTTGTTCCTGTTTGTTCTGTATGTGCCTGTCCCAAGTCAGGAGCCTGTAATTGAGTGGTTATTGTTTGTTCCTGTTTGTTCTGTATGTGCCTGTCCCAAGTCAGGAGCCTGTAATTGAGTGGTTATTGTTTGTTCCTGTTTGTTCTGTATGTGTCCGTCCCAAGTCAGGAGCCTGTAATTGAGTGGTTATTGTTTGTTCCTGTTTGTTCTGTATGTGTCTGTCCCAAGTCAGGAGCCTGTAATTGAGTGGTTATTGTTTGTTCCTGTTTGTTCTGTATGTGTCCGTCCCAAGTCAGGAGCCTGTAATTGAGTGGTTATTGTTTGTTCCTGTTTATCACATTTGTTTTTTGTTTTGTACATAAATCAGGCCATTAGTTTTCTTGTTTGAATTGTTTGAGATTTGCCATTGCATGGCTTTTTAAAGCTTGCTATTTGGATTTTGCTCATTGTTAAAGGCCATACAGTGACCTATAGTTGCCAACTTCTACATTACTTGGTCTCTGTTGGATAGTTGTCTCATTAACAACCATACCACATCTTCATCCAATACAGTGCCAAAGTAAAGTTTGTAGGGTAGATGATAAGATATACAAAGTCTAGCAACAATGTCAGTATGTGTATTTATAATGTACTATACAATAACACTTCAAAATATCAAACAATACAATACAATACAATATAATATGCTTTATTTAAAAACACTCTGTCACATTCACAGGTGAAACAAGAGGTAAACATATACAAAATACAATCACATACAATCATAGAAAGAAAAAAGAATGTGTCCATAGTACATGGATGCCCCACTCACACTATCATTTTCTATGTTCAGTGGACTGTGAAATTAGGGTCAAAACTCTAATTTGGCATTAAAATTAGAAAGATCATATCATAGGGAACATGTGTACTAAGTTTCAAGTTGATTGGACTTCAACTTCATCAAAAACTACCTTGACCAAAAACTTTAACCTGAAAAACATTAACCTGAAGCGGGACAGACAGACGGAAGAACGAACGGACGCACAGACCAGAAAACATAATGCCCCTACTACTATCATAGGTGGGGCATAATAAAACAACTCTAAAAGGAAATATATTAATAATTACTACACTTTAAAATACTTTAACTAACTTTGAAACGAATAAAGATACATTTTTTAGTAACTTTATATTACCAAATGATAGTAATCCTTTCATTTTTGCTGCGCTTGGATATTTTACATAGTACTCTGGAATGTGCTGATTTCTGAAACAAGTATATAAACTTGGCCAATATATTGAGCTCTGAATCTAATTAAGCAGCTGTTTTTGAAGTATAGAAAAAATATATATAAACTCACATCTGGGTACAAGTTGTGGTAATGAGCTGGTAGTCTGTCTATAGACACATGAAGATTGAATTCTCCTGTCAACAGTTTGCTATTTCTACACAAAGGTAACCACTGTAAAGACAATGTAATTGATTAGGTCTATCTGCAGTATGATTTGTTATATAAGTTATCATTTCTATAGTCAGGATCACATGGCTAGATGTAATCTTATTTACATTAACAATGATTTAGCCTATCAATCCAAGTTATATTCAGCAATGACATATAAACATAGAAAAGTGATCAAATATTTCCAGGATAAAAGTTTAAAAGTATACAAATAAGAACAAAATACTTACCCATTTAGAAACATTTGTTATACATCCAACACAATTATATATTTCAATGTAAGGTATGCCAGTTAATATACTGTCGATGCTCGTGGAAATCAATTGTTATACATGTGAAGGTCGATATATTTTACCAGTCAATGATTCTAAATATAGAAACAGGTGGAAACCTATCAAAGTCGGTCAATATGGAATTAAATGTATGTGCGTACATGTATATATATTGCACCTCACAGGGTGAAGGTTAAATCTGTCATTGATGATATATGTGTGTCATTTATTTTGTCTCTAATTTCTATAGTTGTAAATACTTGTATGTTTAATTTTTGTTTATTTATTTATCATCGAATACTTTTAAAAAACAACCAAGATGTCACTTAATCTACTACACATATGTTCTTTAAATTGTCAGGGGTTGAGAAAACATGAAAAAAGAATTAGACTAAAAGAATGGATGAGACAACAGAAATGCAATATTATATATTTTTACAAGAAACTCATTTTTCGGTGTTTCGATTTACATTAACAAAATAATTAAACATGAAATTATTGACAAGTATGTAGATCAAGAGGGAAGAATTGTTTTAATCAACGTAGAAATTGATAAAAATATATTTACTTTTGTTAACCTTTACGCCCCAAACACATGTAAAGATAGAAATATATTCTTTAAAAAAGCTTTTAAGTGTCATTGAAAAATATAGCCTTGGTATACTTATTATAGGGGGAGACATGAATGAAACGCTTAATATAAAGGATAGAAAAAGTAATAGAAAAGATCAACAAAAAATAAAAAATAAGACAAATGAGTTGAAAAGTTTAATAAAAAAACTAAAAGTTATAGACATCTGGAGAGTAATAAATCCAAATAAAACACAATATACCTGGAGAAGAAAAAATAATGAAGTAGCTAGTAGAATTGATTATTTTCTTGTTAGTCAAGACGTGAGACCAGAGTACTCCACACTGATATAAGACCCGCTACAATTCAATATACAGACCATCTAGCTATTTCACTTAAGATAAATCATTGTCAGGGGGAGAAAGGAAAGGGTTATTTCAAATTAAACAATAGTATTCTTAAAGACGAATCATACAAAATGAAAATAAACACTTTAATAGATAAATATGAAAAATTAAGAGACCAAAAAGGTTAAGCAATCGTGTGGGATCTGTTTAAAATAGAGGTAAAGGAGACGACTATTGAACATTGTAAAATTAAAGCTAAAAATAAAAGAGGTGAAATTAAAGAATTAGAACAAGAACTAAAACTTTTGAATGAACTTCAGGATAATGTCCTTGATGAAGAGAAAAATAATAACATAATAGATTCAATAAAGAAAACAGAAGAAATGTTACAAACTCTATATTCTGATAAAATAAAAGGGGCACAAATAAGATCAAGAGTTAAATGGGTAGAAGAAGGCGAAAAAAATACAAATTTTTTTTGGGATTAGAGAAATCGAGACAGACAAGAAAAATATTACTGCTATTAGGGACAGTGAAGGGGAAATAACTGAGGATCAAGGTAAAATATTAGAAACGGGGAGGAATTATTATGTAAATTTATATACGTCAACTAAGCCAGATTTGGGAGAAATTGAGAATTATATTGAAAATACAAAAATAAACAGCAAACTAACTACACACGAAAGTAATGAAATTGAAGGAAAGCTGACAATAGAGGAATGTACAAATTCTGTTTTTAAAATGAAACTTAACAAAACACTGGGCATTGATAATCTTCCAAATGAATTTTATAGATCTTTCTGGTCCAACTTACAATATTTTGCTGTAGATGTCTTTAACCATTGTTATGAGAAAAAAAAGAATTGACAAATTCACAGAAACTAGGATTAATTACCCTTATTTACAAGAAAAATGACCCATTAAATTTAGACAATTATAGACCAATTACTTTATTAAATGTAGATACCAAAATTATAGCATATTCTCTTGCACAAAGACTTAAACCAGTATTGCATAAAATCATTCACAGTGATCAAAACAGGTATTTAAAAAACAGATATATTGGATTTAATATTAGACAAATCCAAGATATTATAGACTATTCAGAAAAATTCAACGTAGACGGGGCAATTCTTTTTTTAGATTTTTCAAAGGCATTTGACTCGTTAGAATGGGAATTTATGTATTGTTCATTAAAGAAATTTGGCTTTCAGAAATCTTTATTGAAGTGGATAAATACTTTATATACAGATATAAAGGGTTGTATATTAAATAATGGGTGGATTTCAAGACCCTTCAGCATTGAGTGCGGGATCCGTCAAGGGTGTCCCACGAGTTCTATAATTTTCGTTATTGCTGTTGAAATTTTAGCCTGTAGATTAAGACAAGATAAAAAATTTAAAGGTTTTCAAATCAAACTAGATAATAAAACCCATACTCTAAAGTTAAGCCAGCTTGCAGATGACACCACCTTATTTTTTTAAATTCAAAACAAGAAGTTTCATTAACTTTGAACATTATCGAAATTTTCGGATCATTTTCAGGCCTAAAGCTTAATCGAAATAAAACAGAGGGGATATGGCTCGGAAATTTAAAATCCTGTAAAGATAAAGTTGAAAACATTAAGTGGACACAAGAACTGATAAAAGTATTAGGAATATATTTTGGACTTAATAAAAATGAGTGTAAAAAATTAAACTTGCAAAGACAATACGAAAAATCGGAAAAAATAATTAAAGATTGGAATAAAAGAAAATTAACTATGTTAGGTAAAATAACTCTTGTTAAATCACTAATCCTACCAAATATAACCTATGTTGCATCAGTAACAGAAATTGATAAAGAATATCTCGCAAAATTTAAAAAAATAATATATAGTTTTATATGGAATAATAAACCAGAAAAAGTTAAAAGAGCTATAATAAGTAAAAATTATCTTGCCGGCGGGCTTAAAATGATAGACATAGATAAATATATAGAATCCATAAATATTAATTGGGTAAAAAGACTCATTGATAATGAAGACTCATCACCCAATTGGAAAGTCTTACCAAAATTTTACTTAGACAAGTTTGGACAAGAATTCCTTATATTTAAAATGGACTTTAACAATATTAATCTAATCAATAAACTAAAAGAAATTGTTCCAGAATTTTACTTAAAAATAATTATATCATGGATAAACTCAAAATCTGAAAAAGAATCAAATCGACTAACATATAAGCATATCAGACAGCAACTAATATGGGGCAATAAGCATATCAAATTAAATGGTAAATGTCTTATTTTTAAAAATTGGATAAACAGCAAAATTTTATTTGTAAATGACATAATTGATGATAAAGGAAAAATTAATCAAAATAAGATTTTAGATAAACTATCTTGCCATGCTAATTGGTTTTCGGAATATACTAAATTGATGAAAGCAATACCAAAACAGTGGTTACAAGAGCTCATAAAAGAAGAGTCAATCAAAACAAAAGTTGCTACCTACTCCGAATTTAAATTCAAAGATAGAGAAGGAAAAATGGTACCAATAAAAATATTTTCCTCGAAAGATATCTACATCTCGCTTTTAAATAGATATTATGAGAAAGCAATAGGATTTCAAAAATGGGACAGAATTCTAAATTTAGATAACAATACAAAGAAAAGAGAACAAATGCTGTACTTCATCTTTAACTATATCCAAGATAATAAATTGAGAATGTTAAGATGGAAATTTCTATATTACATTTTACCAACCAAACAATTACTTTTCTCTTGGAAAATAACTAAAACTCCTCTCTGTAATATATGTAATGTCATTGAAGATTATGATCATTACTTTCTGACATGCAAATATCTAAAATCATTTTGGGATCAAATAAAACTAATACTAGACAAACTTAAAATAGGACATCATATAATATCACTGGCATCACTTTTGTATGAATATAAGATAAACGATACAAATTATTACAATATCAACGATTTTCTAACAATCATACTTTTTACTATATATAAAGTGTATTACATATCCGAGCAGAAAACAAAACAAATTAATGTGTTTGAAATTTTTAAAAGTAAACTTCTCCTTTCTTACCCTGACTTGCGTGATAAAATATTACTTTTTACTTTGAATATGTATACTGAGTACCAAACAGGAATTTCTACTGGTCACAGTTTACATTTATTAAGATAATGTGACTACTTACTGCATTCCCAACAGGAATTTCTACTGGTCACAATTTACATTTATCAAGATAATGTGACTACTTACTGCATTCCCAACAACAATTTCTACTGGTCACAATTTACATTTATTAAGATAATGTGACTACTTACTGCATTCCCAACAGGAAGTTCTACTGGCCCTGATGCACCTTTCTTACTCTCATGTGACTGTTGACTTTCTACCTAGCTGAAAGTTCTACTGGTTCTAATTCACTTATTTTACTGTTACTGATATGATATAATGTGACTGTTTACTTACTGTATACCCAACAGGAAGTTCTACTGGTCCCACTTCACCTTTCTTACTCTGACAACTGATATGATAAAATGTGAATAATAAATGGTGGGCTTCTGTCAGCTTAGCTGGGAGTTTGATCTTGACTTCATCATAGAAACATGGAGTCCTGTAATGTATTTAAAGAAACTTTATTGGTGATTTTCTTACCAGAAAAAAAATGTTAAAGGGAAACTTCGCAAAAAAATGAAAAATTGATATTATGTTCATTCTGTATAAAAAAGCACAAATTCATAAATATTAAAGTTTTATTCTGCTATATAAGAGATCACCATCGATTTTAAATTTAGAGTATCAATTCTCTGCATGCGGCCATTTTGACATCTTCTCGGTTTCGAAACCACGATATATCTATAAACCACAAAGGACCAAAACTAGCAGTAACCTAACGTAGTCGTAATTGCGTGTCGATATCTTGTCAAGCGTACAGTTGTTTTATCCGACAAGAAAAGCATAAACAGTTTCCCGGGTCACAAACATGATTATAATAGACATTGTTGTTCAACCTTTCCTAACTAACATGATACGGAAAAAGTAATTATTTTTTTTTAATAACTAAAGTCTGTCGTTTTTAAACTGTTTTTTTTTTTACCAAGGATTTGTATTTGTTACTATACAAATTCTTGTTTTTACTAAGTTTTGAAACAAGAAATTTATATGGGAATTAGTTAAAAAGTCAAAGTTCAAAGTCATAAATAAGTGTCCCGTGTATAATTGTTTTCGAAAATCTAATTTGTTCATACTTTTTTTTATGTAATAAACTTTTATGTAATAAACCAAGGCTCCGTGTTGAAGACCGTACTTTTACCTATAATGGTTTACTTTTATAAATTGACAATTTGTGACTTGGATGGAGAGTTGTCTCATTAGCACTCATACAACATTTTCTTATATCTAATTATTTAAATAAATTCAGACCTTCCCTTATCTGATCATCAGCATGCATATGGCTTAAGGAATTATTCCCAGAGGTATTGTGAGGTGACACGTCCAGGTATTCATGCGATTTCCTGTCGGACTTAAAAACTCTTATTACACAATTACATAAAGCAAGTTCATGCATCCCTTCATTTCTGAGGGTATTGATTAGTGTACACGGCCGATAACTTATAACTTTCCATTTTGAAACTATCAGGTGTAATATACATCTTTGTCTTGCGTGTCCGAGAGTGATATACTAGTCATTACTAAACACATACGCTTGTTTATAAATAACATTTCTGGTGTAAAGAATGATATTTATGAAAATCTAAATAATTCCAAAAAAAGATTTGATAAAATTTTTCCAAGGGTAAATTGTGGAAAATGTAAGTATATACTCGTTGTCAATAATAATGGACATTTTGAAACATACAAATATTGATTTAACAAAAATGTACGCACTTGTCGGTCATTGGTTAATACGCCTAGATAGAAAGTTACGGATATAGATAGTCGCAATTAAAAATATATACATGTTTTTGAATATAACAGAGGAACATCCAGAACCAATTTGATTTAAATACAGGTTGATTTCTCACTTGCTTTGGTTCATCGAAGTTATGGACATAGTAAAATCACAGATTTATATTTCATTTAGATTGTTCTCGAACAGTTAAAGAAATTCGTCATCACCACAATTGTTGGATATAATGTATAATGATGTGAACATGGTTCTAACAGTACATTATGCTAACTTTCCTATTCCGACATGCATGTAATATATATGCCACTGGACGTACACTAATGATCCCCAAAAAATCTATTTGAAGAAATAAAGAAACTTCACTCCGGATAGACTGATAGTATTTGTATTAACGTCTGATTAGCTAGATGGTTGATTAATTTATTTAGTTGGCTTGTGGGGGAATAAACTATTCACAATATTGCACTTATGCATAAAATATTAAATGAGAGTAATATAAGAGAAAATATAAATACGAAAAGTCGCATATCTGGTAAAAAAAAGTCTCACTGGCAACTATAGAATTTCACGTTCAATTGTCATTCTTAATCAAGATAACGGACAGTCATAAAAATGCATGTACACTTTGATAAAAAGGGGTGCCGCAGTTGCATATTATTCATCATACATCTATTTCAAGTATATACTTTCCTGTCATTCTTATAAGTTAACGCAGAGATGTGTAACTATACATCTCCAGTTAACGACAATCAACCATATAAATATTTGAATCTGATGTGACTTACCGTTCATCTCTTTTTTTTTTTTTTTTCTTCTTTTTTTTTTTGATTTGGGTAGGTACACAAACATTGTAATGTTAAATATACTGTTCCCAGGTTGGGAGGGGGCTGTGGTTGGAGGTAAAGCCGGTATATTGAAAGTTACAAAATAAGAACGTTGTATTTATGAATTTACATGAAGAATTCTGATCTTGGACAAAGGTTTCTTTTTTTTTAGTTCAGTGATTTAAATTGAGAGAAAAAAATCTAGTCAGAATTTAAATCTTACCGGCAATTTCCACCTAAGACTCCTCTAAAATCATGAATGGTCACGCTTCACAATCATCCGAATTTTCTTTGCATTGGTACATTCGGTATCGGTAGCGATTTACCTTGACATTTCCGGGTATAACAGAGCTACTTGTATATTACCTGTATGTGCTTAGGTGACGTTCCATGAGGTCTTACGTATACAGGTTCACATTTATAATGGTTTCTGATATAACAAGGTTTTATGACATTCACACCTCTGCATGTTCTGTACACCATATTATTATCTTATTTTCAGACCAAACGTGTGGATGTGAATATTTTCCAGGAAAAATATTGAGTATCACAAAGTATCAAATTAATTTCGGGATTTTTTTCTTTCTTGGTATCAAATCACAGAAATTTAAAGAATATACTGCTTGTCCGCTTGAGGTGTATTCTTGTCAGTTAAGACTGACATATATGTCTCTGGTATAGAGTGGGTTTATGAATGAATGATAAGTCTTGCAAAGGTACAAGATATAAAGCACATTGAAAATTGATTTCGCCGGTCTGTCTCCATTCAAAAAAGGAAAGTTGACGTAAGATTGAATCTGTTATTTTTTTTAAACATCGTTGGTCAAATAACTTAAGTATGTACACGTTGTGAGATTTTAAATATTTTAATAAGGGCATTCCTGATTAGGTAAATTTAGATCGCTGTGGACGGACCAAGCTATATTAACATGATCATGTAACCGCGAAAATTTTCTCTAAACATTGAAATATTCAAGGTTAATACCCATGATAATTTGAAAAAGTAAGTACAGTGTTTGGTTTATACGCTCGTTTTCGTGGGCCATTTTTATTTATCAAATTATTTAATTAAAAGTAATTCAGAATTTCGATGTTACAACAAAATACTCACCTATCTATTTTAAAATTAAGCTTACGAAAAATATAAAAGATATATATAACGGCGATTCAGGTATTTTGCCACCATATTCCTCCCCAAATAATTAATGTTTTTATCATTCATACGAAATGTTGTTCACACCTGTAACGGTGAACCGTGTTGGCTAAAATTCACTGAGTGAAGACCAAAAGAATAGAATTACAGAATGCTAATCTTTTAATTACCTTGAATTTAACCACGCATTCAACAGGTAGTCACTAAGTGTCACAGTACAATACACATTGTATTTACACTGTACTAGTGGGAAATGTTTGCTAGACTGAAGTAAGAGACTTCAGGTGAGAATACAAACATGCATTTGTAAAACAATATCAATTATATATGTTTGTTCAAAATATCCATCGGAAAAAAAAATCATAAAAATATATTCTATTGTATGATTTACTTTTATTACTATAATCATATCAGAAATCCTTTAAATACAAATCGTACATTTTAATTTTGAAAGTTGCACGGCTGATCACTTACTTTCTTAATTATTAGTTGGTTAATAGCTACGCCAAAAGTCGTCGATGCGCTTTAAATCGCGTTATTAGATGATTAACGAACAAGACTTACAATGAGATTTATTCACTCCCGGCATGCAAAAAGACTTAAACTACGTCACATAAGTCAGGAAGTTCGAACAAATTAAATTATTAATTCCCAATTTTCTTCTTTATTAGTGTTCATATCCAGATAAAACTTGGTGAATATGTTTTTTTATGGTATTATGAACATATTAAGATGAATAGTAAAAAATCGCGAATTTTCCCTTTAATAAAAAACCCAACTTTTTCCACATTAATGTAATCAGCTTTATTCAATGAGCACTTAATAAGATCTGCTTGACTTCCTTTTTTAACTTCTATCACTTCCTCTTTAAATAATAAAATTGAGAATGGAAATGGGGAATGTGTCAAAGAGACAACGACCCGACCATAGAGCAGACAACAGCCGAAGGCCACCAATGGGTCTTCAATGCAGCGAGAAACTCCCGCACCCGGAGGCGTCCTTCAGCTGGCCCCTAAACAAATATGTATACTAGTTCAGTGATAATGGACGTCATACTTAACTCCAAATTATACAAAGGAAACTAAAATTAAAAATGATACAAGACTAACATAGGCCAGAGGCTCCTGACTGGGGACAGGGGCAAAAATGCGGCGGGGTTAAACATGTTTTTTGAGATCTCAACCCTCCCCCTATACCTCTAGCCAATGTAGTAAAAACAAACGCACAACAGTACGCACAGTAAAACTCAGTATAAGAGAAGTCTGAGTCCGATGTCAGAATAGGAAACAAAAGAAAATAAACAAAATGACAATAATACATAAATAACAACAGACTACTAGCAGTTACTGACATGCAAGCCACCAGACCTCAATTAAACTGATTGAAAGATTATGTCTTCATCATATGAATATCAGGCACAATCCCTCCTGTTAGGGGTTTAGTATTATACCGTCATAAAATATATGAGAAGAACATAACCCGTGTCATGCCAACAACTGGTTTTAGAACAAATGTGACTGCATTTATCAGCAAATGTTGCTGATTTTAGAAAAAACAAAAGACATCATTTAACGAATGTTGATCTAAAATAGTCAACTGTTACATGGTATTAGCTGTGATGACAATAACTAGAGGCTCTAAAGAGCCTGTGTTGCTCATCTAGGTCAATGTGCATCTTCAACAATGGACACTTTCCAACACTGTGGACTAGAATAGAATTCATGACAAAAATCTCTTTTTTGTTGGTCTTGTATTGCTGATCATTTTTTCTGTTTATACTTCCTCTCTATCTTCTTCTGTTTTTTCCAAAACACAAAAACGGGTTAAAAAGATTCTACTACCGATTTCGGCAAAATTTGAGTTAGTTGTAGATCTTGTCCTGATGATCATTATTGCTATCGAAAGTGTCTCTCTATCTTTTATAGTTTTCCTGATAATAGGCAAAAACGAAATAAATTGGTAAAAATTGTCATTAAAGAGCAAGAACTATATTAAGGAGTCCACTAACAATTTCAGCCTGTTGACTTATTTAGAGATCTTGTCTTGCTGATCAGTTTTGTTATTCAAAGTGTCTATCTATCTATTATAATTTTCAAGATACATGTAATAGGCAAAAACATTAAGAAATTGGTAAAAATAGTCACTCCTATGAGGAGTCGACTGATGATTTCAGCCATTAGACTTATTTGTAGAACTTTCCTTGCAGATTATTTTTGCTTATTTAAGTTTCTATCTGTCTAATATAATTTTCAAGACCAAAAAGTTAACGAACTACGACGACAGACAATGGATGCCAAGTGATGAGAAAACCTCACTTGGCCCAGGTGAGCTAAAAATATGCCAATACAAATAGATATGAATTATTGCCCAACACTGATCAGAAAGTGACCATACAACATACCATGATAAAAATGTTAAGGATAACAAAATACAATGTACATGCAATCTATGGAATACAACTAACTTGTTATGATAAGTGACAGGTGTGTATGCTTCTCTTACAAACTCTGGTCCTCCGGATTTACCAAAAATCACCTACAATCATTAAAATATATAATTAAAATTATTTACTTGAATATCTTTTGAATTACAGGCCATTAAACCTTTTAACAAATTTCTAACACATTCATATTTTTGACTTAACACTTTTTTTACTTTTACCTACTTCTTAATGACAATAATTCTCAATTAGCAGTACTTTTTAAAATTAGATTAACACATAGATACTCACAGGTAAGGCACAACTTTCTTCTTCACCTGCCATGAACTGCACTTTTACTGCTAAGTTTCTGGCAGAGCCTTGACGATTCGCAAAATTCAGACTTTTTGGATAGACATACAACATATTCCTTAAGAAAAAAAAATACACTTAAATGTAGAACAGGAAAGTATATTCTTAGAAAATGTTTTATTATAAATAAAAAACATTGCAACTTTATCTTTATATTATATAAACAAGAGTGCACATGTTGAAATGTCTCGCCGGCTTTACTACCATTGATTTTATGCCGATAGCCCTAAATTTAAAGTTTTACTACAAGTATCACATTAACTTAACATGATCAAAGAAAATGAGTTCAAAGTCAGATAAACCAAGCCAGAAATACATTTTCACCTTACAATCATTCCATACATTGAATATAGTTGACCTATTGCTTATAGTATACAAGAAACAGACCAAACCATGAAAACTTTATATTGACCAGTGAACCATAAATATGAGGTAAAAGTCAGATGAACCCTGCGACAGACAGACATGTACACTTTACAATCATTACATGGATCAAATAAAGTTGACGTATTAAATATAGTATCTAAGAAACAAACTTAACATTGACCAAGGAACCATGAAAATGAGGTCAAGGTCAGATGACACCTACCAGACAGACATATAAACCTTACAATCATTTCATACACCAAATATAGTTGACCTATTGTTTATAGTTTAAAGAAAACAGACCAAAACACAAAAACTTAACATTGAGCAATGAACCGTGAAAATGAGGTCAAGGTCAAATAAAACCTGTCAAACTGACATGTACATCGTAAAATATTTCCATACAACAAATAAAGCTAACCTATTGCATATAGTATTAGAAAAACAGACCAAAACATAAAAACTTAACTTTAACCACAGAACCATGAAAATGAGGTCAAGGTAAGATGACACCTGCCAGTTGGACATGTACACCTTACAATCATTCCATACACAAAATATAGTAGACCTATTGCTTATAGTATCTCAGATATGGACTTGACCACTAAACTTAACCTTGTTCACTGATCCATGAAAAGAGGTCGAGGTCAAGAGAAAACTGTCTGACAGGTGTGAGGACCGTGCAAGGTACACACATACCAAATATAGTTATCCTATTAATCATAATAAGATCGAAAAATCTTTAACTGTTTTACAAGTAGTCACTGAACCATTAAAATGAGGTCGAGGACAAAGGACATATGACAGGGAAACTTCATAACATAAGGTATCTATATACAAAGTATGAAGCATCCAGGTTTTCTACCTTCTGAAATATTAAGCTTTTAAGTAGTTAGTTAGCTACCTCCGCCGGTTCACTATCCCTATGACTAGCTTTCTGCAACAGAAGTCGCAGGCTCGACAAAAACAGAATATCAAAACATCAATCAATTTTCTTATGCTATTATATGCTCATATCTTTGCAATTCATATTAAATATAGACCAATGTAGTCACTGACAATATAATAAATAAAATGCTGTACCTGTAAATAGTGAATGGGGCATAAACTTCATGTGATGGGAACTCAAGGATTTCTTTGATTGGTCGACTCTTGTCGTCAGGGTAAGGTTCAACCTTCCAAAGTTCAGGGGTCAGGGAATATCTTGGTTCCTCTGGACAGGGAGAGATGTCCAACTTCAGAGTACCTGTCATAATTAAAACAAGGGTCCATATAAAAATAAACGTCAATGCATTAGTCTATGGTTAATACTAGATGAGGATTATTATTTTGAAGCAAGAACTTTTCAAAAGTAAAATGTTGAATTCTTTGGCTGTTATGTCTATCAAACATTATATATCAATCTAGTACAATTATACATCAATCTTTTACAATTTGTTTAATCAACTTTTCACAATTTGTAAGTTCAAAGCATTTCAGAGGAGACTACATGCAGTTACAGTACCTTTGAGATATGTTGTGGGGTGAGAAAAATCACAAAATAAAACACAAGTTAAAATGTCATTAAAGTGACATCATAAGGAAGATTTCTCAGCTTTTAGCATAAATAGAGAATTTCAGAAACTTTTCTGCTAAATTAAATTAGAACACATAAATTGCCAAAAATATTTGTTTGCCAAAAAATAGATAAATACTAACAACACTTTGACTGTGAACATCTTCTTTTGCAAGGGTTGTGCTGTTTATCATTCCTGAACAGGGATGAGACAATCAGTCAAGATTTTGTGTAAGTTTATTGTCATTTCATATAACCCAAGAAATGGAAACACTTTTATCAATGAATAGAGAATGTGTCCATGGGACACAGATGATGCCCCCGCTTGCAAATAACGTTATAAAGTGACATAACTAAGAGAACTGTAAAAGTGACGCCACACAAATTCAAACTTGATCTATTTTTATGGTAATAAGCACTGTGTATACGTTTCATAATATTTGGTTGAGGCAAATTAAAGTTACAGAATGGAAACCAATTTGGGGCGTACGTACGGTTAGACATGGGTAACACTTAATGCCCCCTTTGCCTTGCGGCAGGGGGCATAAAAATCATAACTGCAATGTTATATTAAGTACATAGATTCAATATTTGAAATGCATTTGATTTCAGAGCCAATTAGACCCAAAATCATACCTTCACTAGTAGCGTATGTAATTTTATACAAAATGTAATAGTCTTCCAACTTAAAACAGAACATTCCACAAAATTCCAAAAATAAAATAAAATAAAGATCCCATCTTGTAATTTGAAAATATTAATCAAGCATTTTCTTACCAGGTAGACATTTGACTCGTTTAAGCACACTTGATGGGCGTTTGAGATCAGCCAAAAATTTGTACAGATCTTCATCACTCAATTTGTCCCCTTCCTGAAATCATATAATAAACTATCTGTTAATCTATTTATAACAGTATGAACAGATAAAATCGTCTTTACATCACATCAACTCCAAGCGAAGGAGTGTCTAAACAGGAACAAGAGGGGAGATAGCTTATTTTTTTTATTTTAACACAATCTACAAACAGTCTGCAAAAAGAAAGGGTCAAAAAGTCATTACTGGCCACCAAAATACAGGTACATGGTTAGTTTGGTAAACTGTTGGCTATTGATTCATTAAAGAACAAACGTAGTGCATTTATGTGAACCACAACAGTAAAATATCAAAATAATATAAGAAAGTACACTCATATTTTTCTGAATAAAACTGATATGCATACAAGCAGTGATTTTCCTACCCTTTTTCAAATGGGGCCTGGGCCCTAGGCAATTGGGAAAAATGTGTCTTATAACGTATGAATTGGGAAGAAATAAATCATTGTGTTCAACATATTTTAAGGATGTACATGTTATTTATTATTTTAAAATTCCAATTTTCTTTCATGTTTCAATTTGAACATATTAACTCAGTCATACAACCCTTAGAATTATTGCAAGTTTCCTTGTCAGTAAGATTTCTCTCACAGACACTTATATGGCATGGTATAATGTTTTTAGTGCTTAGTTCTGAGCTAGAGACTAGAGTTGACAACTGTCACTGATTAGGGTCGCACTCAAGAGTGGGATTGGCGGTCAGTTTCACTTTGTACAGGAGCAGAGTTCATTTCAAGTGAATTATGCTCAGGTGTTTGGGTAGAAACAATTTGTTTAGTGTTAGTACTTGGGTTTGAGGTGACTGCTTTAGTGCCTTTATCCGCCACAACCACGGCTTCATCCTGTTCTACATCCGTAAAAGTAGAAACATTTTCGTTCAGAATATATCAGTCCCTGTAGTATCTTCAGTACTAATTTTGGATTTTTTTAAAGCTAAACAAGTTTTTTACAATCAGTGGCATCTTTGCCTTTTTTTAATTTGCGAACATAATATTTTGAATAATGAGAGGACATGTTGTCTGTTTGGGCATGCTCAATTCACAGCAAAAAAAATAAACCGGCAAATCTTTGCTCTGTACGACATTATCGCTCGAAAAAGCATATAGTAAAAATTTACGTGTGAGAAAATAATGAAAACCTTTTAGTTTTTCATGTTGGCATGTATTTACAATGTTACTCAGATAATAACACAGCATCATCACTTCATACCATTCTAAATTCTTACTGTTAACCGCTGGACGTCATCCAAATGCTGATCTAAGCTTACCCATTGTAAAACTGGTTTACGGTCGAAATATGATAGTTACCTGTCTATATTTGAAATGATTACATGGGGAACAGTACAACAACCAATATTTTGAACCAAATATTACGAACAATAAAATTATCAATTACCTTTCCGTTACAACTTGATTGAACTGGGAATTTTACGGGTTCAATTGGGAAATTTTTTTAGGTATTTTCTGATTGGGAATGGGGCCAATATTCGGCCCTAAAATAAAGGCAGGAAAATCACTGACAAGTCTTTTAATTAAGCACAATTTTTCCAGAATTAGTTAAAAGTTTAATCAACGAGCACAATGTTTAATTTATTTCTGTATCGATTCATCTTCCGATAACTTATAAAGTAGGAATGGTCGATACAATTCAATTTCTTTCCTTCAACAAAATAAAGTAGGAATGGTCGATACAATTCAATCTCTTTCCTTCAACAAAATAAAGTAGGAATGGTCGATACAATTCAATTTCTTTCCTTCAACAAAATAACATTGAAACAAAGTGATCTTCATAATGTCAATCATATTTACTAATGCACATCTTCACATTACATTGTAACTTATATAAAAAAAATCATAATTTTGTTAACTAATGATATCCATACCTGTTTAAAGAAACTAGAGACAGTTAATGTTACTGGTTTGAAATTATCTAAACTTGACCCGTAATCATCTGGTGAACCACCTCTTCTCTCATACCCTGTACGACCTCTATCAAATGAGCCTCTCCTTGAAATACTATCCTCACGGTTACGTTTCCTGAAACTGTCATATTGACCTGGTAAACTGGAGCTACTTCTTCTGTCTGAAAAGGTAAAGAGGAATCAATAATTTCGTGTAAAAGATTTGAACTGATCTGGTCATTAAAGACGCTCAAATTCAAGTTTAAATATGAAAAATATATCAAATTTGCCATAAAACATCACTTTTCAGATGATTTTTGTCTAAAATGGAAGTGGCCGCATTCATGTTCAGTCTCAACCATTATATATGTTATGTAATATCATCAAGTACAACATATATTTAAATATTAAGACTGAACACAAGTGCGGCCACTTCCATTTTAGACAAAACTGTCTAAAAATAGCACAAATGTTAAAATTGTGAAGATTTCAGTAATTTTGCCGGACTTAATGATACTAGTACCTGATGCATGTGCATTGTATTGTCAAAAACAGCAAAATATGTATGTAGCAAAAGTATTTTACTTTCCAATAAATAGCTAAAAGTTTACATTTTAAAAAATTTGTAAAAATGCTATATTTTGGGGGCCAAAAGGGAGTCTTACCGTAATCATAAAAACCATGTGTAAATAGGTTCTTTTCAATAAATTATCAACATGTGTAATCTAAAATATAATTTTTTTTTCAAAAAACTATGTTTTGCTGTGGACCTGTCATATAGCCTGTCTTAGAGAGGTATAAAGTGAAAGGGGAATTGTTCTAATATTACCCAGGCTGGATGTTCTAGAAAGATCTTGATCAAATTTATCAACTGACGACTCTCTCTCCATACTGCTAGCTCCAGTTACAATGTTCATCAGATATATAGCTGTCCAAGCAAATGGCATCCTGTATCTACCAAGTCTATCACAAAACTGCATAGCATTCCCTCTGTGTTTCTCTTCTTTTGTCTAAACACAGAAATATGTAAATTAATTCCTGTAAACCAACAACTTGTAAGCAAACATAACCACATTAAAGTAAATTATATCACCAAAAAGTATCTGTGCAAAGTAAGGACACAGAGTTTTGTGTGTAGTGTCTTGCAGACTGTTGTCTTATTCCCTTTCAGCCCCAGTGCTGTCTATCCTCTTTTGATTGCCCCTTTGATAACTTCAATGGATACTTTTATTGATTTGGTTGCCTGAAATATGTGTACTTTGTTTATTGTTTCGTCATGAATCAGACTGTTAGTTTTCTCATTTGAATTCTTTAAAATTTTGTCATGTCTGGGCCATTTATAGCTGATTATAACTTATGGGTTTTGCTCATAGTTTAAGGTCGTACTGTGACCTATAGTGACTTATGGATAGTTGTCTCATAGACAATCATACACACCTCCTCATATTAACATTATTTTTTAAATATATCAAATAAATCAGACCTTATCTTCCTTTAGATATGGATCAGCACATTCCCCAATGTCTCCTTGTTGTAACACTTTCTCAAGCTGAAATATCACAAAAAACCTCATCAAATATAAATAGCAATGACATATGTTTCTTTTATATATCCAACATTAAGAAGAAATTTATTTTTACATGATGGAGTACAAAAAAATTTGAAACCTTGGAAAACAGCTGGTGAAAACTGCATTTTATATTATTTCTGCATAACCTTCCTCTTTCTTATAATGACTCCTAATGAGGAGTTATAATCATTGTATAAAATAAATGGGAATGTGTCCATGGGACACAGATGATGCCCCCGCTTGCATATCATATTAAGTTATAAAGGGACAAAACTGAAGAACATTAAAAGTGACGCTACCCAAATTTGTACTTGATCTGAGATTTTTGTTAATAAGTATTGTGTATAAGTTTCATAACATTTGGTTGAGGCAAACTTAAGTTAGAGAACAGAAACGAAAAATTCAGCAATTTTTCCATTTGTAAAGGGGCATAACTCTAGAACAGTAAAAGTGATACCACCAAAATTCCATCTTGATCTATATTTTGTGGTAACAAGCATTATTTATAAGTTTCATAACATTTGGTTGAGGTTAACTTATATAAGAGAACGAAAACTTCAGCAAATTTTCCATTTGTAAAGGGGCATAACTCTAGAACGGTTAAAGTGACACCACCAAAATTCAAACTTGATCTGTATTTTGTGGTAATAAGCATTGTGTATAAGTTTCATAACATTTGGTAGTGGCAAACTAAAGTTAGAGAACGGAAACAAAAAATTCAGCAATTTTTCCCTTTGTAAAGGGGCATAACTCTAGAACGGTTAAAGTGAAGACACCAAAATTCAAACTTAATCTGTGTTTTGTGGTAATAAGCATTTTTGTATAGGTTTCATAACATTTGGTTGAAGCACACTTAAGTTAGAGAACGGAAACCAACTTTTGGATGTATGGACAGAAGGACGTACGTACAGACGGACAAGGGTAAAACTTAATGCCCCCTACGCTACGGCGGGGGCATAAAAATAGTATTGATTAGCATAAATATTTACAGAGTGTAACCAAAACCTCATTTATGGCTCCAATGGATCACCATATTCTCTAGGTTAGCTGTTTGATATTGGTTTCTATGAAAATCCTAACACTTACCCTAATGACTAGGAAAACATCTGGTGAAGGATATGTGAGACTTAATACACAGCTCCTACTCAGGGTATGTAATACTTACTTTTATGACAAGGAAAACATCTGGTGAAGGATATGTGAGACTTAATACACAGCTCCTACTCAGGGTATGTAACGCTTACCCTAATGATTAGGAAAACATCTGGTGAAGGATATGTGAGACTTAATACACAGTTCCTACTTAAGGTATGTAACACTTATCCTAATGAATAGGAAAACATCTGGTGAAGGATATGTGAAACTTAATACACAGCTCCTACTCAGGGTGTGTAGTACTTACCCTAATGACTAGGAAAATATCTGGTGAAGGATATGTAAGACTTAATACACAGCTCCTACTCATGGTGTGTAGTACTTACCCTAATGACTAGGAAAACATCTGGTGAAGGATATGTAAGACTTAATACACAGCTCCTACTCAGGGTAGACACGTCCTGCTTTGGTACATGATTTGATATCATATTCTTTAGATTGTCAGAGTTCATGTCAAAGTAAAAGTTTTCTGATATCTAAAATAAAAATATTCTTTATTACTTGTTTGAAATCACATATATATCAAATAACTATGTAGCATTCAAAATAAAAGCTAAAATAAACTGTTAACACAGAGATATGTCTTGCCTATTTGTTATTTTGATAATGCAAATGTTGAAATTAAAATAGCAATACTTTAACATGTAAGTTATGCAAATATTCAAAGTCAATGAACCATGACTGAAGGTACAGGGTAAAACAATCTCCGTGGAAATGAGAAGTGCCAATGCTAATACAACCTCATACCAAACACCATTGACTTTTCATAAGTCGTTTCCTTTAAACAAACTTAAACACAAACATTCACTCGTAAACTAAGTAAAAGTTTTAAAGTCAATGAACCATAATGAGGGGGTGGGGTTATATAATCTCCATAAAAAATGAAATTTGCAAATGCCAATACATTTGCATACCAAATATCATTGACTTAACATTAATGGTTCATCTTAAACTGACCTAATCACAAACTAATACATGTTAACTAAGCAAAAGTTTCAAAGTCAATAGACCATGACTGAGGGGTAAGGACCAAATATTCTCCGTGGAAATGAGATATGCTAATGCTTATACAACTGCATACCAAATATCATTGACCTACCACTAGTGGTTTCCCATAAACTTGACCTAATCACAAACTAATACATGTAAACTAAGCAAAAGTTTCAAAGTCAATAGATCATGACTGAGGGGCGGGGCCAAATAATCTTCATGGAAATGAGATATGCTTATGCTTATACAACTGCATACCAAATATCATTGACCTACCACTAGTGGTTCTCCATAAACTTGGCCTAATCACAAACTAATACATGTAAACTATGCAAAGTTTCAAAGTCAATAGACCATGACTGGGGGGTCAGGGCCAAATAATCTCCATGGTAATGAGATGTGCCAATGCTAATACAACTGCATACCAAATATCATTGACCTACCACTAGTGGTTCACCATAAACTAGACTTAATCACAAACTAATGTCCCGTCAAGGCGGGACAAAAATCGTTATTCTCCATTTCTTTTTATGTATATAAATTTACAAATTGATTTTTCAAATGTACAAGATGGCAATTTCCTGTAAAAATATTTTTGCAACAAACATTTCAACATTTTGCATTTTTTTAAAACACAACATGATGATGATGGAATGTCCATGCATATCAGTACAAAAACATTTTAACCAGAGAAAATATATTTGACATTACATGGTTATAAACATTCAGTTTGACTGGATATACACACAAATTTAAGGGCATCACATTCAAGATTGATGGTCTATAATTGTGCATGAAAGCAATGGTGTCATGCAAATAATTTTAAAATGAATAATTTAACAGATTTTTTAACAGTGTAATTAGTGTTTTACTCAGTTACACCAGAATTGAAATAACAGTATTAAATTTGAAGATATCATAGCAAATATAAATATATCATTTTATATAGGTATATTTTATTATGTATAGAACTAACCTTCTTTTTTTCTTTAGAATCATATAAAGCCATACAGGCAAATATTGGTTCAAATTCTAACTCTAATCTGAAACAAAGAAAAAATATTCTGAAGAAATTAAGAGTTATATCTAGATCAAAATTCTTTGAAAGAATGGTAAAGGTGTGTATCTGAGAATACCCTGCCACTGTAAATCAAAGTTATTTGTGATGTGATTTGCCCAAAAAAATGCACATAATTCAAATAGCATCATTTGTATGCGGAATTTCCTGTAATTTTAATAATTAATCTCACATTTTTGTTCATTATTCAAAATTTGCATCAATAATAAATGCATGCAAAAATTACTGAGTAATTATTTCTAAAAGAGCTCTTAATATTTTTTTTAACAAGCGAAAGAATATAAGTTTGTTTAATCTGAGAACTATTCTCTATGATTTCAAAATAAAATAGAAGTGTATGAACAAAATACCTCAGATTAAGACATTTAACTAATATCCTGTGTCCAAAATGTTCTTGTGGAACAACAGCTGGGGGTCTTCTTTCTATCTTTTCCTCCTGAAATTAGAACAGCTTTAATGTTTCTGTTGGTTACATAAATAATTATAACAATTTTTCAACAACAAAAAAACCTTCGTACTAGTCTTAGGCTTATTCAGGGAAGTTCACAACATTTGTTGAAACATTTTCCTGCACTAATTTTCATGACAAAACTTTATGACAAAAGAGATGATTTCAGCTTCCTAATTGTGAACTTTCCATTTTTATGTAGCAACATTCCAGCAGCGCCTGCATACGGAGTATATATCTCCCAGTTGATACGATACTCCAGGGCTTGTATTTCCTATCATGATTTCCTTGATGGTGAAGTTGAAATCATCCCTTCGTAAATTTTACAGACGCCATCACGAGTTTGTTGACCGTTATGGAATATCCGTTTCGCAGATTAGCAACAGGACGGTTGCCACGTGTGGAGCAGAATCTACTTACCCTTCCAGAGCACCTGAGATCACCCCAGTTTTTGGTGGGGTGCATGTTGTTCAGTCTTTAGTTTTCTATGTTGTGTTTTGTGTACTATTGTTTGTCTGTTGGTCTTTTTCTTTTTTAGCCATGGCGTTGTCAGTTTATTTTGGACTTATGAGTTTGGATGTCCCTTTGGTCTCTTTCGCCTCTCTTTTTCAGTAAAATCATGTGCACTCCATTTCATAGATTGTCCTTTTGCAAAATGTGGATAGTGAAAAAAGATAAGAAACAGAATCTATGCAATACAACTTGATGTCTATTTCAGAACTTTGAAGAGATTGAAACAAAATAAATATATCATCAATCTATTGTAATCAAATTTTATCATAAATTCATTATTATATTTTTTCAGCCATAGTTCAATATTGATGCTTAGAATCCTACAAGTAAACTAGATTTTGTAACCCTCCTAAACTATGTGTAACCGAAATAAAAAATTCTCATTTGATCATTGAGTCTAGTGTTAGGATATTTTACCTCATCTGGTATTTCATACATGCTGAACAAGGAATCTAATCTGTTTTGTTGTCGTTGGTCCTCGTTCTGTTTGTCTACTTGTTCATAAGACATCTGTTCAAACAGGTTAGGTAGTAATACATCAGCTTGTGATTGTTTCAGATCAAATATACTACTGGCCCAACTTCCACGTGGTGTGTCATTCATGTGGATGGATTGCCTTTTTAAACTAACATCCTTAAATATATAAAATTCTGTGTTAGTTAAAACAATTACTTAAAAAATAAGGAGGCTCCCAAGAGCCTAATCCACTACACTGTCAAAATTTTGATGTTTATGGTTCCTTCCCAATCTATTATACTTTTCGAAATAACAGGCAAAAAATGGAAATAAGTAAACAAAATCTCCATTTGAGGTCAATTACCTCTTTTAGGAGTCTTCCAATAATTTCTGGTATTTTTCCATTTTGTAAATCTTGTATTGCTAATTGATTTTCTGGATCACAGTTTCCAACTACCGGTATTTATTATAGTTTTTGAGATTACAGGCAAAGGGTATTTAACTTGAGTAGTAATTGACAATTTCCACCAATTTGACTTATTTGAAGATCTTATTTTGCTGACTAATTTTGCTACTTACAATTTCTTTCTATCTATTAAAATTTCTGCAAAATGCAAAATCTGTAAAAATCAACTTTCAAGTGCAACAACTAATATAAGGCGTCAGTTGACAATATCGGCCACATTGACTTATTTGCAGATCTTATTTTGCTGAACATTTTTGCTCTTTAAAGATTCTATCTACTACTATTTTCTGGAAAAATGGTAAAAAATCATCATTCAAGGGTAATAACCTGTAAGGGGTCAATTGACAATTTTTGCCAAGTTGACTTATTTGCAGATCTTATTGTTCTGATCATTTTTAATTATTTATAGTTTCTCTCTATCTCTATAATGGTTTTCAAGATAATACCTAATTAAAAGGAGAATGTGTCCATGTGACACAGATGCCCCTACTTGTAAATATACAGCAAATTCAGTAATTTTTCCTTTTACAAAGGGACATAACTTGAGAACGGCAAAAGGGACGCCACCCATTTTCAAACTTGATCTGCGTTTGGTGGTAATAAGCATTGTGTATAAGTTTCATAAAATTTGGTTCAGGGAAACTAAAGTTAGAGAACAGAAACTTATTTTGGGACATACAGACATACAGAGGTAAATCTTAAGGCCCCTGCCACAACGGACGAGGCATAAAAATGCAAAATTTGCTTAAAATCACTACATTTGGGACAACAAGTCCAAAATGGCTTATCCAATTTTTCTTAAAATTACAAAGGAGAAAGGCCTCTACCAGCTGAATATTTTTCTCAACCATGTCAGTTTTGCTCTAACTGCTATAATTTTTTAGATAAAGCTGAAAACTGCATTTTACCCCTATGTTCTATTTTTAGCAACAGCAGATTTGTTTGATGATGGATTAAATCCCTGGATACTTATTTGTAGATTGTACTTTGCTGAACAGTTTCAATATCTAAATTCTCTCTATCTTTTATTGTTTTCCGTAAAAAATGTAAAAAGGGTAAATAATCATCTTTCTGAGGCAATATCTCCTTTAAAAGGGTCAATTGACAATTTTGGCCATGTTGTCTTATTTGTAGATCTTATTGTTTTTATCATTCTTATTTTTAAAGTTTCTCTATATCTATACATTGTAATAATTTTCAGGTTAATAAACAAATCATGTGAAATCTGCTAAAAGTTGACATTTCAGAGGCAATAGCTGCAAAAATGGGTGGCCAGATTTTTCTTAAAATTTCAAAGGATACAGATCATTTTAACCCTAGTCAGTTATGCATTAACTGCTTTTTGAGACATGAGCCTAAAACTATTTCATATACTTGAATGGCAAAATTTTACTATAAAACATGTGTAAAAAGACTTCCTTTTAAAAGAAAATCCTTTATTTTATCCAAATCTTCAGAAATGTGCTGATTTTGAATTATTGTCTTCTCCAAATCACTATAAGCTTTTCCCCATGCAGAGAACAAAACCATGATACCTCTCTTTAGAAATTCAGTAACAGCACAGCACTAGTGCAAGGGATAAAACGTGATAAAGAAAAGGTAAACATACGCGCAAACAAGATTGTATTAATCGATTCTGAAAGAAAATTTTAATACACAATATAACTTTACAACTGTTATGACAAAGTTTAATTAACAAATGGTACCTCTAGTATATGTGGAAAATATAAAAAATCAAAGCACGAAAGCGCTGTAAAGGCAGTTAATTACAGGTTGTGTGTATTTTAAGTCCAGTTATATCATTATCTTGCATAGTACAGTGTACTTACCAGAGGTGGCTTTCAGTATTTAAGATTTAGAGTTCTCTAATGATATTGAATAAGTTTTATGAATGTCATATTCTGAGCACTATATGAAGGCGATTGTTCTCACTTGTTTATGAACTAGTGCATTATGTCCAGTTTGTACCTTTTTTATCTATGTTTATAGTCAAATTAGTTATCAAAGGTACCAGGATTATAATTTAATACGCCAGACGTGTGTTTCGTCTACATAAGACTCATCAGTGACGTTCAGATGAAAATAGTAACAAAGCCAAACAAGTACAAAGTTGAAGAGCATTGAGGACCCAAAATTCCAAAAAGTTGTGCCAAATACGGCTAAGGTAATCTATTCCTTGGATAAGAAAATCCTTAGTTTTTTCATTGGCAATCATAACACATCTTATTTATATAATGGTCTATATTCAACGACCTCAGGTACAAAAAAAATGTATGTAACTAAACTATGATGGGAAACCTTTGACTTCTTTCTTTATATAAACTTTTGATTTGGTACCATAGAACTATGTAGAGTAAATGTACATTGCAACATGTCAACTCTTTCAACTCCAAGCAAAATTATATTTCCAAGCATAAAGTAATTTATGAATGAAATAAAATGCTCCGCTGGGGCGCAGCTTGATACGACCGCAGAGGTCGAACCCTGAACAGTTGGGGCAAGTATGAACACAACATTCAAGCTTGATTCAGCACTGAATTTGGATTGTAATTAAATATTTGACACAGCATAGGTTTCTGACACAGAATTAAAGTGGTCTAAGATACTTAAAAAAATTTAATTTACCTATTCAAACCATATCATTATTATTTGCTTTTATATATAAATCAGAAATAACCAATTTAAAATGGGAAATTTTAAAGAAAAAAAAGGAAAAAGAATCCCCCCCCCCCAAATTTTTTGAACCCCCTTATGATTCATCACCCCAAAACTCAATTCCCTTTGTGGTATGGTACCTTGCAGTACAATTTCAGAGAGATCCATACACTTGAACACATGTTATTGTCTGGAAACTAGAAAAATGCTTGTTTTTTGGCCCCTTTATGGTCCCGAATTCCTAAACGTTTAGGACAATTACCCCCAAACTCAAACCCAGCTTTCCCTTTGTGATATGGAACCTTGTAGTACAATTTCATAAAGATCTATACACTTACACACAAGTTATTGCCATGAAACTAGAAAAATGCTTGTTTTTTGCCCCTTTTTGGCCCCTAATTCCTAAAATTTGGAGGCAATTACCCCCAAAATCAATCCCAGCATTCCCTTTGTGATATGGAACCATGTGATACAATGTCAGAGAGATCCATAGACTTACACACAAGTTATTGTCATGAAACTAGAAAAAATGCTTGTTTTTGGCCCCTTTTTGGCCCCTAATTCCTAAAATTTGGAGGCAATTACCCCCAAAATCAATCCCAGCATTCCCTTTGTGGTATGGTACCTTGCAGCACAATTTCAGAGAGATCCATACACTTGAACACAAGTTATTGTCTGGAAACTAGAAAAATGCTTATTTTTGGCCCCTTATTCCTAAACTTTTTGGGCAATTACCCCCAAACTCAATTCCAGCTTTCCCTTTGTGATATTGAACCTTGTAGTACAATTTTATAAAGATCCATACACTTGAACACAAGTTATTGCCATGAAACTAGAAAAATGCTTGTTTTTTGCCCCTTAATTCCTAAAATTTGGAGGCAATTACCCCCAAAATCAATCCCAGCATTCCCTTTGTGATATGGAACCATGTGATACAATGTCAGAGAGATCCATAGACTTACACACAAGTTATTGTCATGAAACTAGAAAAATGCTTGTTTTTGGCCCCTTTTTGGCCCCTAATTCCTAAAATTTGGAGGCAATTACCCCCAAAATCAATCCCAGCATTCCCTTTGTGGTATGGTACCTTGCAGCACAATTTCAGAGAGATCCATACACTTGAACACAAGTTATTGTCTGGAAACTAGAAAAATGCTTATTTTTGGCCCCTTATTCCTAAACTTTTTGGGCAATTACCCCCAAACTCAATTCCAGCTTTCCCTTTGTGATATGGAACCTTGTAGTTCAATTTCATAAAGATCCATACACTTACACACAAGTTATTGCCATGAAACTAGAAAAATGCTTGTTTTTTGCCCCTTTTTGCCCCTAATTCCTAAAATTTGGAGGCAATTACCCCCAAATTCAATCCCAGCATTCCCTTTGTGATATGGAACCTTGTGATACAATGTCAGAGAGATCCATAGACTTGCACACAAGTTATTGTCATGAAACTAGAAAAATGCTTGTTTTTTGCCCCTTTTTGGCCCCTAATTCCTAAAATTTGGAGGCAATTACCCCCAAAAATCAATCCCAGCTTTCCCTTTGTGATATGGAACCTTGTGGTACAATGTCAGAGAGATCCATACACTTACACACAAGTTATGTCTGGAAGTTACAAAAATGCTTATTTTTGGCCCCTTTTTGGCCCCTAATTCCTTAACTGTTGGTACCATAACCCCCAAAATCAATCCCAACTTTCCTTTTGTGGTATTGAACCTTATTTTAAAATTTCATTGAGATCCATTCACTTAAACTAAAGTTAGAGTGCGAAAACTAATGTGTCTTCGGACGACGACGACGACAACGTCATACCAATATAAGACCACAAAAATTTTTTTGCGGTCGTAAAAAAAGGAGTTCTTAATTAAGAAATAAACTGATTCGCTGAGCGCAGCTGGATACACCCGCAGAGGTACTACCCTGAACAGCTGGGGCAAAAATGGACACAATATTCAAGCTTGATACAGGTCTGACTTTGGATTGTAATTAAATATTTGACATATTATAGTTTCTGAATAAATGTAGTCAATGAACTTGAAATCGGTTATATGAATTGAATTTATATTCAATTAAAGATTTCTTGCTGTTGTGCAATACACTGTGCTGTTGTGCAATACTTAATAAATCTGTTGCCAGACTATAAACAAATAAAGTTCAATTTCTTCTCAATGTCATATTTGAAATTTATGAAAATCAATAGGGAGATTACATCAATAGCTATAAATAATTCACCAAAGTTTCATGTGAACTGCTTAAAGCATTTTTGAGTTGTTGTCCAAAAACTGGAAAATCCCCCCTTTTTTAATGAATAAAACCCCATAACTCAGAAATGTAAAATCTAAAATTTATAAAATTCTAAAGGGAGCTTACGGATTGATAATTTAGTCTTAGATGCAAGATTTTTTTATCAGTTGTTAGTGGCTTTGAACTAGCTGTCAGTAACTGTGAGTACTCTCAGATTTGTACTTAGTGTCTTTTTGTTGTTTGGATGTACAACTACCCGACCACGTCCACTTGTATTTGTATTTATCCATCTGATGAGTTTAGCCTCTTTCAACTGATTTTTATAGTTCTTTCTTATATTGTACTGTTACACCACTGTCCCAGGTTAGGGGGAGGGTTGGGATCCCGCTAACATGTTTAAGCCCGCCACATTCTGTATGTACATGTATGTGCCTGTCCCAAGTCAGGAGCCTATAAAAGTGTAATTCAGTGGTTGTCGTTTGTTTATGTGTTGCATATTTGTTATATTTGTTCATTTTTTTACATAAAATAGGCCGTTAGTTTTCTTGTTTGAATTGTTTTACATTGTCATTTCTGGGCCTTTTATAGCTGACTGTGCGGTATGGGCTTTGCTCATTGTTGAAGGCTGTACTGTGACCTATAGCTGTTAATTTCTGTGTCATTTGGTCTCTTGTGCATGTGTGGAGAGTTGTCTCATTGGCAATCATACCACATCTTCTTTTTTATATTTACATCAACAGATATAAAAAATTCACCAAAGTCAAGGTGAGACAACAAAACTTAGTTGTAAGATCTCTGAAATTTTTTACAGGGTACGAGTTTTTCTCATTGTTGGAGATTGTACGGTGACAGTAACACCTGTAACTGCTTAAACCCATTTCTTATGCACTTTAGTTTGATAAACTCACTGAATATCATACCACATCTCCTTATTTTTTTATGCATTACAATTTACATGTGCATGTAATTGTAAATATATATATATCAGAACAAAATTCATTGCGTCACTTTTATTTATGCATCCTTTGGCACAATACAAGTTCTAAAATTACACAACATAAAACAACTAAATGTTATTTCAGATGAAAGTTTTGTTTCAGTTCCATTCATAGGATTTATTAGAATTTTGTATGTTTTGCCAAGTCCAATAATTCGCTCTATGTGACATAGAGACATAGTTGACTAAACCACCAGGTGTCGAACATTCAAGAATTTTCAGTTTTTCTGTTTTTATTTGATGAAAAGGTTGCCTGAGCTCTAGGAGCTTTAGGTTTTATCACGGGATATTCTGTGCTGTCAATAATAATCCAAGTCATAGGAAACTTTAATTTGAAGTTGGATGGTGAAAAATACCTGACTAAACCACTAGATGGCCAAGTGTTAGCCTCACACCACTGTTTAGACATAAAAACAATCCATGTATACACAATATTCTTAACACTAGATTCAATCTAGAATCTAGACAGTTCAAAGTTGGTTGTATGATACCTCAATTTCATCAAAGTCATAAAAAAACTGATTTTCAACTGACACCCTATCAATTTGAAAATATATGTATCTCAAACAATGTGCTGCTGGACCAAGTGTGGTCAAAACAAATAAAAATTTAGTATACAACTCTAAACCGGTATAAAAATGCATGGCTGTGTCACGTGTCTTCATTTCAAAATTCTCTGCTGAAAACATAGGCATTGATGGTGTTTGCGTAATTCCATCTGTGAAGCTAAACATTAGCTCGGCAGTTGGTGGTGAACAGTCATAAATCCTTTCTGCAGTATGAATGACTTCTTCAGGAAAACCAACTTTACAATCAAAACTTTCCTCTAGATTTCTACTACAATATTCATTAAGTTTAGTTCTTTTGTTTTCACAGGAAACTGCCCTGATTTTTCTTTTTGCGGACGATTCAGTCTCTTGCTTGGTCCAGGAAAATAGGCTGGGAATTGCAGTAGACTTAAGTCTCTGTATGGTGGGTTTGCGCCCTGAAAAAGGTTATAAAACATTAGTTTTTTTATAATTAAATGAACTTCCATTAGCAATGTATACTTTGTACTACCTGGCGAAATATTAACTAGATTTATTCATTACAATCTGGATAAAACTATGTTTGCCTGATTCAATGTATGTTATGTAAATCCAAAGGACAAACAATGAGAGACTTATGCAACAAACGTACATTGTTTGTACCTAAATAACTATAATATAGATGAGAGCATGTCATTGTTTTGTTCCTGTTAACATTGTCATTGATATTTTTCAAGAATGTCTATGAGGCATAGCTTATGCATTCCTGTCATTACTAAATTAGCATAATTACTGCTAAAATAATTCTCAGTATGATATACCTCTTGCAAGAAATCATTATAATTGTAGCAATCACCAAAAAATCTCAAACAGATCACATTGAATCGTAATCCAAAAAATTATGACGTCTTGAATTACCGACCCCTTTTATTCTAAAACGATAATTGCGGTTGTAAACAGACTTTGGTTTATTCGCATGGCGATTACATATATAACTATATATTTCACAAAGAAAATAGAGTTTTACCATGAATAGTTTCCTGCACGTAGTCTTTTTCAGTAAAACGTGCCTTGCAAACAACAGCTGATCGAGATGGACTCCACGATATCATCGTGTTCTCGTCCAATCTGCGTATGGGCCATGGCGTTGATCCAACTTTTCCTTCTTTTTAAGTCATTTGGAAATGCATGTCCTCCTCTTAAATGACATCCAGGTACACAACAACAAGTACTTGGCATCGTTAATTAAAAATATAACTGAAATAGTTGCACAGTGCAGAAACCGGAAGTAGAGGAACAGGATCCGCTACCACGGCGCCACCTATTCAGGAACGATAATTTGCTACTTTATATAACTGCGAAAATAACGTTAGACGGGTTCACGTGCATAAACAGAAATGCGCTTTAAATTGTATAATATAATTCATGTTCAGTCGACCTTTAATTATTATATCAACGACTGAAATGATTTATAAACATCTAGATTGCAGATAACACTCGAAATTAACCGGAGCTCTTTCCACACGGAATTCAAATAATTCTAGTTTGTCAATCGGTTGACTGCTTATAATGCAAAATACTAATATATCAAAAGTTTTTAAAACTAACAAAACACAATGATCGATTCTCTATTTCCCAATGTAAATGAAATGAAACAAAAAACATTTTATATCGCAATAAGAAGAGGAGAGAATTCAACATTTCCGGATCTACTTGGAGTCTAATGACCCCCCACGTAGATAAGTTGGATATCGCGGAAGGAAGGATTAACCCGGCAACTAGAAAGGCATTAAAGCACTGCCTTTAAAAATGAACAAATAAACATAGCTCTATCCCCTTATTTATATTTCACATGCTCCTTGATGATTGTTTATCAAGGTCAAAATCGGTAAACTTTGCCACTAAACTGAAAAGTTAACAAGTATTCTGAGAGTATTGCATGGCAATACATAGTCCCCTACCGATTAAAAATTCATTGTACTGGAACAAAATGCTAACTTGATCTATAACTTGTCATGGTGTAAACAATATAACAAATATCAAGTCAATAACTTCAAGCATGACTAAAAAAAGTGGAAAACTGATTATTTAAGTGAATTTTCTAAGTCCAAGGACCATAACTCTGCACAAAATCATCAGACCGGAACACAATTTGAAATTGATCTGTAACTTGTCATGATAAAACTATACACCAATTATCAAATCAATATCTTCAAGCATGACGAAAAAAAGTGCGGAAAACTGATTATTTGAGTGATTTTCTAAGTCCAAGGACCATAACTCTGCATAAAATCATCAGACCGGAACAAAATTCGAACAGAATTATCCATGTCAGTTTTCCTCTAACCGCTTTACTTTTTGGAGAAAAAAAACCAAAATAATGTATGAAATGAACATTTCATCGACAAAGACTCAAAAATGGAGCCACAAATCTTACTAATTTAATTTCTAATATGTTAAGTTAAATAATGTCCCACTTTTTCTGGTTGTGGCATAGAATCTTCAACATCTACTTCATATTGCTGTTGATCCAATCCATCTCTATCTGTTAACTTTTCCTTACTACACACACTGGAACTGTACCTCTGGTATCTATAAAGAGATTTAAATCATTACAATTCTGATACCTCTGGTATCTATAAAGAGATTTAAATCATTACAATCCTGATACCTCTGGTATCTATAGAGAGATTTAAATCATTACAATTCTGATACCTCTGGTATCTATAGAGACATTTAAATCATTACAGTTCTGATGCCTCTGGTATCTATAGAGATTTAAATCAATACAATCCTGATACCTCTGGTATCTATAGAGAGATTCAAATCATTACAATTCTGATACCTCTGGTATCTATAGAGAGATTCAAATCATTACAATTCTGATACCTCTAGTATCTATAGAGATTTAAATCATTACAATTCTAATGCCTCTGGTATCTATAGAGAGATTTAAATCATTACAATTCTGATGCCTCTGATAATAATAGAGAGATTTAAATCATTACAATTCTCATACCTCTGATATATAATAATAGAGAGATTTAAATCATTACAATTCTGATGCCTTTGATAATAATAGAGATATTTAAATCATTACAATTCTGATGCCTTTGATAATAATAGAGATATTTAATTCATTACAAATCTGATACCTCTGATAATAATAGAGAGATTTAAATCATTACAATTCTGATACCTTTGGTAATAATAGAGTGATGCAACAACCTTAACAATTTCTGGTATCTTTATACAGATATGTGGTTTGACATAAAAGGAAGACTCTATCAGTCTTATTTTGTTTTACTTTGATTTAGGTTAACTGCCTAATAAACAAATACCTGCAACTTTTTATTCATAGTTGTAACATTCCCCTGTTTTTAAAGAAATCATCCAGGGTAGGATTGTTAAGATTTGTTAATACTGATGTTATGTTCTGACAGTATTAAAGTCTATTTCCCATTGGGAAACAGGTATGTTCTGAACCTTAGATTTACAATATTGTCATATAACGCTAATATTTATGTACTAAATTCATACCTTCTAGAGACTACAGTATAATCAGCAGTGTACCTCCGTACAAAGTCAAATACATGCGTATCCGTCTCAGCCCTGTACAAAAAGACAAAGTCACAATAAGTTTACATCATGAAATTAATTTTCTTAATCGGGTAGCAAGCATATAGTGTTCTCAATCAAAATCTCAAATTAAGGAATTACAGAACTGTTTTGAGGGGATTTCAGGTAAAAATGCTGATTTACTGATGAGGTGGAGTAAATTTGAGGTTGAAAGCAACAGTTTATATTGATGAGGGGGACTTATGGCAAGAAAATAGGATTGTGCCATAAATGTTTCAATAAAATGCTTCGCTGAGCGCAGCCTGATACGACGGCAGTGGTCCAACCCTGAACAATTGGGGCAAATTTGGATACAATATTCAAGCTTGATACTGTCTGAATTTTGATTGTGATCAAATTTTTGACATAATAAAGGTTTCTGAAACAAAATAAATGTGGTCAAAGATCTTACAAATCTATTGCCCAATACTGCACAATTGAAGATTACTTCTTAAAACTTTTCAAAAATATTAATTCCTTAAAAAAATTGGAAATAAAATCCCCCCCCAAAAAAAAAAACATTTTTGGAAACCCCCCTTGGAGCAATTACCCCAAGACTCAATCCCATCCTTCCCTTTGTAGTATGGAACCTTGTAGTACAATTTCTGAGAGATCCATTGACTTAAACACAAGTTATTGTCTGGAAACTAGAAAAATGCTTGTTTTTTGCCCTTTTTTTGGCCCCTAATTCCTACAAGTTTGGGGCAATTATCCCCAAACTCAATCCCAGCCTTCCTTTTGTGATATGGAACCTTGTGGTACAATGTCAGAGAGATCCATACACTTACACACAAGTTATTGTCCGGAAACTAAAAAATTGTTGATTTTGGCCCCTTTTTTCCTAAACTGTTGGCCCCATAACCCCTTAAATGAATCCCAACCTTCTACTTGTGGTATTAAACATTGTGGTACAATTTCTGAGCAATCAAAATACTTATACACAAGTTAATATCCTGAAACTAAATAAAATGCTTGTTTTTGGCCCCTTTTGGGCCCCTAATTCCTAAATGGTTGGGACCATCATCCCCAAAATCATTCACAACCTTCCTTTTGTGGTATTGAACCTTCTTAAAAAATTTCATAGAGATCCATTCACTTAAACTAAAGATATTGTCCGGAAACCAATGTGTCTTCGGACGACGACGCAGACGACGACATCATACCATTATACCATCCAAAAAATTTATTTGCGGTCGTATAAAAAGGTCAATATTAGGTATGTTGAGTGTATCACCGACTTTAATGGATTTGGGGCTACAAAGTGGGGATTGCAAATACATGGTCTGCCAATTAACAGCCAATATTCAGAAACTGTGCAAAGAAAAATGTTTTTTAGGGAACACCATGAATGATACCAAGACTTGCTTCTTGTGAGATGGACTTGCTTACCAGAAAACATTTGCAATTAGAAACATTTATCTTTATTAGTTCATACCCAATTTCTGGAACAATATGACTGATAGTCCTGCATCTTTTTGGCAAGAAATGGACATCAACATCATCATTATCAGGGTATAATATAAGATCTCTATGTGGATCTCTTTCTACTGTACATTGGTTCTGTAGGACAAATTCTTCATATTCTGGTGGATCTACAACGTCACTTAGTGGCACCTGTAACATATTTAAAAATAAAGTATATTTTTTTTCACTTACTTACTGTATAAAAAATCTTTTAAGTTGTCTTAATTAATTTATAACTTAATTAAGCATAATTTAACAAATTGGTCAATGTCACAGATATCTAGTAACACAGGGAACCAAAAAAACCATCCAGACAAGCTAGTCATATGTAATTTCCTGGATATATATCAATTTCATTATCTTTTCATGTAAACCACCAGTTGAAGCTTGCTGTTTTAAATGGCCTTAAAAATAATACTGTAAATGAAGTTGAGGTGAAAAACTGTGAAAATTATATTCAATATAATCATGATAATACATTTAACAATGTTTAACAGATTTCTTAGCAGAAATTATCCTACTTTATTTATTCACAATGTAAGGAATTTGTTTTTACTCACAGTAAGATTTAACCCACTGACACTTCTAGCTAGATCTGATGGGGCATATACTGTTGATGACACTGCTTTTCTCACTTCGGCTGCACCTTGTCTGAAACAATAATTAGAGGTTCATTAACTTCTCTGTTTGGATCTCACACCAGCTCTATGTGCATTTTCAACAATGAACACTCTCCAACATTAAAGACTAGACTGTAATTTATGACTAAAATCTCTTTTTTTGTTGACCTTGTATTGCTGATCATTTTTCTGTTTAATTTCTCTTTCTTTCTTTCTTAGATTTTGCACAAAACAAAAAAAATTTCAATTAAGGGCAATAACTCTAATAAGAAGACAACTGACAATTTCATCTATGCTGACCAATACGGTATGGGTTTTTCTCATTGTTGAAGGCTGTATGGTACGTTGCCTATAATTGCTTACATCCACTTCATTTAAACTTTGGTGGATAGTTGTCTCATTGGCAATAATACCACATCTCCTTATTTTTAAACTATTTGTAGATCTTGTCTTGTGGATTGTTTTTGCTATTTAAAGTTTCTATTGATCTCTTACAGTCTTAAAGCTTACAGAATTTTTTTTTAAAATTTGGTAACATGTTATTTCGGGTCAATAACTCCTATAGAAGTCATCTGATGGTTCTGATATAAATAAACAGTAGGTAGAACTCAACATTTTGAACAATTCCTCCCTGTCAGATTTTCTGTATCTATAGCGGTTTTTAAGATACATTTGTAATAGACAAAACTGGCTTTTTACCTATACATGTATGCGCTAATTTTAGCCATGTTATCCATGTTGGTTGGCAGGCAAGAGTCATCAGACACATTTTTTAAACTCTACACCCCAATGACGATTGTGGCAAAGTTTGGTTGAATTTTGCCAAATAGCTACAGAGAAAAATTTTGTAAAAGTAAACGGACGACGAAGTCAAACGATGGACGACCACTGTAGACGCCAAGTGATGAGAAAAACTCACAAGGTCCTTTGGGCCAGGTGAGTTAAATAGAAGTAAAAAATAGATTCAAAATTGGTGATGTCAAACTTTTTCATCTCTTTCTGCCGGATGAATAATCCAGAATCATACAAGTCAACCACTGAATATTTAAGAGCCAAAATAGAGCCCTAGTTTTAATAGGTTGTGTCCAACATGTTTTAGGTTAATCCCTTTTGGGATTCTGAGTCTGGAGCAATATTCTGATTTGGCTGCCCACAGAATCCTTTATATATTATATATTAACTCTATTAGTGAAAAATTCAAAACCTGTCATATTGTTATCTCGATAAGGGATTCTGTAGGCAGCCTAATCAGAAAATCCCACAATGTACTAGTTTAACCCTTTAACCGTGCTAGGGACATATGTGTCACTCATTAGAATATGACACAGAAACTTTTCCAAACAAACTAAAGATTAACAAACTTCTACTACTGCACTTGATTCTACTTATATCATACATTTAAGGGTCAATTTTAATGAATAAAGTTATAGCATCATGACAGATATGAGGTCAGAAAATGCAGTTTGACAATGTTTCCTGAATTCTATACACATGCAAAATAGTGTATAGTGTCTACAACACTTTTTAAAAACGTCACGTCCTAAGCGTTGAGCTGTTGTGGTGTGAATTGTCCTGACAAAATACTCATATGCTGAGAAAACTATTAAAAATATTCATAATGTGCTACAACATTCATTTGTAAATAACAGAAATGCAGGTTTTTACTTCGGCCAGTCCCTGCTTAGCTGCACCGTAGATCATAGGTAATTGTGATATTTTTTGACGATTTGCGGACCATAGACCCAAATTGTCAAAAATATCAGAAGGACATGTAAGCTAGGTTCCGTAGCCCCTGCTGTGACGGATACTAGGAATACCAACTTCAGCAGCCTTCGGCTTCACTTTGTGGTGGATTAACACCGTAATCATTTTGTTGTTGATTTCAATAAAAACAAAAATGTTCAGGAATCATTTTCATGGCATATCTATTTAACTTACTTATTTAATTTTTGAGCGAATGCTCGCTGGCCTGTCGAGGCCATTATTCATCTCACTGTGGAATACGTCATCAATTTGGGGATACTTATCTGGTATGAATTATATTGGAAACCAGTAAATAATAAGTTACGCGGTTCTTTTTCAGATATGGCATGTGAGTTCAAAATCATTGACATTAACTTGACTTGTACAATATGAAGTCTAAACTTAATAGATCAGAATATAACAGACATTATACTAAGTAAGTAAGTAAGTAAGTAAGTCTACACTTAATTGATCAGAATATAAGAGAGCTTATACCTTGGACATATATATTAGTATAATCATAGATGTATAAACCCATAGATGAAGCTCAACACTGACTTCAAAGGTTCTATGTGCGTTGTAATGGGTTTATACATCTATGGTATAATCAGAGACATATATACACATGTGTATATATGTCTCTGGTATAATAGTCCCAGCTTATACCTGGGACATATATATTAGTTTAATAGCCTCAGCTTATACTAAGGAAGTCAGTCAGTCGGTCGGTTAGTCAGTATAAAAGAGAGGCGAAAGATACCAAAGGGACATTCGAACTCATAAGTCAACTAACTCACAACGCCATGGCTAAAAAAAGAAAAAGACAAACAATAGTACATAAAACACAACATAGAAAACTAAAAACTCAGTGAGCAACACGAACCCCACCAAAACAAACAACAGTACACAAAACACAACATAGAAAACTAAAGACTCTTTGAGCAAAAGTGGGGGTGATCCCAGGTGCTCCAGAAGAGTAAGCAGATCCTGTTCCACATATGGCATCCGACGTGTTGCTCATGTAAGTACTAACTTGGTGATAAGTATAATTCGGTAGATCACATTCGGGGAATGGGTGACGGGATTGTAGCTATGACAATTGGAACATATCCGTCGTCATCTGTGAAACAGATATTCCATAACGGTCAACCAACTCGTGATGGCGTCCGTAAAATTTACGAAGGGAAGATTTCAACTTCACCACTTGGAACTATTGGTTTAATTGCTTCCTTGTGAGCAGCAACCCTCTATCAAGGAAACCATGATAGGAAATACAAACCATGAATATCGTATCAACTAGGAGATATATACTCTGTATGCAGGCGCTGCTGGAATGTTGCTACATAGAAATGGAAAGTTCACAATTGGGAAGCTGAAATCATCTCTTTTGTCGTATTGTTTTGTTCTCAACAACATGTGGCATCCTTTCTGTTTTTCAAGCAAGTAAAAACCCGACAATAAGTCGCATTCGGTAATGTCACAATCATTTGATTGATTGTTGGTTGCTTAACGTCTAGTGGCAACTAGTTCATGTATGTTTAGAACGATGTCACAACCGAGAAGATGAGGACGGGATCGTGGTAACGTTGTAATATGTGCCGCAGATATTCCATAACGGCTACTGGAATGATTGTGTTTACGTAGCCATATATGTAACACAGATATTCAATAACCGCCACTGACGTGATTGTGGTTACGTAGTCATAATTGACACAGATATTCAATAACCGCCACTGACGTGATAGTGGTTACATAGTCATACTTGACACAGATATTAAATAACCGCCACTGACGTGGTTGTGGTTACATAGTCATAATTGACACCGATATTCCATAACCGCCACTGACGTGATAGTGGTTACATAGTCATACTTGACACAGATATTAAATAACCTCCACTGACGTGGTTGTGGTTACATAGTCATAATTGACACAGATATTCAATAACCACCACTGAAGTGATTGTGGTTACATAGTCATACTTGACACAGATATTAAATAACCGCCACTGACGTGACAGTGGTTACATAGTCATACTTGACACAGATATTAAATAACCGCCACTGACGTGGTTGTGATTACATAGTCATAATTGACACAGATATTCAATAACCACCACTGACGTGATTGTGGTTACATAGTCATACTTGACACAGATATTCAATAACCGCCACTGACGTGATTGTGGTTATGTAGTCATAATTGACACATATATTAAATAACCACCACTGACGTGATAGTGGTTACATAGTCATAATTGACACTGATATTAAATAACCACCACTGACGTGATAGTGGTTACATAGTCATAATTGACACAGATATTCAATAACTGCCACCGACGTGATAGTGGTTACGTAGTCATAATTGACACAGATGTTCAATAACCGCCACTGACGTGATAGTGGTTACGTAGTCATAATTGACACAGATATTCAATAACCGCCACTGACGTGATTGTGGTTACGTAGTCATAATTGACACAGATATTCAATAACCACCACTGACGTGATTGTGGTTACGTAGTAATACGTGACACAGATATTCCACAACGGTCAACCAAACATGATTGCGAGTGATTTCATTTGAAATCCTGATGCAATGGCTTCATTGCAAGCAGTAACCCTCTATCAAGGAAATCATTGTAGGAAACGCAAGCCCTGGAATATCGTATCAACTGGGAGATATATACTCCATATATGCATGGAAAGTTGTTACTTAGAAATGGAAAGTTCGCAATTGGAAAATTGAATTGAGTATTCGACATGTCCGGCATTCCTCTATTGTTAATGATATGATCTCTGGAGCTATTCTGGAATGGTGATATATATAAAAAATAAGGAGATGTGGCATGATTGCCAATGAGACAACTATCCACCAAAGTTCAAATGAAGTGGACGTAAGCATATATATATATGCTCATTTAAATCTTATTTTCAAAATGATTTATTTCAATAATTTCTTACCAAGAGGTTTAATCTTGGATGAGGATTCACCCAACGTAGATGCGCATCATTCATGGTCTTCTTGACAAGGTCTTTCGTCTGTGTGTACTTATTCTTCTTTTTTTTCAGCAACATAATGCCATTGCAGCTCCTCTGTCTAAGTTGTATCAAGACATATATGGGTAGAGATCCATAGTAAATGTTGTTTATAGGATGTCCTTTATTAAGAAAATTATATTTTGGGCACACTATTGGGACGAGGGTGTGGAGTTTGTTTGCAATATGCTTTTAAATAGACCCGGATTACCGTAAACACGAAGCTTTTAGATTTTGATGTTTATATATTAAAGCTTTGATTGCCTCCCTTTGTGTGATATAAACGCTCAGAGAAGCTTCTAGCTTTACAGCTCATTTTGCAAGAACCCAGAAACACTTCAACATTTTCAGTAAAAAGCGAAATTACTTTTTAAAACCTGAACAAAACCGTCATTCGTGCTAAAAGTCTTCATCACTGCATATTCAAGCAAGCGTATTTGAATAAAGTTTAATTGCACTCATATGTGAAGTTGTGACTTTAACCTCTGACAGTTTAAAAGTTTTTTCTACCGAATACTCAGATATTGCATTTTATTTGACCAATAAAAGTGTATTTCAGAAAGAGGGTTAATAGAAATCATTCAGACATACATTTAATCACGATTAACTTATCTTCGTAGTGTTTTGTGAACTGTTGCTTGTCTGTTCATCTTTTTCCTTTTGACTACGGTGTTGACTGTCTTTCTCCGAATTATGGATCCTTCCCCCTTCAGTATCTTCTTTTCTTTGTGGCTGTGTTGGACAAGGTCCATAACCAGCTTATGGTATGGTGATGTCGGACTGGTGGGTAATGAAAAGTTGGTACCTTATTTGTGAAATAAACTACAGTTTCCAGCCCAGATCTATGAAATTGCACAGAAAGATTGCACACATGTTGCAGCTTTGAAGCTATTATGGATTGTTTGGGGAATATTTTCCCATTATCTAGACTTGGGAACTTAGTTATTTTTTATCAAAATTTACCAGTTTTGTGTGATCAACTCCTCCTACAAGTTTTCAACACATATCCCTGAAACTCATGATTGAAAATGTAAATGATTACACACATGTTGAAGTTGTGCACTTGCTGATATGGAATCGTGTGAGGATTGTTTTTATATTTACTATTTTCCGTACTTGGGGAACTCAGTGAATTTTCAAAAGATGGTAACACTTTTGTTTTTAACCAAGACCTTTGGAACTTCACAGAGAGTTTGCAATCTCATTGAGGTTGTGTGCCTCTTATGTTGGAGTCGTCTTAAGATTTTCCCTAATTTTTACAATCTATATTTCCATATTTTTAATGTTCAATGCAACTAACCAGGTCTCGCAAAATGCTTTAACTGAATGCAAACATTCTCAATCAGATTTGCAGTTTTCACTCTTTTATTTTCATCTAGTTTTTCTCCCTACATCACATTTAAGGTACTTGAATGCATTTGAAATTTAAGATATAAATAAATGGATAATGTGTCCATGGGACACAGATGATGCCCCCCCCCCCCCCCCCCCCCCCCCCGGCTAGCATATAACGTTATAAAGGGACATAAATCGAGAACGGCAAAAGGGATGCCACCCAAGTTCGAACTTGATCTGTGTTGTATGATAATAAGCATTGTGTATAAGTTTCATAACATTTGGTGGAGGCAAATTAAAGTTAGAGAACGGAAACCAATTTTGAGTGCGGACGGACGTACGTACGTACAAGGGTAACACTTCAAAATTCTTGAATAATGACTTGCGCATATAATTCGGGAAAAAAGAATTATGGGACGTCAATGAGACATCAATAAAATGATACAGAAACACACTGAGACGTACGGCCAGTCTTATACCAAGGCTTAATTGCATCGAGTCTAAAACAAGGTGTGGATAAATTGAACAGAGACTTGAAAGATCTGTCATCAAAAACAATTCTCCAAAGGACAAACATAAGATACGGTAAACCATTGATGAGGTTGCAGACTTAGGAAATTTAAACTAAGATTACTTTTTTTAAATTAAACTCTATCAGAGGACTAACAAAAATTGAGAGGGAAATCACTCTGACAGTAACTCTTTATCATCGGTGTAATAGATAGCGGAACCCGCACAAACAAAACAACAATAAACAATGTCGTATCAAAACAAACAAACAACAATAAACAATGCCACATCAAAACAAACAATACAACAATACACAATGCCGTATCAAAACAACAATAAACAATGCCGTATTAAAACAAACAAAACAACAATA